TCAAAACTCGAAAACAGCACCCCCGTTACTGTTGGCACCGATCCAAGTGGCTGCTTGCTTTTTCTTTTTTCTTTTGAATAATTTATGCTTTCGCTTTTGCGACCAATTCTAAAGTTATTGTGCAATGTTATGTTTTGCTTGCAGCACTGGCAATGTAAATTTTTCTTGTAGGCGTTGCTTTTCCCCTGCGATAATATCGCAAAAAGGAATTAGACGAAATATCGCAGTATTGTGATGTAAAGGAACAAATGCTAGGAAAAGTAAGAATTTGGCCTTTCTGGGTTTTTGCTCAAATTAACCCTTTGATGGGTAACGACGTACCAGAATACTCAAAGAATTTTGGCAGGGCTGTATTTGCCATTCATGACCTTAGTTGTTGTTTGATAGTCCCCATCGATTTCACAGCATGAACAGGTTGACTGTTCCTGGTGCTATTGTGAGAATTCAAAGTTTAAACTTTGGGTTGCCTGACCACGGTGACATGATTCAATTGGCGGCGAGCATTATCCTACAGTAGGGGATTTAAACCCCCAATTTTAGGCTTATCACAAGGAATAAAGTGGAAGAGTGTCCAAATGAACTCCGGCAGTCTATGGATTCTCAGCCAACAAGTGGCCTCTGTGGTCTGGACTGGCTTTGTTGGGCGAGAAGCATTCCAGACTTCCCCTTGTGATCACAAACTGTGCTGTGTAGGCCTATACGCACTTCTACTGTAGGCTTTTCAGACTGTCGTCCACATTTAGCCAAAACATGATGTAACATTGAAGAAGGGACAACAAGGCATACTGCTTGCACAAGTTTACACTGGTTTGCAGCTGGGTGGCCATAAGGGCATTACCCACCATTCAAAATCGCTGTGTTGAACCCTGGTCCAACACTGAGATTTCAGGAACCCATTTCAAACTAGCAAGACGCTAACACGGCCTCGACACGGATTCGGTGCTCTACCCGGGTAAAATCAAACCCTGGTCGGTACCAGAGTTGAGAGGCTCTGACCTACATGTATGCTCTGACCTAGTAGAAAATCCAAAATCTACAGACGACCCATCCTGGTAAGGTGTGAACAGTGCGCAGTCCCGGTTGCACTTACTGTGGACCTGTGACTATTCCTTCCTCCATGTCTCAACGTGGGTAGGCAAGACAGTAGTGTGAAGAAGCCTAAACTATTCAGAATTTTTTACTGGTGTAGAGCCTCTCAACCCAGACCATGCAGGGCTGAAATTTGTGTTTGAGAACTGGACCTGTGTAGAAGCCTTGTTAAATACTTGCTAGTGTGACAGAGGCTGCCAAAGTGCCAAAGTCTCCGGGTTCGACCTGGTCCAACACACAGATTTGGGATAGAGCAAAGGCTGAAAAGGTACCATTCTGTATCTTCAGGCTGCATTTTTGCAGGCACTTATTATGGGCCTTCTACTCCTGTGCAAACAAGATAGTGAACAAACTGTTGTTTGTTTTGGGGTGCTTGTGTTTGTTTGAGGTCAGCTTCTATCTAATACCAGGGCAGGGGTTGTGATTTTCGGAGGGGAGGCCTCCCTGAGGAATGTACCGGTATGCACATAAATGTTTCAGGTGATTTACGGTATGCAGTTTTAATACAGTTGTGTGTGATTGTGTATTTCATTATTATTTAGCCATGTTCGCATTGGTTTTTGAACCGTGAGTGATTTGTTAACATTCCACTGTGGTTATTCCACCGTGGGTTTGCACTTGGATTACTCACGGCCCACGGAAAGTCCTTTTCTACATAAACCACGTGATCATGTTTTTACATTGCATCGACTGTCTGCATAGTGCATAGGACTGTTAGCAACCCTTCCACTACCCGGTTGGCCCTGTAAAACTTCCCGCTGCGGAGGGATAAACTTGACAAGTCAAGTTGACAACAGTCTCCGTATGTTTTACCAAAAAAGTCCAATGCAGACACGGCTGTAGACTTCATTCAAGAGTTATCACTTTTCACTTCCTGTCTTTAAAATTTACACTTAAGGCCAAAAAAAAAAAGTTTTCAGTCTCTGGTCAGACCAAAGTTCCAGAATTGACGCGGCCACGCGGCTTCTTTTTTTTTTTTTCAAGCTTGGATACAAGTACAGACAAGGTAGGTACCATTTTGCTTTTTTGGTGTCCTCATGTACATTGGTGTCCTCCATAATTTGCCTTGGTGCTTTCGATCATTTGCCTTGGTGCAATTTCCCATTCCTTGGTGCTCTTTGGTAAAAAAAAATTGAGGAGGTGCGGAAATAGAGGGCGCTGTTGGAGCTACTGCGGAACATTTTGAAGAGAAAAAAAGGTCGACGCGCATGATTAAAATCGACGCGCGCGCTGACCTGAGACCGACTTATTTTTTTTTTTTTTGCCTAAAACAGTGTGAATAGAGTAGCGTATTTCCAGAATTAGAATGTCCCTCCTGTTTCCAAATTGGTCATACCCAACTGGTGGTGTGAAATTTGCAGGTAGTATGGGAACCTATTGAAGTAATTGAACACGGGCGCCCGGGTACCCGTAAAAGAAAGCCAACCCTAAAATTCAAATTCCGCTTTTATAGCTAAACGGTGTAAACTGCAAATTTTTTTGGTGTATGGAGGCGTCTGCGTGTAGTCAAGGGTAAAAGGTAGAAATTGATGATTTTGGGTGTTTTTTTCTCATTTTTCCCAAAAAAAAAATTAGGGTAGGGGCTGTCAGAATAGGGTAGGTAGGGAAACCAGAAGCAGATGTACTATTTTTTTTGGCCTGACCGGTTTGGGTGCTGAGGTACCCGGTTTTGATGCACACCTGTATATATGTTCACTGACATTAAACATATTATTCCACAGGGAAATTTATTTTCCCACTGTGCAGTGCGCACTCATCTGTGTAACGTGAATGTATTCATTCCAAAACACCCACGCAGTGTTCTATAGACCAGTCACCTCTGATGTCATGCCTGTTTGTTGCCGAAATGACAAAACGTTTCCCCCCATAAATTGTACAGTGTATTGTCCACCTTTTATTAAAAATGAGTCCATATTGAAGTGATTTTACTCTGAAGCCGTATAGAATAGAGCTGTTACCTTTTTCCAGGTAAAAACGCAAACAAAGGATACTGTACCTTTTAAAAAAAAAATGACGCAGTCAACATACATGTAGGCATTCTTGTGAATCAGAGCACACATTTATTCACAAGTTCACTATGTGCCTCCAACCGCATTACAATTTTATTAGTAAGTTCATCTCACATCAGCACACAAGTATGTTTATCAGGCATTCGATTTTTTCCTCGAATCAGCTGATTTCATCGTTTTTTTTTTACTTTACACTTATTATGCCATTGAAAATTGAAAAATACTTTACAAATTGTTGTAAAGATTGGAATTTTCTCTTTTTTTTATTACCAAATTCTAAGTTGCAAGCCTGTTTATAAATACATGTACTGACACACAATTCATGTGCCTACTTGTATGATTCATAAACAATGATTTTTTTTTGCGTATCCATCCACCAGTTTTTGTTAAAGTTTGCCCTTCAGACCACGTACACATAGCACGTGTTTCAGTCAGATGACCAGAAAAATGTGGAGGTGTGGCTTACATGTATGTGTTCGAAGATGTACTGTGTGCTTTAGGCAGTAATTTATTAACTTGAATTGTACTTTGGCCTGTGAGTTGCATTCAATTTATGCACACGATGTACGTTTGCGTGTGCAGTACGACTGCAGTGTGCAAAGAATTGAAAGGACATTTTTGTTAGTGTTCAATGTACTTTACATGTGATTGTACTATACATTACAACGTGCAATATGTACATGTAATTTCTTCTGTGAACTTGTCCTGTACAATAACTGAAATGATGCTACACATTATGTACCGGTAGTTTGATTATTTTTGTGCGCAAAATCTTGACAGTTTGCATGTACTGCGTACTGTAAGTTTAAAAAGTGGTATGCCCACAGAAATGAATGAAATGCATGTGTGTGACTGATAAAGTTGGAGCTTACTACAACAAGTGTATTTACATAACTGTACAGGCCTCCTACATTTCATTGGTAAGTTTATCCTCTCACATGTACATGTGCTGTATTGTACACATTGTTGTGTACACCATTCGTGTATACATGTACTACATGATGTACGCAACTTTTAACATTAAAATTAATTGAACTTCATGTGCATGCATGATATCTTCAATTACTGTTGGGCATACTTGTACACCTTAGGAAACATGTACATGTACGGTACTGTACATGTACATGTTCAAACTGTACATGTATAAACATGTACCGGTACATGCACACACAATGTGTTCACCATTGATCGTGGACATCCTATTGTCCCTCTTTTGTTTGTACTCTAACTTCTTAGGAAGTCTCCCAAAGGTTTTGTACACGACCCAAATTGCGGACGTATGCTGGGAATTGTTGACAATATTGTTCTCTTTTGTTCTCTGGTATTTTTTGTCAGGTTTGAAAAGATGAACACATACAATTGGATGCACATGAAATGTACATTACACATTTTGTTCATTTTTTTCTAAGACTCAGAATTTACCCCCAGAAAAGAGTTATTTTTTTATACCGTTTGTTCTGCATTCAACTCTTGAAAGAACATTCTTCGGTCTAAAAATCACCGATGGGCCATATTTTACACGTCATGTTCTGTAATTTTGTTCCTTTATAATGCTCCATGATTTATGCTCAACAGTTGTTCAGGATTTTCCAAGAGTATCACAACACAATAATAGAGTTTACAAAAAAAACCACAGTGTGCATGTATACATGAACTTCATTGTGGAACAGTTTTAGGACCACAAATTTTCTGCTTCAAATATGTTGGATTTTTCCATTTCTGGACAATTGTAAATTGTTTAGGAAAATCCCCACTCCAAAACATTCTCTGCACGTGTAAATCAGTTTTAAAAAACCCATGATGTCGATTTTGTTTATTTCGGCAAGTGGGTGCAATGTTTTGTAGGTTTATAAACACGTGTACCCATTAACACTTTTTTGTTTTTCTATATTTTGATTACAGATAGAAGACTTGTAATCTAGTTCTGAGCAGAATATTCAACAGATTCAACTAAGTTGGAAGTAATAACTCAGAGAAGTCGCAGCATTTTTTCTGACCATCATGGATGATTTGGATGATCCAATGGCGAGAGCCTCCCCGATGGGGGGCTACACCAATGGGTACGACTCGGGGCCCAGTATGAGCAGGAGCCGGGGAATGTTCAAGCCGGATGGGATGATAGACTTGTCCATGGATGATGATAACATCGTGGACCCGATCCTTGCATCTATGGAGAAGACAGAAAACAGGTGAGTCTTGAGTAAGGTCTCAGTAAGAACAGGCGAGTCATGGGTGCGTAAGGTCTCTCAGTGAGAGCAGGTGAGTCATGGGTGAGTCAGGTCTCGCAGTGAGAGAAGGTGAGTCTTGAGTGAATAAGGTCTCTCAGTGAGAGCAGGTGAGTCTTGAGTAAGTAAAAGCCTCTCAGTGAGAGCAGGTGAGTCTTGAGTGAGTAAGGTCTCTCAGTGAGAGCAGGTGAGTCTTGAGTGAGTAAGGTCTCTCAGTGAGAGCAGGTGAGTCTTGAGTGAGTAAGGTCTCTCAGTGAGAGCAGGTGAGTCTTGAGTGAGTAAAGGTTCTCAGTGAGAACAGGCGAGTCATGAGTGCTTAACCCTAACTCCCTAGGCCTTTTTTGCTGGGATGTAGCCTCAATCCTGCAAAATCCTCCAATTGGCCTCATGGAAAAATAGCATATAACCTCAATCCTGCAAATTCCTCTGCTATTTCTTGAATATGGTCCAAGGAGGGGTGACCACTGCCTGAATCCTGCAAAATCCTCCGGCTATGACTGTCAATAGGCTGAGGCAGAGGCAGTGACATCCTGGAGCAGTACGGAGGATGTCGAGTATAATCAAGGACTAAATTTATGCACGGCTGAGCATAAACAACACAAGGTCCAACCCAAGACCTTGACACAGTGCGTACTCCGAAATCAGCAATGCACTTTTGCCATGTAACCTCAATCCTGCAAATTCCTCCAATTTGCAAAAAGGATTTTGGAGGATTCAGGGCGGTTAGGGTTAAGGTCTCTCAGTGAGAGCAGGTGAGTCTTGAGTGAGTAAAAGCCTCTCAGTGAGAGCAGGTGAGTCTTGAGTGAGTAAGGTCTGTTGGTGAGAGCAGGTGAGCCTTGAGTAAGGTCTATGGTTGAGAACAGGTGAGTCTTCAGTAAGGTCTCTCAGTCAGTTCAGTGCACGAACAAACTGCAAAGTCGATCCCAGCAAGCTCAGTTCTGGTTAAAGGCACACAGGATGATCATTTGCTTTTCATGCATTTTTTTTGGGGGGGGGGAGTTGCAATAATAACACCACTCAATATTCAAAGAAGAATGTTCAAAACCTAACCTGTTGAAGTTTCAGCTCAGTGCATATTACACTTTTCAAGAAAACAGTGAAAAAACTGAGCACAACACTTTGGTCTTGAAACACGATTTTGATCACGAAGCATGATTTTGTCGACGGCACTCTTTTAGTAAAAATCGTTCAATTAACTAATCCTTGGCAATCACCCACATTTCTTGACTTATTCTTAATGACAGCAAGTCAGACTGTATAATTTCATGGGGTGTTTTTAATACCACTACGATAATTAATCCAAGTAAGCTTTTTGATAATAATTCAGAAGATTTTTTATTGGAAAAAACTGCTTGACTTTTTTCTCACAAACTTTCAGACAGCTCTAGTGCTTATAAAGTTGTGTTGATGGAACACAATGTGAAAAGTGATGACTCATGATTTATGTGCAGTGTAAACATTGCATCAGTTTCAGGTTGTGTTCAAGCTTACCCAATGTCCTTGCTAAACAAAATCGATCAAAACAAAAAGTGTGAGAATGCCTGTTCCCATATTTGGATTGCTGTTGCAGCATCATTTTTAACACTTTGGTATTGGGCTGATATGCCCTCTGTCTTGAGGGGGGTACAACTTTTAGGATCATATGCTTGTCGTTCTTTTTTGTTTGTTACCAATAATAACACTACCGGTTATCAAAATCTAACGAAGATTGTTCAAAACCTTAACCTGTTGAAGTTTCAGCTCGGTGGGTATTACAATCTTCAAGGAAAAAGTGAGAAAAAAAATGTGTACAACCTTTTTTGAAAACGAAACATGATTTCGTCCACAGCATTCTTTATTTCCAAAAATCAGTCAATTGACTGATTGTTGGAAATCGCCTACATTTCTTGATTTCTTCTCAATGACAGCAGGCCAGACAGAATAATTTCATGGGGTGTTAAGTATCAGTATTAACTGTAAATTAATCCAAGTAGGCTTGTTAATAGTAATTCGATCTAGAGGTTACTTTTGGGATGCATGCAACTGATCGTAAATGCTTTTAACAACACAAATTGCGAAGCACAACGGAAATATCTACATAATGGTAATCGTAAGCATGCTTTTACCTACAAAATATGTGAAGGTTAGGGCAATTTTTCTGGTATGGGTAGCCCTATGGACGTACGTGAACTTGAGCACGTACAGTGTTTATCTAAAGGTAGAACGCTAAACCTCAGTCTTTTCAAAGGGTCAAACTATTTGCAGGTTGAACAGTTTTCCTGAATTTAGTTTTCTGGCATTCCTGCAAAAAGGCTCATTTCATTGTTAGGGGCTCTCTTACGATGCATGGTCACGGCCATTGAATGTCAGCAGCCGCTCGGCAAATAAAGGGGGAAAAATAGGAATTGTGGATGCTTTAGATCAGGTTTGTTTGAAAGACTGGCCGTGTATTGTCAGGAAATATTTAGCATACGAAAACATAATTGAGGCCGTGAATTGGTAGTTTATTTTTTTCCCCATCATATTTTTCAAACGAAAGTACCTTTATACATTGTGTAAGGGGAAAAAATAGGAATTGTGGATGTCTTTGATCAGGTTTGTTTGAAAGACTGCCCGTTTATTCTCAGGAAATATTTAGCATACGAAAACATAATTGAGGCCGTGAATTGGTAGTTTATTTTTTCCCCATCATATTTTTCAAACGAAAGTACCTTTATACATTGTGTAAGGGGAAAAAATAAGAATTGTGGATGTTTTTGATCAGGTTTGTTTGAAAGACTGGCCGTTTATTCTCAGGAAATATTTAGCATACGAAAACATAATTGAGGCCGTGAATTGGTAGTTTATTTTTTCCCCATCAAATTTTTCAAACGAAAGTACCTTTATACATTGTGTAAGGGGGAAAAAATAGGAATTGTGGATGTTTTTGATCAGGTTTGTTTGAAAGACTGGCCGTTTATTCTCAGGAAATATTTAGCATACGAAAACATAATTGAGGCTGGAATTGGTAGTTTATTTTTTCCCCATCATATTTTTCAAACGAAATGACCTTTATACATGTACATTGTGTATATGACTTTGTCACTTACATACATGAAGAAAGTGAAAAAAGCCCAAACAACCAAAGAAAGATGTGTTTACATGACATTTATTAGAATGCTGAGCACTTTTTTAGCTCAAAGAGAGTTTGCAGTTTTTACATTTTCTCATAAATTTCCTCCCCAAGGAGTATCCTTTGAAACTACCACCAGGAATTTTAAGCACTGGATCTTCATCGTATTTTTGTTCGTCAAGTACACTTTCAGCCACCGATATTTTATAACATTTTCAAAAGATGTTTGTGGCAACAACAGATATTTTGACCTGTCGTTAAAGAAACAATAATAAGCAAAAAGATGATTTAATGCTTTGTACCTTCACAAGAAAGTGCAAGGAGACTATCAGGTCAAGATGAGATGCATGAACGTCCTCGAAAAGAAGGGAAACAGTGAACTTGGACTCGGAAGAATGCATGGAGCGCTGGCCTCAGCAGGTTGCCTGAGGTTGGCTGATCGGGTTGCACAACATGAACATTGCTTTCAGAAAGTCAAGCCAAGTGGAATGGAAAGGTCACCTAGTTGATGGTCTTCTGGCAGGGGCTACCTGCTGTTATGATTTGAAGGGATTATATTCCGTTGGTCTGGGAGGTATAACTGGTGTGTACACTAGTCCAGTATTTCAAATGTTCACAGTACCTTAAAATGTACATGTAATGTACAGTAAACCGAAAGGTTAAAGGGAAGATACAACATCAGAAAACGAAATGATCAAATTATCACGAAATACCTTACTGAATTGTTTGGGACTGACAGTCCAAATCATCCTTTAAAATCGTGGCTCCTGGTGTGCTGACATTTTCAAGAAAAACTTTATTTTTCCAACGCTGGTCGGCTGACCAGTGTTGGAAAAAACTGGCTTTGTTCCTAAGTTTTCATATTTAGTTATTCTGACTTTTCTTTGCAATTGATTACACACCTGTATAGGGGTACAAGCCTGCTAGACTGATTCTCTGAGCCTACAATTCCCCAAGTGTATTAATTGCTCTGTTTCATTTTAAGTGGGGTCAGGGAACCAGACTACAAGAACATGATAGGTTTTTTTGGTTTTTCCAGCGTCTACAAGCCCAAAACGTGAAACAAGTCAGTTTAACAATATTTTCAATAACATACTAGGCCTAATCCTCCAAATCCATTTATTTCTGAAAAATACAGCAAAAGCAAATGTTGTACATTCCCTTTAAGGTAATGAACAACATTTGCAAACATTAAAAAACAAAACTACCAAATTATTCTGAAATACATTGTACCGTACTTTACTGGACTGTAAGTGAATAATAGTCTCAAGGATCCTGTGAAATCATGCCACCTGGTGTACTGTCGTTTTCAAGAGAAGTGGAATTTTTGTATCAATTTCCAACAATGGTTGGCAAACCATCGTTGGGAAAAAACCTGACTTTTTTTTCTCGAATACTGCCCCCAATTTACCAAATTTAGTTAGTCCCTTTTTAAAAATACAATCAGTTATGCATCAATGAACGGGTGCAAACCAGCTAGTCTGGTTCCCTGACCTGACAATTCCTGGACGTCTGTAAATTGCTCCATTTCTTCTGAAGTATAGGGTCGGGGAACCAGACAACAGTACAAGAACAGCACTTTTTCTTGGTATTTTTCCAGCATCTATGAACACAAAACTTTAAACAGGTCAGTGTAACAATATTTGCTATACAATACTGACCCCCAACAGCAACATTTAACAGCAGCTGAACTGAAGCCTGGATTCAATAAGATTTGAATGATACATTAATCATTGCTCACATTAAAAACTCAACAAAAGTGTTGTTGCTTCATCCTCTTGGATTGAGCAGCATTTTTTTTTTACCATTTACACACACTTTATGGGCTTGGCTTTTGGAATTGTAGTAAACTACAAAAGAAAGTACATTTACAATGTACACACTGTGCATCCATACTTGTGCATGTGAATGATTAGCAAAAACCAAACAAAGCCCTTGTTCACATGACATTTTTTTGGCAGCTATTGAGGCTAGAAACTAGGATGACGCATGGTTTTGCCTCAGGATGATGTGTTGATCTAGTTCATGTATTCTGGATCATTGGGGCTTGATCCTGTAAATTTACATTGGGGCCTGCATGTTTATGTTATCGTACTACTGTACATGTATGATATGTGATAATGTGAGTATGTATTTCTCCATGGGTCAACACAAATGTGTTTGAGGTCACAATATAGAACTTTTTCATGCTGCCACCATTTCAGTCATGTTCCCTCTATCCAATAGCAGTACTGAATGATAATGTTTTTGTGCAAAAAGGAACCAGACTATATTTCCTTCCAGCCCCGCTTTGGTTACGTTGATTTGAATGGGAAAAAAATCCAGATGCTCACAACATGATCTAATGGTCTATTGGCAACCAAAAGTGGGACATTAGAGATCTGAAGCAAGATGAAAGCTGCATGCTGTTAGTTTTCTCTTAAATTGTTGGAAGGAACATCCCTCCAAATGGAAAACAACATTGAAAAGATAATGGGCCAAGTACTTTTCACTGCAAGGCAGATAGCGCTGTCGATACTGATTTTTTTCGAAGTCGATATTTTTCCCCCGCAATATCGGCGATATGGCGATAAAATCGTCTACAAAGTACAGGTAGAACATGATCAAAATGATCAACATGTAAATAGCGATTAGGCAGATTATAATGGTATTTTTGGACAGTTAACGAAGTTACAATGTACATGTAAATGGTATCCACAAGTATCAAACCAGGCAATTGTGGGCTTCTTGTAGTCTTGTCAAGGTATACATTTCTTATTAAAATCAAGTTGCGGAAAAAAAGCTTGAGGAGAAGTACCGGTACATGTAGGTTTATTCACTAATAGGCCTACAATTTTCTCCAAAACTGCAGGTAGCTTGATAATATTATTAACATTACTTGACAAAAACAGTTAATTTAGATGTTTCTAAATTGCCAAATTATGCTTTGCTATAGCTATTTTTGTTTGTTACTCTTTTAAACATCACATCACACCAGTTTACATGTATGCGTGTAGTTTACACATTAATTTTGGCCTACTTCATGGAGGGGAAATTTGCATTTAACCAAACCAGACATCTACATGTAAATGTACATAAAACACAAGGAGACGTTTTTTTTGTCCAGTTAATAACAAATTTTTACGATTGTACATTGTACGTACATAGACCATCTGTCTAGTCTGCAAACTGTTGCTTGTTGTTCATTATGTAAACAAAGCATGTACACGGGTATACCGGTACCGTACGTTGTGTGTTCCAAAATGGCTACCAGCTATTTGGTTACCGGAGACTTTTTTGTTCCATGGCATTATCGCAGAAATCAGTATAATGGGCAAGGGTCCAAGTGCAAGGGCCGCTGCCAACGAGAATCGAATTATACCAACGCCACAGAAAGCAGAAAGGGGTGGCTGGCCGTACACAACAATGCTGGTGTAAACATGAGGACATGCTCATGTGGGGCACCGAGGGCTACAAATGTGCTCGGCATGGGGTTGTCATTTTGTGAGATAAATTTTGAGTGAAAAGTACAGCAACTGGACTTTTTGTGTTACTGAACTTGTGCGTCGCAGTGAGCCTGGCTCACAGGTCTCAGATTGCGGTTTGGAACATGGAGGGAGGCTTGGAATTGTCAATGGACGTCGGTGAGGGTAGTACTACTACCAGTAGTAGTAGCCGTTCGGGACCTTCACCGATTCCTGATGTGGGATCGGAGACGCAGAGGCAAGTTTGTTATGGTTACTACAGACTTGAATTACGTTTGTTCTGGGCTTCTGGCTTTCTGTGTATTCCTCGGCAAAATGAAATACATACAAACTGTTTGAATTTATGCTGCACATGTAAATGTACCGCTGCAGGTGTGCTGCTTTGCTGATTACGACTCTTACAAGGATATTACGAATCAGAACGATTGTGCAAGCATCTAGTACATTGTACACTGTATAGTTTGCAAAATGTGCGTGTCCAAGCCACGCATACTGTATGCATGCGTGTATGCATACACTGTAAAGACACTTCACAAACCCACCCTTGTTTTTAATTTTTTTTTCTTTTTAACAAACATGCCAGACCCATCCACTTGGCACTCCGGTGAGAAATGAATGCAATAAACTTTGGCATCAAGTCCTCACAAAAAAAAAAGGAAATGAAAAAAAAAAAAAAAAAAAAACCGGAACTTAGTGTTCCACAGTAGTACAAACTTGCAATGAAGATGCATTTTTTCTGTTCAGTGTACAAATTGTGCCGTTAACCTTATGTTCACATTTATGTACATTGTACATTATCATGTTTACGGTACATGTACGAGTTCAGAAAGCCCTTGTCAACACGCCCCCCCCCACCAAAAAAAATATCCTTTGTGCAACTCAAACCTGTACTGAATCAATTGCACAAGTTTCAATGGACCATCCTTGTAGCTTTTTGTTGGATTTTCACAACCATCCATCTATTAAACCACTCACCTAACCTTTTGTTACATGTACGTGCCGATTGCATGAGTAATAATAACAGTCGCTTGTGGTTGCCTGGTGGGTTTTTACCAGGAATTCTTTGGAGTACAACGTTTGTGATGAATGTTTTCCCCTTGGAGAGTTGGCCTTGATCTGTGCACTTGCAACAGTAGGGGAAAATAATGTACACAAAAATGTTGTCATGGGGGGGAAAAAAAGTTACGAGAATGTTCAGGGGTACATGAAGTACGTTTTATACATATGTCTTGATTGATGAAGACATAAACATTGCACAATCAAATGCTTTTAATGTCCATGCACACACAAACGATGACAGTCTAAAATGTACCCTTTCACCTAACCGAAGCGTAACATTACCACATATCTCAATTTTCTGTCGAGCTGGGGTTTTTTTGGGTTAAATTATTATTCTTGTACTTCACCCTCAATGTCTGTGAAAAAAAAAATGCCAAAATGCAGTTTCAATGATGTGAAACTGGGACTTTCTTCTCAATTTTTGACAATCTTGTCTATGCACACATATACACGTACACTGTATGTCTCCTTTACATCTAGGAAAATACAATATATGTACATGTACATGATACGTGTGGGCAATGCCAGCGTTAAGTGGAAGAAAATGCAACGTCCAGGACAGAGCCAATTTACCATGATATCTAATTAATGATTCAGAGAAATGATCCAAAACTCATCGTCTGTAATCTCCTTGACCATTAGGCTAGTAGATGATGGATACAGGATTTGAAAACACATTTTCAGGTTTATTCACTAAGCTCTTTTTTAAGTACCAAAGATTGTCTAATATGTAATGTCTGTGATTTTAGAATTGCCTTCATGTATACATGTACGTATGTCTTTAAGGAGCATTTTCAATATTGAATTTACCAAATTATGACAAATAAACATGTAAATATTGTCCACGGGTGACAAAATAAACTTGTAGGCCTATTGTGTACATTTTCATGATTGAAAAATAATTAAGATAACCTACATGTACAGTACCAGTGTGTATGTACCGGTATAATATTAAACACAATGCTTTAAATCTACAGATGAGCTTTTCAAAGGATTCCTTGCAGCTCCAAAACTTCCTGGTAGATTTGGAAGAATGTGGATTGTTCGAAGATTATGGAAGTGTTATCCTTGCTTGCAGTTTCTTGAAAATCCCATCTACATGTAGATGCTGCTGTGGTTTTTTTTCTCCATGAGACGTGATTGCCTCCTAGCGATATTCACTATGTTTGACCATACCAGTACAAGTACCGGGTAGCTGACAAGAATGGATTATGTACAAAAAAAACATTCAAGCACAGTAATTGTACATGATTATACGGGGTACCGTGCTTTTTACATGTTTTTTATAATGCTTTTCAAGTGTTTACAGGGAAAAATCAACAGAGATCAAAAGTTATTCGTAAGAGATGTAAGAGATCAAAACCCTGCATGTGTGCAATCGCTATGGACATTTAGAAGATCTGTGCATTTCTGAAAATATGACTGAGTGCTCTTTTGAAGATATGGTGAAAATTAAGAGAAATCGTTTTAAGCTCTTGCTTGACATGTTTACAAAGTGGTTTCATTGTTCTTTTTTTTTTGACAGACATATTCCCCCACCCCAGCAGCAACCTAGAGGGCCATCACCCGATATGCGAGGGCCAGCCGGTCAACAATACGGCCAGCAATACGGCCAGCAATACGGCCAGCAGATGACCAGTCAACAATATGGTCAGCCACCGCCAGATAACTACCAATACAATAAGGTAATTTGAAAAATGAAACTAGTACAGTTCATCAAGTTGTGGCAAGTTCAAGTAATGAGACAGGAACTCCTTAGAATTATCTTCTTCATGTAATGCTAGGTTCACACATTCCCGAATTATTGCCACGAATACCCTGATCTATCCTGAATAAAAATTCTTGATGGCTTGGGAGAAATTAGCCCGATTTGCTGTTTGTAAGAATAACTTAAGAATGAAACAAAAATAATCAAGAACTAGGTACGAATTGGGAGCCGAATCAGACCAATGCAAGCTGAATGATTGTGATTTAGTGCAGAATAAAACCGAATTGTACCGATTTTGTCAAGAATAACATACGAATATCTCAAGAATCACCCAGAATGACCCAGAATTATGCCGATTTAGTGTATTCGCAAGTTATTCTTATAATATGCGTAGATTTCTTGATACGTTTGTAATGATTCGACATGATTCTGGAATGTTAACACCAAAAATAACTCTTTGAAACTTGCTTCCCGATCTTTAACGATCTTCACCAAACTAACACAATCATCCCGAGGCGGCCAAAAACCATTCCCCGATTTACTCAAGACTTGCTTTTTGTGGCGATTCGGTATAAAAATCGGGAATGCGTGAACCTAGCATATAAGGATGATGTAGACTGAAAAAGCTTCTGTATCCATACTGTTGAGAATACTGTTCCGTCAAGTATGTTTCAGATACACATGTTTACATTGACCTTAAAAAAAACAGACAGACTACAATGCTGGGCCATCCATAAAATTTGATTGTGCAAATAGAGTGTAGCGTCTGGACGCGCTGCAGAAACACTGAGCTGAGCAAAGTTCGCTTGTCAACAAAACAGAAATGTGTTGGTAAGGTTGGTTTGAATGATATTCAGATTATAAAGATTGTGATAACTTTGTACACATATTGTTCGCGTGACACTGCATATTAAATACACTGTACTGGTACTTTTTAAATAGCAGCATTTTAGTGGCACATGACAAATGGGGCGTACACTGCCTGTAAGTGTAAGTGCCCGAAATGTTGGGAATGTTCATTTGAAAATGTCTGTGCTGCGTACAATTTATTGGGGAGGGGGGGGGGGGATTGTCAACACAGATACATTTTGTTAAGACAACATTCAAAGGTACCGGTAGCCACGAAAGTACCGGTAAACATGCACGTGTAATTGTTTTTTTTTCTGATTTGTTATTGAAAAACGGTTTTGATGGGAAAGAACCAGTCTCCTTTAGTTTGTACAATATAATGCTCTGAAATTTGAAGCACAATGAATGCCTACAAGAATGAGTACATGTGCATGTACACACATTCCATCTAAGCATCATGAAATAGAGTGGAATGTCGCTATATACCGGTACCAAACACCGCTATACCAAACATTCTGTTACCAAACATCATTCTTGCCTCCTTGGCTTCCGATTATTTTTTGAACAAAGCGTCCCAAACATTGTTGTTGAAAAATGTCAACAGAAGAGCGATAAGTGGCTATTACATTTACATTTGTATTTCCACAAGGAATAGAAGGGGAAAGCCACCCATTGCTGTTGGTAGTAAGCTAAAAAAAACTGTGTATTTACATAATTCAAGAGTCGGCACGTGTTCAAAGTCGTCTTTCAGTAACTACCAGGCGTGTAGGGTGAAGTTCTGAAGGGCGCTATTTATTGAAAAGTGAGTACCGGAGCACCAGCAGCTTCAAATCGCTATACTGAACGATCGCTATTACGAACAATTTCTGTGGATCCCGCGATGTTCGTTATAGCGGTGTTGCACTGTACCTGATGCATGTACATGTATAAATAGCAAAAATTAAAAACAAACAAACAAGCAAGGCAGTAAAATCTGAAGTCTTCGGCTGCATGCTCCTGTACTACATGTACATGTATACTGGTATGTACCGTACATGTAGACTCAGTCTCATAAAAGGTGTTTTTTTTGGTACCGGTATGTGAACACAGAGCTACTGATAGTGTATCATTGAGGAATTCCTTTGCAGATTTAATAATGCCCCATCATCTGCCAAATCATGTGAATCCTCTCCCTTGATACCCATAATAAACCGCAGTTAGCCAGGCAGCGTATAACCTCTTCACACCCAAGTGCCTCTCTGACACAGCGGGTGGTTGTCATGGTAACATTCTCGGCATTCTTCAGTGAATTATCATTAAAACAAGAGGGGGGAGTCTAGCGAGGGCTGTATCATGAGTAGCCCACTCATTAGTGGTGGAGCCAAGAAAGTAGCCACACCCTCTCTGTGGGTCATCCAAATTGAAAGCTGAGTAGTGTCGAGTCAACCTACATTGTAATTTATTTAAAGAAAACTTGCTACATGTGCATACATGCACATGCATACATGTACGGTATCCTTGTTTAATTAATGTGCAAAGTTGCATATTTCATTCTCAATAATATCCTGTACATATAATTGATGGATTAATTGGAATTAGTATTATGGACTATGCTGTGTAGTACGGTATTTCAATCACTTTGCTAAGCAGTGTATGTACATGTACACATGTATGTGGACATGTACATGTATGTCCTGCATGTTTACATGGGCATTTTGGTTAAATTGTAGGCTATTCCATTTTTGCATATATGCATACATGTACAAAATGTATGTACGGTATGTACCGGTGCAGTACATGTACATGTGTACCGGTACATGTATGTCATGGATGATCTACAATGTAGGTAAAAAAGTTGCTACCGTACGTAGCACTAATAGTGATAAAATGTATGGAACAAAATAAAGATACCGGTATGTAATATGCATGTACATGTACATTATGTTTGTAATATTATATACGCATCACTTAAATTGATGGACACATAATGTGAGGTGGTTTCTCTAATCTAGAGCAGTTGAATTTCTGGAACTGTACAATTGTGTGCCAGATGGACACTGGTGCAGTATGCAGATACTGGTACGTGATGTGTAACAATAGTGCTGTACATGTACATGTACATGAACCTCGTACATGTACATGTTATTTGTTGTGATCGGAATTTGAAAATTGCAAAAAAAAACCCCGAAAATGCAGGAACGTAATCCAAAGGCACAGTACAAGTACTACATGTACATGTACTAGTTCCTGCTCGAGAAGATTCCTCATTTCATTCTGCATGTTCAGTATGTATTGAATAATTTGAGGCTATTGTCCACTGGCCTGGGGTGATCCTAACCTGGCTTAAGTCTCGTTCTTTGATATTATAAAGAAGCTTATAGAACCCATAGAAGCCGGCGTCTTTGTGGGACCCTTGCAATGTTTTCCCTTGGCCTGCCAGACTCCCAGGTGGTATTTATATTCTAATGAGGTTGCACAATTGCTGGCAGCTACATTGTACTTGTACGGGTACTTGTAGTTGTTTGCTATCTTTTTTCTGCCTTCTATCAACCCTCATGGGCCTGGCTTCAAATGTAAGTTTTTTTAAGGCTTTTGAAACGGGATATTAAATGTGAAATCTAAAAAAATATGAAGTTTGATGAAGATGATTGTACTACATGTACAAAATATGAAAAATATATGAGACTCTGCAATGTAGATATTAAAGTAATTACATTTGTAATTACTGTGATGTACATGTATGCATACATGTACATGTACATGTGTACGTTCATGTAATGTACACATGAATAATGGCATAGGCCTATTAACCCAAAAATAGCCTATCAAATTATTATCAAAAAGCTTAGATTAAAGATTGTACTGGCACTAAACGCCTCATCAAATTACTCTGTCTGGCTTGCTGTCATTCAGAAGAAATTTGCCAATTTTTTTGGGGGGGGGAAAGAGTTACATGTACATAGATGAAACTGAGTTTCATGATCAAAAGTTGTGCGTGGTTTTTCTCCTGTTTTCTCTGTTTCAGTGTTTAAAAATCCACTGAACCGAAACTTCAACAGGTTAGGTTTTGGACATTCCTCTTAGGATTTTGAGGTAGCGTTGTTATTTGAAAGGATCAAAATGTGTGAAAAGCAAATGATCCGATTTGCCTTAAAATAAGCATTTAGTTTGAAGTTACACAATTTGTGAATGCATATTGTTTGTACTGAGGCACTAAAAATGTTGTCACAAAAAATTATAAAATTAACCAGTGCCAATTTGTGCATGTTCTGAGAATTTTTTTTCTTTTTCATAATTTAATTATACTTTTGTTGGTCATTTGATTTTACAATATGGTAGAATCTTCTGACTATATCAGAATATTGTTGAACTGAGTGTACATGTATACAAAAACAAATTTACATGTACTTGTAAGTTGTATCAACTGTGTATCATGTTCCTATTATTTTTCTAAATAGTGCTGTTTAGAAAAAACAAGTATGTCAAACATGTCAGTGTCCCAGTACCTGGCCGATCTGCAAAAACATCAGCTGATGTGTCAGATTATGCCCCGAAACATTTGTTGGCCCGTTTGACAGATTTGTGATCCATTGACCTGACCTTGGGTGACCTGCATTGACCTGGAGTCATTTGACTTGCCACATATACACCATACAGAACCCTGAACTCTACTCTAGTTTGAAGCTCTTAAGTGTCTTTGGCATTGTGTGTCAAAAGGTTCATAAATCACCTCTCAATTTTGGAAGAGACAATCGTTGCAGGCTTCACCTCTTTCTTTCTTTTTGTCAAGGGAGCCTCTGGACCCTGGAATTTCTTTCTTTGCCCCCACATGATTCGTGGCTTATAATATGATTTGGGTAAAAATCCGGCCCTATCTATCATACCGGTACATTACTGATGCCAAGTCCTTGAAAACATGGCAAATGTACACAATTAAAAATGACAGTTCAGTTACGAAACGTACAATAATGTAACCCAAATCTGGGAATGGGCAATTCCACGGTTACTCACGTTACATTTTTGATGTACTTTTGAGTTTTCTTTGGGCTGTAATTACCTTACTGAAAAGGTTTGATAACTGTTATCCCCATGGTAGATAGAGTAGACCTAGACCTACCTAAGCACTAAAGATGACATCCAGAAAAATGTGTAATGTATGATAAACGAGACACACAAAATCGGTTACTCTAGTTACATTTTCATAACGTGAGTAACCGATTTTGCGTGTCTTGTTTACCATACATTACACATTTTTCTGGATGTCATCTTTGGTGCTTAGGTAGGTCTAGGTCTACTCTATCTACCATGGGGATAACAGTTATTAAACCTTTTCAGTAAGGTAATTACAGCCCAAGGAAACCCAAAAGTACATCAAAATGTAACGTGAGTAACCGTGGAATTGCCCGCATACTTAAAATGGACATGTGTATGCTCATGGCATGCTTCAACGTACACTGTACATGTGCGGTGTATGCATGATTACATAGGATACACAAGTACATAGGATCATTAGCTTTTTGTGTAATTTTTTTTTCCCCGTTTGAAGCAACACATATTGCTCAACCAACCTGTTGGAGTTTCGGCTCGGTGGATTCCATATATTTTTAGAAAACAGGGAAAACTTATACACATTTTTTAGGGTCTTTTAACAGGTTGCTAAAGCGGGCGCCCTATTTTGAAACCACCTTCATAGTTTTGTTTTCTGATTGATATCAATTTTTTGGCGGAATAATTTAACGGGGTATTTGGTATCAGTCCTATCACTTTGACCAAGGTTTCTGTTACCAAATTTGTCTATGTGATTGCAAGTGATCCCTGACGTGCCTTTAAAATATCTCTTTTGACAATTGTTGATTCAACTTACATACTGTATAAATATTACTAATTTTTCTCTTTTTCTATGTTTAGCCTCCCAGTGAGCCTACATGGGAATGGCAATATGGACATGTCCGACTTGAAAAGGTAAATATCCTCTATTGTGTTCAAATGTTCCATTTATCATTGACCCTGAATTATAAGGAACGAAGCAGGTAGGACTTGCACATTGTCAAAAAATTCTCCATAAAGGTTCTAGAGTTACAAATCCAACAACATCTTACAAAACCTGTTGTCAGATATTGGCCAATTTTCAGTGATATGTGTTATTCGACTTTAGCATGGTGCTATCTTGTGGAAACCAGGTTGGGGGACCCGCGATCGTAGTTCTTAAATGACTCCCATAAGAAAGCAGGAGTATTCAGTGTTGTAGTCCAGTCCATCACAAGTTCTCCCAAGTCCAGCACAAGTTCTCCCAAATCCATCACAAGTTCTCCAAAGTCCATCACAAGTTCTCCCAAATCCTTTACAAGTTCTTCCAAATCCATCACAAGTTCTCCCAAATCCATCACAAGTTCTCCAAGTCCATCACAAGTTCTCCCAAGTCCATCACAAGTTCTCCCAAATCCATCACAAGTTCTCCCAAATCCATCACAAGTTCTGCCAAATCCATCACAAGTTCTCCCAAATCCATCACAAGTTCTCCCAAATCCGTCACAAGTTCTCCAGCCTCAATGCAAGTCGCAAGCTATTCCAATGAATTGTGACAATTAAGCATTCCTTTGTTGTTTGTTCACCCCCTGTTACTTGTGAAAGGACTAGTGATTTACTAATGGAAAGACTTGCGATGGACTTGATTGACTCGATTCTAACACTGGGTTTTTTTTACGTCTCATGTCTCTTAGGCAACAAGAAACAACTGTTTGCAAATATGGAAATACATTGTAAGCAAATGTGTACATTTTGGTTTTTATTTGATGGTTTTTCCCCTTTACAGAGACCAAACTGTGGTTTTGGACTGGCAGTCATCGGCGGCATCGACAAACCCACGCCTGCTGGGGAGACCGCCATCATAGTCTCGGACATCCTGCCCAACGGGCCTGCTGACGATAGACTCAAGTAAGTTACACTCCCAGTGAGGGTGAAATTGCGGACTCTGTACTTGAAAAAATAGATGGCACATTCATGACAGCTCTGTATGCCTGACACACAATGCCAGCGCACACATTTGAGCTCATATTGCACAAATGTCGCACAGTTAATTTTCATCGGCACGTGCAGAAACCTGTTGTAGCGTCTCTGCATGGCTGTACAATGGCAGTGTAGTCTAGTGTCCCATCTGGCTCTCTCTTATGTAACTGTTGAGTTTCATAATGGTTACGGTGCCAGACTACATGTGCAATGGTTGAATTGTTTTGAACCATGACAGGTATCACTGGGTTTGTGTTCTTGGGCAAGACACTTTACTACGATTACCTCTCTCGACCCCAAAGTGTAAAGGGTACCTGTGAGGATGAAGACCAGATTGCGCTGCTCTCGAGCTGCTGCAAAGAAAAAAATGGTCTCATGGCCTGATGAACAGGGGTAATAATTTTGCAGCAGTGTTATACTTTGGTAGAAAATGATTTACAAAAATGTATAATCATTAGAACTCGACATACATGTACAACTGAACAAAACCAGATATGCTCAATCTGAACGACGTGAATGTGAGTTTCCTTTTGAAAGAATTGTTTACCCTTTTGTGAAATAAAAATGATGTTCCTCCGAAGTGGACGGCAACATTTGATATTTCATTGGCTTATGATAAGGTACATGCATAAAAGATATTTTTATTTTTACATGTGAACATACACTTTCTTTAGTTATACAGAAATAACTATTTGAATTCCCAATTTTTTTTTTTAGATGAGAGAGGGTTTGAAGAAAGACCGAAAAAGGTCTCATACCGGTACCCTCTTAAAAAAAAACTGCAATAAAAATTCCTGAAGGGGTCAAAGCATGTGATGTTTTTTAAATCAAATCAGTACGTGTCGGCTTTCTGGAGTGGTGCCTGTGGAGAAAACTAGAGTGGTGCCTGTGGAGAAAAAACGTCTGGTTTCTTTTATTCATATTCTCAAAGGGCCCAGTGTTGACAACTGCAGTTCTTTCTGCAATCATTACAAATTGTGTCAAAAAGCCACATATTTATAGACTGAATCTGTTCTGTACAGTATTCCCTAGGTAGCAGGTACCAGTTTAGGGGTGATGATGTGACCAAGTTAATGTCAAGTCCATGCATGCCGTCACATGTCAATCACATCAACCACAAGTCAAGTTGCGCGAGCTGTTCATACAAGCATATAAAAATGTAACAAAAGGCATTCCTTTGTCATTGTTTGTCCCTGGATTCTTGTGACCTGGATTGACCCTGATTGACCTTGATTGACCCTGATTGACCTTGTGATAGTAGACTCTACTACTGGTACAACTCTGGGATATGAGTCTAATGATTTCTGTTCTACATTTGCGGAGGTTTTTGATGTGTTCAAGATCATGTTTCATTCTTGACCATGTTTCATTCTCTTCTTTTGCATTTGTATTTTTGTTTTTTAAAGATATTAGAATCTATATTTTAATTCTTTCTTGACCATTTTTTGAATCGGAAAGTGAAGTCATGAAAGTTTCTGTTTTTTGGAGTTGAAAAAAATAACTAAATATTTGACATACCGGTATGCATGTAATCCCATAAGCTGGCAAAATATCAAACAAGTGTTTTTCGTGTTTCCTTTTGGTGTCCTTAAGTAGAGGGTTTGGGAATTCCAGCTGTGAGGGGAAGATTGACAAAGTCAAAAAGAAGTGAAATTTAGTGAAGTGAAGTGGACGGTCCTTTCAGTAACGTTGTTAGTCCACCAAATCCCAGATGGAATGGTTTTGAACTCTGTTTTACACATGTAAGTATGTTCCATCTCGGGTGATATTATATCACCTAATAATAATGATGTTTGGTGGATTTCCTTTCCCCACTTTTCATCAACACAGAAAAAATGACAGACTGTTGAGAGTCAACGGCATCAACATGGACAGCGTGGACCATGCCGTGGCAGTAGGGGCACTGAGAAGCGCTGGTAGCACCGTGGACATTGTAAGTACTCTGTGCCATCCCTAGTCGTATCCCCTATATTCACTGCAACCCCTCCCACCCTACCCGCACCCTTAACAACCCCCACCCCTGCCCCCCCCCCCCACCCCCCCCCCACCCCAACCCCCCATCCTCCCTTCCCTTCACACAATGACCGACCACTCTGCAAACAGAAAATAAGCTTATCCAACTGCAATTGTTAAGGTGTATCTTGCTATTTTCTGTGTGGAAGGACGCTGTTCAAGAACCACCGACGATGCATTGCAAGCCTCATTGAAATTGAAGTTGTTCTCAATCATCGCTAATACCTTTTAGAAAGGCATTATGCGAGAACATCATGAATATATGCATCCGTGGCAATGCCGTTTTGGTGATTTTCAATTAGTTATGGACCTTTCTGTGTCAAGCATACTTTAAGGATCGGCGATAGTCTGCGTTGCACTGTTATTTCACAGAAAAAAGAACCCTAGTATCACCACAGGTGCCCTAATTATGGCAAAACTGACAAGGAGTTGTCACTTTGTACAAAACGAACACAGTTTGGCAAATGTCCACAAACAATGCCAACTTTTCCCCATGTTTCACTCTGAAAATAAAGGAAAAATAAAACAGCCAAAAACGGCCATCACTGTGTATGGTGACAAACTATGTTGTAAAATGCGCCTATTTGACAGAGTGTCGATGCTATAAGTTGGACTGTTATGAAATCTGGTCTCTTATACCTTATATGGATTCTAACCCTCATATCTGACCTGTCACTTTCCCAATTATCTTCACTATAGGCATGCACAATACAACCAAGGAGTCCATATTTCATAGAGTCCAATTTTCACACTACACCATTCAAGGGCTCCTGGTTAAGTGGAGGAAAATTGAACAACTCCCCCCCCCCCCCCCAAGCAAATAAAAAGTTGAGATAACTTTTCTCTTTTGACCCTGCAGGATTACAGACGGAAGATACAGAGAATGCAGCCCACTAGTAACACAAGTACGCTGTCGGGCTACGGCCAACAGCAGTACAACAACCGCGACTACAACCGGGACCCCTACCAGAAGCCCGGAGTCCAGTCCACATCCATCGACGGGCCCTACACCCCTTCCGTCAGCCAGACCACCCAGTCCAAGCCCCCGACCAGCTGGTCCGGCTCGCAGCGCTCCCTGACCCCCTCGCAGGGCAGTCGCACCAGGGAGACGGTCGTGCTGACCAAGAGTCGCAACGAGGGCTTCGGGATGCAGCTGGGCTGGAAGCTGTTTGTGCAGGGGCTGAGCGAGTACGGCGTGGCGGCCAATCAGGGGCTCGGCAAGGGAGACACTATCGTTAAGGTGAGCGACGATCACCCTTTATCCCTAAACCCTGCTAAATGCAACAGAAAGCAACAAAAGGTAAAAAGTTGTTGCATATTGTTGCATTAAGCAGCCAAGTCCCCGTGCTTTGTTTCATCTTGTTTCATTTAGCAGGGTAACTGCTCATAGTGCCAAGGCGATACAATTATCCACTGTTGTAGTTTGTTGCATTTAACAGGGTAACTGCTTGGTGCCAAGGTGTGTGTACTGGATTCACTGCACAATGCAACATAATCCACTGTTGCAGTTTGTTGCAAAAGCAAGGTTCTCATGTGAATTGAGTTGGATATTGTCGCATTTAGCAGGGTACCTGAAGAATAGCCCATGGGGGATAGGGTTCAGAAATCCAACCCCAACCCCAAAACAACAAAAACATCAAAGGGAAAGTCACTAGAAATTTAACCATTCACTTGTTAAAGTCATCAAGTGGATTTGAATCCAATTACCTTTTTGAAATTAACGTCTTATTGATACCTGTATAAGTGGGTATCATGGATTACTTCTGAAAACAACAACATTCTAAGATTAATTCTCGTCCATCTTTTACAAAGAATTCTCATTCAGACAGAGCCTTAAGGGACACCTGTGCTTTACCTCATCTGTGAGATCAAAAATCAAAACTGGTTATAAATTTCCCGTCTGCAGATCAACAACTACCCGGTGGAAACCCTGAGCCTGGCCGACGCCAAACGCCTCATCCAGACCTCGGGCAACTCCCTCGACCTGGAGATCATCCGGGAGCCCCCGGCTGCCGAGTTCTCCACGCCGAAGTACGCCACGCGCAGCGTGGACCGTCTGGACCGCCTGTCCATCGGCGCGGGGAGCGAGGGAGTGATCCCCCAGCAGTCACAGCCACAGTTGCAGTCGCAGCCGAGGGGCGGCTACGGCCTGCCGGGGCAACAACAACAACAACTCGGGGCTGACGAGTGGGAGCTACCGCCCCTTCGCCGGAGTGAGAATGCGATGTTGAGCAGGGAGACGGATGACCCCCTGGCCCCGCCCAGACCGCCCCTACCTGGGGAGGAACGTGAACCAGGTACGTAGCAAAATATCTGTTTACTTTACTTCCAATTCATTCATAAATAAATAATGTAATAGTGTAATAATAAATAATGTAGGCAGCAAATACTTAACATGGTAACCTCAAATACGGAAAAAACAATATGCAAAACAAAATAAGTCAATTTTTGTTCACACTACTGCCAATAAGGCCTTCCAGAATAGTATATACATGTATTAAACCTTAACCTTCCATCTTTAATTTGTTATGAACTTGTTACATAACCCAAACATAAACAAACATGTTTAGAGTCACTGCACAGCAACATTTAATCGCATGGATTTCCTTTTTTGTATCATAAGTATGTCTTATTAATTAATGTTGATAAAGTGTACTGAATTAATTAATTAACCCTAACAGAACTCAACCCATCAAACCCCAACTGCATGTTTTGTTGGAATCTGTCGGGATGGGTACAGTACCCCTAAACTGACAGTCTTTTACATTAGGTTGGCACACCTCCAGAATCAAAGTCAGAAATATGTGTGTGCAGTTTCCCATACGGTGTTGGAATTTGCCAGGATGGGTATGGTTCCTAGTAAATCATGCTAGGGAGTTAGGGTTAATGTTGATTAAGTGTGATTTTTTTTTCCCGAGTGCCCACTCAGAAATTGGTCGCAAATATATTGTTTGAATATTTTGTAGCGTAGGAGGCTTGGTCGTTGTAGGAAACAGATGTACATATGTACCATCTTAAAAACAATTATGTACTTTTTTTTTTCCTCGTTGATTTTCAGAGAGGTTTAATTTGCCACCACCTCGGCCACCAAGCCCAGGCAAGCAAGAATTCATGGGGTGAGTAGATGAAAAACTTTGTGTTTATTCAGTTAGATGTGTGCAGAATCCCACATTAACCCACCTAGATCTTTCGAAATCCACTACGGTTAAACCTAACCATGCTCGCTAGCCTGGGTAGTCTTACTGAAGTGAGTACCCTAACAAACCGAGTCCATATCTTTCCTGTTTTGACCTCGCGTGATTATTATTCATGATCTCTCGCAAAAATGGACTGACTTAATTTCTGACCAATTAGATCCCTCGTTACGAAAACTGACCCAGAATTGACCTCTTACCAAATAAAAAATGGCAGTGTGCTGTGCCGTCCTGTAAAGTGCTCTCCTATTGGCTACAAAACTTGACTGGGTAATTCCAGACCTGAATATTCAGTGCGTAGGAAAACATCACAAAGTCTGCGCAGAGAATCTGGTGTGCTGATGATGAGTGCCAAAATAGTAAAGATTTCGACGGCTAGCAAGGATCCCTCAAAAATCGTGTAGGAAGTTTCTTGCAGGACTGTGGAAGATCACTGGCATGTTACATTTGGGGTTAATGCCTCGTGAAAGTTGCCTGTAAAGTGCAAAGAAAGGTCAGTGGTTTCCTGTGGTGGATTTTGGAAGATGCAGGAAGGTTTCGAGCAAACTTGCTGGTGGAGTTAGGGTAACGGCAGTCGTCCCCCGCGGTCAATGGTAGTCCACGGAAAGTGACTTTTTCCCCCATTAACCCTTACTCTCTGAGGGTAGTTTACTGCATGTCAGTTGGTTATGCCAATGCCCTCCAGCTGCAGTTATTTGGCAGATAACAAGTCTTAGCAGTGAAGGCTCCAATTGGCAGGAGTTGGAGGCCCTGGAGGGTGCCTGATACTGACCAGCTGGGGGCACTCACTTTGTTATCAGAGGACTCTCATTGTTCTCTGTGGCATGTATTGGAGTGCCTGTCCAGTTACCCTTGAAATGACATGGCAGATATTGGAGGGCCATGCAAAAAACATAGGAGATTTTCTTGAGGCACATATTGGCATGCGTTGGAGGGTCAAGTAGGGTAAGGGTTAAAGAGGGATGTTGGGGACAGAAGCAAATGTATTTTTCTGTGAGAAGTGTGGCATTAAGTTTTATTTGTCATCTGTTTGCAGTCGATTCTTTTTTTTTTTGGTGATTCTTTTTTCTTGGTGGTTTTTTTTTTTTACTTTGGGGGCTTGGGGGTGATTTGGGGGCTTTTGAGCACTAACAGTGAAGTATATCTAACTCTGGTGAAAAGTAAGGAGTGCAGCAGTGTTGATACAAGATTTATGTATGTCTGATTCATGAATGTAGAATCTAGAGAAATCTAAATCTGTTCATCTTCTTGAGAGATCACATTAACAATACCAATACATCAAGTACATGTACTTGTCCTTCAGTTCACTTGTACACATTTTCATATTTGCACTATACATGAACACCCAAACATTTTACATGTACCGGTTGCTACGTGTACATGGAATCTCTCTGAGGAATTGAATACAAAACGAGAGATCATAGTTTATTTGGTACATGTCCGTTTCACTCGCTACTTTAGCCTGTAGATTTCTCACACCACATGCATGGACATTTTTAGATACAGTACGCCATTCTAACACTTGTGGCTGGCCCAAGCCATATTCGTGGGCCAATTTGAATGTCAATTTCAGGGCTGATTTTGAAGTGAGCGAAGGTTCAAAGTTAACGGCAATGCAAAAGCGAAACCAATACGATAATAGAAAACATTCACTGGTCTGTTCGAAAAGTTGAATGCGTGCATGTGTGTCCCCCTGTGAACGTGCATATACAGTGCGAATTCTAACATTTTGCCATTATTGCTATTAAATGTTTTTTTTCCTTGACTTTTTTCCTGCATGATATACAAATTCATTAGAGGAATGACTTATTCAAACTTACTTCAGTAGCAATCGAGCAACTGTACACATAACTTAGTGCTTTGTTGAGGGTGTGAGAATATTCAGCTTTTTAGCACAGATGTGCTGTTAAGAATTCACATAAGTTTTTTCATTTTTCATCAAACATATTGAGAAATACTTATTTTTCATTATCAGTATGTTATTTGTTGTGTGCCATATTAAAACAAGTTGAGTAGTTAATTTGCAAAGGTCTGGGTGTATTAGGGTTCATTGGTAGCTTAAATGTAATAGTGTACTGGAGATTGGGAACCTGTTTGGAAGTTTTCTGGCTTTAACAAAGGGCTGAAAAATGGTGCGTTATTTAACATTGAAAGCTTACGCTTTGAGTAAACAGAAAGTGAAAGGGTTTTGGGATCATAAAGTAATTTCATGTCATGTACATGTAATTGTCATTGCAAAAAGGTTGAGCTGACCCACACGTTGTCGCAATGATGCGAGTTGTGCATTTTTGACCAACACATCTCAAGTTCCAAGACGTAAGGCCTTTTCACACTATCCTCTTGCCTACCCGTGTAGAAATCATCACGGGTCCACCGTAAGCAGGACCGGGACCCATCGCACACGGGTTGGCAAAGCATACCGTTCACACTCAACAAGGCTTTACCCGGGTAGAGTGCCGGGGATTCTTGCTAGAGTGACAGGTGGTCCCGGAATCTCCGTATGGGACGCGAGTCCAACACGGAGATTTTGAATAGTGTGAAAGGCCCTTATGATCATGCCTTGACATTGCTAGAAAAATTTATTGCACAACTTGCAAATGTGTGGCCAAGGTTTGTTGAGGCCCACAACCTTTTTGCACCGACAACGACGTCTCTAATCCATGGTCTCATTCTAACCCATCCTACACTACATCGGCATCTTCCCAGACGCTCCACCGCACTCTAACAACGTCAAGCATCGCTCGCTTCCGTCATGTCCGCAACACACACACGTAGAGGAAATCTAAACTCCCCCCTAACCAAAATATGAAATGAAAAAAAGGGGGAGTCTAAACCCAACGCATGGTCAGAACTGAATCATTAACCAACTTTACAGACGCTACGATCGAGACTACTGGTACTCTCCATCCTGAGGTTTGGCTCGGTTCTCTTCCAGGGGTCTGCTTCGCCTTTAAGATGAACAGGATCTCCTCGAGGATGTGAAGCAAAGTGCAAGACATTGAACCCTTACTGGATTTTTTTTTTTTGACTAGTGCCCAGTCTTAGTATGTTAAAGGGCCACGCTGTGGCATTGTGCACCAGTCATGTACATGGACAGCGTACAATGTATGAACCTGAGTAAGCAGTATGCACACGGATGTATTGTGTGCTATGTCAAAACAGTTTCTTTTAGACCTACCGGTATATAAAGAAATGGAAATCACTGATGATTTTCTGCAATTTTCGTTCTTGAAGGTCAAAGTGGCTTATGAAGTCAAAATTCAAAACTGTTCTTTTTTGGGGGGGGGGGGGGTTCTTTTACATACAAGTTGATGGCACATGACAAGAGTGGTTCCTGCATTGAGCTCATATTGAACAAGCACTGTATTGAGACTGGGGACTACCGTAGATCTTCGACTTGAGGGATGCAATGTTTCGCACTGTTAAATAGTCTACAGAAAGTGGTGCGGTCCTCCAGCATTTAGACAGTTTGTGTGCTTCTGAACTTGCAACATCTGATTTCAAGTAATCGGGATTGGTGATCAATTAAAAAAAAAAAAAGATCCAAGCCAGATTTAATAATTCCCTCCATGTAAATGAAAATTAATTAATTAATGTGAAAAGCCAGTTTCGGGGCCTAATAAGTGTTACTTTGAACAGTTTTAGTAACGTGTGTGAATGCAGTTTAGGGTGTGATACATTGTACATCCGCATGGGTGTACATGTCCATGTTACTACTGGTACATGCACTACCACTTTTGCCAAAATGAAAGAATTTAAGATAGATTAAATGTACATGTACATGTACACATAGTTTCATTTGAAATTGATGTCTTTGATGAAATAAAGTAATCCAATGGCAAGGTCACTTTTTCTTTTCCTTTTTTTTATTGAAATGTTTGCCCTCATGCCAGCATCACTTTAAAACTCTATTTTTTTTTTAATCACCTGATGTGTAAGAATTAAATTGAAATAACAGAATTAAACTGTGATTTGTGACTTATTCATTAACTTAAAGTTTGTGACTTTTATCAATTGTCTTAATCAAAAATATAATGTCTGCCAAGTAGGCAACTATTCTTTGCTGTATTTTGTAAATGTTGGCACAAGTCTTACCACATGTTCCTTCACTTACTTGTTGTCATGGTTACGCATTGATGGTTTTTCGTAGATCCTTTCCAGGGTTTTCGTGCTTGTTTTGATAAATATAGGTAGTTTACTGACTTATTTAACCAAAGACTAAGAAAAAAATGCTATGTACATTTGGCTCAAATTGATAATAATAAGCAACGACTACATGTATATTAAATGATGTATGCCATATAACTGATTTACCCAGTAATTTTGTAGGCAGTAAAAATTTCTAATATTTTTCCGTTTTTTGGAATGTTTGAAGAAATCAAGCTCACTGATGTGTATATTAGATCTGTCCTATTTATATTTACCCTAAATACTGTATTAGTGAGCTAGAATTTTTAAAAGTGTATCATAAGTACTAATTAAATTATTATGATAAATTTCTTCGAATTAACGTATCTATAGCTGCAGATGTCGTAAAGTGAATAACATGTAATTTTACCCAGTCATTAATCACATGTTTAAAGTTGGTAATTTCAGCCCCAAAAGACTAGTCCGAGTATCATCTATTGTTGTTGTTCAGCAGAACCCGCACGCTCCGCAACAATGTCTGATGTTATACCTGTGCATGCAAATTTTATGCGACCCTGCGCGCCAGCCAATTGGAGTCCACTTTAGAACTTGTGACGTGATTTCTAGCAGAAATTGGGCATAAGCCTTTGATTAGTCAGATTTGCTGCCATGTTTTTGGAATACAACGGGTTACCGAAGACCTGATAGAAGGCGCCGCCGAATGGTCAGAATCTCGAGCTCAAGTTGCAGTGTTTGAAAAATCTGCACGCATCTCAAAAGACGTGTTTTGTCATCTTATATTGCCGACTATTTTTTGTTCCAATCTAATTAACTTAAATAAACTTCTTTGCCTTTTTAATACTTTACATAAGAATAACATTAATTTGTGTAATTAAGTTGTCTTTTTAAAATGCTAACATTTCGCAAGAAATTGATTTAGTTTTTATTTATCGAAGTCGTACATATTAATCCGTGTAAGCGTTGCCTTGTGCATGTAGTTTTCTACATAGAAAATGAAGTGTAGGCTTTCAAGTTTTCTAGAAATTTAGCCAGTGTATTCATAACACTGCTGGTTTTTTTTTTTTTTTAATTCAAACCAACTCCTTCCCAAAAACTTGACATGTATAATGCTTTATCAAGGCTTTGTTATCATTATGTAATATGCTGCTTCACCTTAATTTGCTATTATTTGGACAAAATCATCTACCTTACATGTAATAAATGATTAATTGATTATTCAAAATTGACATCTGGTTGGAGTTGAATGTCCTTATTTGTCTGTCTTTTGTTTACATTGTTTAAGTGTGTCTGTAACCGGTTAAGGGCAAATGCAGCGTAACAGATGTAGAGGTCAAAAGGTGAACGTCTTAGGTCAAATGTCACAAAAACTCTGTCTTTTTTGCAAAATTGACACTAATACATAATTGTCAGTTGATGAATTTACTGTTTGAGCATCAAGAGAACACGTGACCAGCATTTGCATACATCAATGTGAGGCTTGAGTTATTTATTTTAATTTGGTTAGCCCATTCAGTGGAATCCACTGGTCTCCCATGGGGCCCAGTAAAGAGAAGACAATGTGAAGAAATTACAGTTTGAGACGTGGGAGGACAACCCCAGAAGAATATTTTGAGGAAAACCCACGGAATCGGGCAGGGACTGAAAACCCAATCCACATAATGGCCCGGGCAGGAATCGAACCCGGGTCATAGCGGTGGAAGGCGAGGAAAGTACCGCTACGCCAACCTGACTCCCTGTGTTGCAACGCATATGCCCTGCAACTTGGTCACCCATGCAGATGTATGCAAATATAAGCTCCTACTCCAGATATTCTGGGTTTTTTACAATTTATGTACATGTACATGTATGATTGCTGACTGTATGAGTGGGCATCTGTTCAAATATGGCAAAATCTGCTGGTACTGTTTTGGGCATTTGGGATCTACGACTTGTCGAAATGTAAACAAAGATAGTTGTTAATAATAATGCAGAACATGTATGCAACAGGTTTCTTCATATCTCAAAAGGAAAGAAGCGTGGAAAAAAAACTTGCTTTTGAAAAATTTCTTTTACCAAGTGGGTTGTTTGAAAACACACATCATTTGTTTACCTGTGAAGGACGTTTTCAATTATCATTTACTAACACCTATTTACTAACATTGTGTAGTCGATTTGGTTTTTGTGTTTTACTTCTCATTTCATGCTTTGGAAATGTTCATGTTTTGCATTAAAATGATTTATTTTTTGTTAGAAAATTTGTGGAGAAATTTTAGCTGACGGAAAAAAAATGTGTACATGCATATTTTTCCGTGTTCAAAGTGTATGTTCTCAATAATTTTCCATTGAAATGCATAAATGACAGTCAAGAAAATTTGTGAACATTAATTTATTGTTCACCTAGGAATTGGGACAAAGAAACTTGGTAAAAAAAAGTAGTTGAAACTGCAAGCATTTTGATGCATGCATCTCCAAAATACAATAAAAAAAGAAAACAAAAGTCTTAAAAGGCTGTGTATTTTAAAAAGGCATTCAAATATAAGTCTCCAGAATATATGTTCTTTGTTCCGACTTGTGTACTTTTGTAAAATGTTTTCACCCAGAAATCATTCATCTTGTCACCATGCTAGTTGGGGGGTTGTCAAATTGTCCTACATTTTAGTTTTAGTCCACACTCGAAAAAAAAAAAAAAAGTATGTAAAACATGAGATTTTCACCAGCATGAAATTTACACCTTTCTATTAAAACGCTTTGCTTTCTTGAAACGCTTCCCAAAAAAGCAGAAAAAAAACCTAACTTTCTGTCGGTAAAACAGTGTGCTAAAACTGTTGGCATTACCTAAAACATTGAAATGCATCCAGTTTTTTTGGAAGACCAAAAACCTAAAAAGGCAAATTTCATGCTTGTGAGTTCTTCCTGCTTTGATACACTCACTTTATACCTAGATAGAAGAAGATGAACGAAAAAAACATTTAGGTGTGATAATTTCATGCTGTGGAAATTTCATGTTTTCTTCCCAGCATCTCGGAGGAGGTCGTGGAAGGAGAAGATAGGCTGATCTCCTTCCGGAAGGGGAAGAGCGTGGGTCTGCAGCTGGTCGGCGGCAACGACTCCGGCGTGTACGTTGCGCGCATCCAGCCCAACAGTAATGCCTCCATGGCGACCGGCCCCAACGGGGACAGGATTCGTGTTGGTGATCGCATTGTGGACGTAAGTTTCTGTGTTGTTGTTTATTCGTAATCCTAACAGTACCGGAATCCTTAAAAATTTACCAGGAGGTTGGGAGAATTTGAAAGGGTTGAGGAAGATGGGGCTCTAGCTACTATAACTTTACATGAGGCTATTTCCCTTGAGACTAAAAGTTCATATACAAAGTATAAACAATCTGTCCATTAGTTGGACAGTACAGAACGGGCTTGGCAGCATCAACATAGGAAAGAAGACCCTGTTGAGCTTGAAGGTGGTGGATTTTGGAGGGTTAAGAATTTTTTTCGGCAAATCTACCTTAACCCTTACCCTGCTCAATCCAACGGAATCCAACTGTCTGTTTTACATACCCGCTGGGTCCCGTTAGATTGAGCAGTAAACCCCAGGTATATATTCCTGTTGAAATCTGTTAGATTCAGCAGGTAATGGAAAACATTCAGTGTCAGATTCTGTTGGGTACTGGTAAATAACGCCAAGTTGGACTCTGTTGGACCCAGCAGCAAACAGAAACATAAGGCAGAGTTGGAATGAGCATGCCAGTCATTTTATATGTTCAAGCACCCAACAACTTGGCAAGTTGGGTTGTGTTGGATTGTGTTTGAATGAGCAGGAAACTCAGTAACCGTCGGACTCTGTTGGATTTACCAGGGTAGTCCTGGGGACAACTAGGGGGTTAGGGTTAAGAGTTAGGATTAATATTACAGACTTGTCTTCAGGCAATTCAGATTAGCATAGCAAAGTTTAAATAGGATTTTGTCAATTTGTTTTCATTTTGTTGCAAAATATGGGTTTGGGCATCTGAATGTGTCTGTTTTCACTTATACTTGAAAATAACAAGACAGGATGCCTAGAATTTTCACAATGGGTGTGGAACAGGAAAGAATGTTGCAACCTTACGCTGCTTTTTTCTTCACATACCAGTATCATCTCAATGAAGGTCAGTCATTGCAAAAATGATGATAAGACATGAATCTGGGACTGAGAAACATTTCCAGTTTTGTTAGGAAATACTTGGAAAATTTTCTTGACTCTCCATAGACTTTGTACACAACTGCTGAAGTGGCATCAGGTTGCAACATTCTTTCCATGGAAAAGAATCCCTGCGGCTAAGATCCTCGGTCAGAGTTTTTGTTTGAACACAGTGTCATTGATTATTAAAGCAGTATGGGGTTAAGGCAAGGGAAAATCTAATGGAAACCATGTTTAAACTGTTTTGGCATACCCTGGGTAAAGAAATGATATAAATAAGTAAAATAAATAGATTCATTGAGATGCTTGGAAATGAAGCAAATGTCGCAACAACTTCTGGTATCATGTACATGTGGGTCATTCTATAAATTAATGGCCCAAAGTGTGACATTTTTCCTGTCTCACTTACCTAGGTAATTTGCCATTCAAATGTCATAAAGAATGACTTCAAATGATTGTCGGGAAGGGAGTTTGCTATTCGTAACCCTAACTCCCTAGCATGATTTACTAGGAACCATACCCATCCTGGCAAATTCCATATGGGAAACTGCACACACACATATTTCTGACTTTGATTCTGGAGGTGTGCCAACCCAATGAAAAAGACTGTCAGTTTAGGGGTACTGTACCCATCCTGACAGATTCCAACAAAACATGCCGTTGGGGTTTGATGGGTTGAGTTCTGTTAATGGTTAAAAAGGAGTACAAATGTAACAGGGATAGGGGAAAAAAGTGGACCTCAAATTTATAGAGTGACCCATGTACCGGTAGGGACTGTTTCCCAAAGTGCTTACTGATTCCAAAACCCTAAATCGACTGAAGATCACATTTTAGGCTGAAAACTCGTATCCTGCTGATTAGGGAGATTTCATGGGAATGTAGTTAATAGACCATTATGTTGCAGCCATCTTGATTTTTTCTATTCAAATCAACCTAACCAAAGCGAGGCTGGAAGGAAAAAAAGTCTGGTTCCTTTTTGCACAATAAACATTATCATTCAGTACTGTTATTGGATACAGGGAACAAGACTAAAATGGTGGCAGCATGATAAAGGTCTATGATGCTTGTAGACGGCAGCACTTTATGTACTATACTGTCTGGGGTGGTAGGCTTAGCTTTTTGGTCCCTGATCAATGTGGGGCGCGATTATGTTAGGATGAATGTTCAGGGTTTTGTGCTTAAATACGGTAGGTTGACACATGTACATGTACAAGTAGTGAGGGCACGGTACAATGTTCAGGTTTGCTTTACATAAAAGCTCTTGGCTCATTGCCAGACATTAATCTTGGCGTTTGCGAGGAAAATAAAATCAGCATTGTACCCACATAGAAGGGCCCCCAGGGAGAACAGGTAAAATGAAACTATAAATAAAGTAAAGAAAATAAAGAACGGCCATTGTTTGACCAGATTGTGTCTGGAATGTGTGCCACATGAAGAATGTGGATAAAGCAATGAACTATTGTTATCCGGAGAATAATACTAAAACATAACGCTACTCAGTGTTGTGTTGAAAGATGACAGATTGAGGTTGATTTATGTACAGGGTGAGTCAAAAAAGCGGAACCCAAACCCCATAAAATATATTTCATATTTAATAAGATATGTAGCCGCAAAAATAATAATGACTGGAAAGCCAATTTCGCAAGCTATTTTAGATGAAAAGATTACTGAAATTGCTCAATCTGTTCAAGGAATATCACCATTTAAACACAATGACCCTAAAACCTGTCTCGTCCAAAAACAGCAATTCATTGTGTGTTTTGACTGTTTGGAACAACAAAGAAAATGACACAGAATACTTGTTTCAACAACTGTCACCAACTGTACTACACAATATCTTTAATAACAACCCTGGTTAAGCAAACAATATGATTTATAAAATCTCCTTTTTTTTAAAGGACGGGCCTTCAAAGGGATTCCGTTGAATATTTTTAACGTTTAAACTGGGATTTTATTGCTAGTGATGATTGAAGACAATTGCGACGACGATTCTTGAAATCGCATTTTTTTTTGGACGAAACAGGTTTTAGGGTCATTGTGTTTAAATGGTGATATTTTCTCAATGGATTGACCAATTTCAGTCATTTTTTTCATCTAAAAGTACCTTATGAAATTGGCTTTCCAGTCATTATTATTGGGGGGTTACAGTGCGTGTGCCCTTGGGCAAGGCACTTTGTCACTCATTGCTTCTCCCCACCCAGGAGTAGATGGGTGCCTGTGAGGGCAGAGATGGTTAGTGTGTTTGATTTTAGCTGCTTTGCGCTGAAATGGCAGCATCGAGCTGTATACTCCCCAGGGAGCTGAGATGGTCTTTGGAATGTTTCATTGGCCCAATGAGCAGGGTGATAATGATGCAGCGCCTTAAGCACCAATACTGGTGGATATGTGCACTTTATAAATACACATTATTATTAGCATAATAGCAATGAAAGCATTGTTCACATGTGTGTTTTTGCAAGGGAGTCAGTACAAGGGAACATCTGGTTTCAAAAACATGGTGCATGTATGTAAACAAAGCCTGACATTGTATATCAGGTCTGTTGTTCTGTACTTTTATCTCATCTTATGTATCATCCCTTTTAGGTGAATGGAATCAACCTCCAGGGCAAGACCAAAGAGGACGTGATTCTTCTGCTGCTTGGTATCCATGGCGACGTGCATCTTGTTCTTCGTGAAAGCTCGGGTAAGTCTGTCCACACCACATCAAATTGGGAGAGTATTTTTTTAAGGTCAGTGTAAAAACACCTTGTCATTTTATGATTTTCAAACTAGAAAGAGTTGTGAGCCAAAATGCTGTGTCAAATATGTCTGTTTTTCATTTGGGAATGATTGAAAGCACAGGGGGGGGGGGTACTAGCACTGTAGGTATTACAGTGCTATCTTTAAAAATTGATATTTCATTTTATAGGCCACGAAAATCAAAAGTCAACAATTTTGTAAATAATTTCTAATCTTTAACGCACCGGACCAATTCGAGCGAGCGGGGAGAGGAGCACCATTCAAGAAAACAGAGACTCTGTAACTGAAAGTGTTCTCAAATTCTGGTCTCTACCTTCACGGGTAACCATTTATACTTCTGGTTGGAGAGAGGTAATTGTAGTAAAGTGTCTTGCCCAAGAACACAAACACCATGTTCCCTGTACCACGGCACATGAGTCGGAACAGTTTAACCATTGGACCACTGTACACCCTCTTCTCCAAACAGGACCGTGCTTGGGTACTTTCGTTTAGAAGAAAATCATTTGGTCTAAATACTTGGCAAGTAATAGTACCCTTCGCAATAAAACATTTGCTATCAAACAAGGATGTTGTTTTTAGTGAGGTTTTAAAAAAAAAAAATTCTTGTTTCGCCTGCCAGCTTTCAAGCTCGTCCTTCACGGCGGCATCGGCGACCGTTTCTTCATCCGCGTCCACTTCAACTACACACCGCTGTCGCCGGGCGAGATGAGCTTCACCAAAGGGTGCGTCTTCCGCGTGCTGGACACCATGCCGGAAGGCGTGGTGGGCCAGTGGTACGTGCTGAGGCTGGACCGTACCAATGTGGCCCTGGAGAGGGGCATTGTCCCTAACGAGAGCAGGTACAGAAAAATACTAGAATAGTCAAGTTTGAGTGGAACGTCTCAGCGCAGGACATTATCTCTACTCTATGAGTCTGTGATTCACTGATGACTTTGTATATAGCCGCTCAATGAAAGGCGATAATCCGGGGGACAATAGCCGCATGCCTGCTGCATAGCAGCTTTGGAGATCTCATTCATAGACAACGGCCGTACACATTCCATGCAAAGTGCAACACAAAATTCGTTGGGAGTCCGCAGCTTCCGAAATCATATCGCGCTTGTTTTTTATATTTCTTCAGAATTGGGTCGCAACACTTAAAATAAGTTCAGATCGTATGACGTTAAAATATCACGTGACCAAGCAAGCATTTGGTTAGCAACCACGTTGCGCATTGTAGACTAGACAGTGGGGCTTATTTGTCTCGTAAAATAATCACGTATTCTTTATCTAACGGCAGAATGGTCGCTATATTTGCCTTTACAGTTGTCGTAAACGTGGCGAGCAAGCACTTCGTGTTGGCTCCGCATTTTTCTTATAGTTTTTGCCTTCCATCACAGCTTTGAAGGCTTGCCTGCTGCCTACTGCGCGCAGCGCTATAAGATCTTTGCCTGCTGCAATGGCGACAATGACAAATTTCCAGTTCCGGGATGATAGGCCAGGCTAGGTCAGGTGGATCAGTGAGAGACCTCTATACTCTTACTCGTAGACCACAATTTCATAATTCTCAAATACGAAGCTGTGAATGTATCAACCGTGATAAGTTCGGCCGAAATGGGCTTTACGAAAATCCACATTAGTCAGTTTTTGATTTGTACGTCATAACCTTTGCCACCATAGTGACTGCTTATATAACACCATTAATTGGAGGTGTGATTTGTCGGTATTTTTCTCGATTTCTGGGTTAAAAAAGAAATCTTTTGAAATCGGGAATTTTATGAGGTTTTACCATAAAGGTATATTTACCTATAAAAGCCTATATAAAACAAAAGAAATGAATGTTCAATTCCCCCCACCTCACCCCTGGTAAACTTCGGATTTTGCCTGATTAAAGGATTGTTATGTCAAGATTTTCTCCTGATTTCAGATTTTTTTTGTCAGGATTTTTCCTGATTTCAGGATTTTAAAAGAGTCTCTTTTGAAATATAGAATTCCTGAGCTTTTACTGGAATGGTGTTTCACCTATAAAAGTTTATATAAAACACAAGAAGTGGGTATTTTAAAGGGGTGCAGTTAGGCAAATACAAACGTATGCAACCAACCCGATGTTGTTCTGAGACCCTCAACGACCCTTAAACCCTCTGCCGATTATTTTGTGGATTTTTGCATTTTTCTCCCTTCTCACCCCTGTTCCTGGTTTTCGGTTTGGCAGGGCCAGCCAGCTGAACTCAGCTGCCCAGGTGGAGGAGGCCATGGCCTTGAAGCCCATGAACTACGAGGGGCGTAAGGCCAAGTTCAAGCGTCTGGGCATGAGGACCAGCATGCGGGGCAAGACACTCATCAAGGACCACTGGGATGAGATCATATTCGGTGAGTTCTTGGAAATTTCTCTCTGACCGTCTCGGACCTTTAACAATCCACCAGGATTGGGGCACAGTGGCGCTCCCAAGGGGGGCCTCAGGGGGCTTGATCCCCCCCCCAATAGGTTGTCAATTTTTTTTTTTTTTTTTGGTCAATTTTTTTTTTTAGTCACACAATTTGACCGTGGTGATATGTATGTGGCCAATTTTCGAGTAGTATAATAGGGGTGTAAATGGCGCCACCAATGTCGAAATAGTCCGCCCCCTCCTCCCCAAATTTTCTCACAAAAAAACCCAACTTTGTTCCGCGGCCGAACATTTTGGGCAACAATTGTGAGCCCCTCCCACCCCCAGCCAAATCCTGGGTGCGCCACTGTTGGGGGAAGGCAGCGCTCAGCAACCATTACCATTCCTTTGGGCTTGATGCCACTTGATGTTTTTGTAAAGTAGATTTCATGCATTACAATTTGTTACAATTTTCCCTGAATCTCTATGCAATTGTTGAGTTTTGAATTCTGAACCATACCTACTGGCAAAATGTTTTGTAAAATCTTTCCTTTCCTCGTTGGTATGAGAAACTCACTTGTCAAATTTTGAAAATTCAATCTTTGCGCATTGTTATTGTATGATGGCTGTCTACAGTAGCGGATCTAAGGGGGGGTGTAGGCTGCCTTCCCCCCGCCCTCGGGCTGCAAAAATATGGGAAACTCATGCAGGAAAAAGGAGCATGTCTGCTAACCCCCTCCCCCTTGACAGCTAACTCCCCCCCCCCCCTCCTTGACCCAAATTTGGATCTGCGCCTGGTTTAAACCATTTCGTTTGTGCGATTCAAATCTTTAAGCATCCCATTTGGAAAAAAAAAGACGATATTCAGTGTTTTCCTAATTGTTACCCTCTCTGTAAATGATATCTATGGCTGGTTTGTTCTTTCATTTGTGTTAGGTGGCACTGTGTTGAAATTCCCTGGCTACGAGCGTGTGATCTTGAGAGAAGGTAATGTACATCTCAAATTGTTTTACAAAATAGGTTTCTAGAATATTTTATATTCATAAATACCTAAGACAGTTTACGCATTCCTATTGGTCGTGAGCCCGTCACGTGGCCGGTCTTAAACGGATGATAAAGACATGGCTGGCTGGTCTTAAACACTTTTCCAGTGTCACAATAAAATGTGGACTCCTAAAAATCCAGTGCCTCTTACCGTTTCATTGGATGAAACTACCAGGGAGTCAGAATTTTATAGTTCTAAATTCAAAACGCAACGCGCCAGGTGCGTTCTGCGCAACATCGCGCAGAACATGATACGCGTGCGTCAATCTCCATAAAAGGGTTGTTTACATCTTACTCGCCAGCTGAACACTCCATTATTTTGCAAGAGGGATGTTTCAAAAAGCATAAAGTGAATTTGTTGAACAAAATCGGGATGTTTTGAACGAATTATATGATTTTTTTTTACCGAAAAGGCATTTATGAATGGGAATAAATATGTGCTCCGTCGTTTATTAATCACTCTGTTTAAGACCACTTAGAGTCTGGGTGCTGATAATTACCCTCGCCTCCGGCTCGGGTAATTATCAGCACCCAGGCTCTATATGGTCTTAAACAGAGTGATAAAAACCTCCGGAGCACACATTTATTCCCTTATTATTAGTGACGTTGCAAAACCTATCAGCTAAGTTACCTGAAATTGAGACTCTAGTGTGATTAAATAGGATACTTGGGAAATAGCATTAACAAAAATCATAATTGGATAACTTATAATACATGTAAGTCATTTGATAGCTTATTGTCCAATCAGGATTCAGGAGGATTTGTGTCCCAACAAAACTCATACGTGGGCTTAGGGTGAATATTGATACATTTCCTTTGAATCTTCTCGCTTTGTAGTCGGCTTCACTCGTCCGGTCATCATCTTTGGCGCAATGGCTGATCTGGTTCGAGACAAACTCCTCCAGGAAATGCCCGGCAAATTCGAATCACCTCGTAAGTATTCAGTTTTGGAATTTGAACACTTCTGTTTAAAGTCTGTCCCAAGTTATTTATCTGAAATGACAATATTTTTAACTTTTTAAGATCCATTGGCATGAAGTCGATTGCAGACTACTCACAAGCTTAATGCTGATTAACCCATTTACATGTTAAGCTCATGAATAAAATTAGACAGATTGCTGTAAAGAGGTTTGCCCAAGGACACATGTGACCAGCAGCTGTATTCCAACCCTGACCCCGCAGTCACAGATTACAAACCCCACTCTCTAAGCTGTTGCCTCAATATCGGATGTGAAAGTCAGGCTGGCGTAGCAGTACTTTTCCTCGCCTTAACTGGGTTCGATTCCTGCCTGGGCCAATATGTGGATTGGGTTTTCAGTCCCTGCCTGATTCCGGGGGTTTTCCTCAGAATGTTCTTCTGGGATTTTCTTCCCACGTCTAAAACTGTTATTTCTCTACATTGTGGCCCCATGGGAGACCACTGGATTCCACTGAATGGGCTACCAACTTAAAATAAGCAATATAATAAATAAATGAATGCATATATTTGTGGATTTTGATCGTGTCTATTCTACAGTGATGAGCCACACGTTGGACAGTAGACCAGGGCAACCGATGCATGTCAGCTCCCAGGGAACCATCAAGCTGCACGCCATCAAAGACATCATGGACAAGGTAAATGACCAAATAACCTTACAACTTGAAGATCCTCCAACACTTGTCTGGAGGTTTGCAGGATTTGGCAAGACTAGGGACGGTAGACGTGGTAGAGGCCATCCACAATTTTTTTCACATGAGGTTTGATGTTTCTCAGAAGTTAAAGCTACAGTAAACGTGTCATTTGCTTTCTGCCCAGTGGGTGATTTTGGAGGATTCAACAATATTCCGTGCAAAAGAAGTGTAGACATACCTCATGCTTACCATGTGTTATCGAAACAGTAACTGTCTGCTGATGACTAGATGTGATGCATTTCATCGAATAAAAAAAATGTTTCTGAGTTATACCACAGCAGTCTATCATTAAAGGTATAGTCCATCATTTGTAATTTGTGCATTTTGTTCATTTGAAGCAACAAAATTGTCAAAATCTAAAGAACGGTGCTGAACAACTAATCTAATGAAGTTTCAGCTCAGCTTCAGCTGTATATTTCGAGAAAAACATCACTCTAGGATCTCGATTTCAAATCAAAAGTTGCTGAATCATGTTTTGAATTGTGCCTGAATTCAGCGTCCGAGATATGTTCTCACTAGCCGATTGCAGCTATGCGATGTCGCGCACCGATCCGACGAATAGCAACTGCGCGCGCGTGTGGGTCGTGTCAACACTTGTGCGCGCTTCTCCGAATAAAAAACGAACTACTAACGGAAATTTCCAATGGTGCCTCTTAAGACGCACCATTGGAAAGGCCTTCTTTCGTTGATTTCTTCAAAATGACGGCTTGTAAGAAAGAATAATTTCACAGGGAGTTTAGTCCCCTTACTATCTTTCAACCAAGTATGTTTTGCAACAATAATTATGCCAATAATTACGCCAGTTACTTTTTGGATAGCTGCAAATGATGGACTCTGGCTTTAAACTGGATAATCATTTTGGGGTCTACTGTAGCTGTAATTCAATCAACAATTGTTGTCTGCTATGATGTGGGATATGACGTTTTTAAAACCTGAGAGGCACATAACACCCAAGGTGAAGCCGATGGTGCTATGCATCCCGAGGGGGTTAAAAACGGCATATCCCACATCATAGCAGTTAACAATTGTTTTATTATATTGTGCCAATAAGTCGCAAAGATAAATGGTTGTAACTGACTGTGTGAGAAATAAATTAACTCACGGCGATGTTAAAGGCTTTGATGTCCTAGCGCGCTGGCAGGTTCCATACGCGTGCAATGAATGCAGTGCGATATAACTGATCTCCACATAAAATGGACATCAAGGTGTGACATGCATTTTTATTGTCTAGACATGTGGCCGTTCTAAACCAATGAAATTACAGTATCCAAGCACACGATATAACATGCCAGTTTTAGGCCAAAAAAAAAAATATTCGGTCTCTGGTCAGACCAAAGTTCCGGAATTGACGCGGCCACGCGGCTTTTTTTTTTTTTTTTTTTGCTTTTTTTTTTTTTTTTTTCTTCAAGCTTGGATTGTACAGACAAGGTAGGTACTATTTTGCTTTTTTGGTGTCTTCATGTACATTGGTGTCCTCCATAATTTGCCTAGGTGCTTTCGATCATTTGCCTTGGTGCAATTTCCCATTCCTTAGTGCTCTTTGGTAAAAAAAAATTGAGGAGGTGCGGAAATAGAGGGCGCTGTTGGAGCTACCGCGGAACATTTTGGAAAAAAAAAGATCAACGCGCATGATTAAAATCAACGCGCGCGCTGACCAGAGACCGACTTATTTTTTTTTTTGGCCTTACTGATGTTATTTTCACTATCAGTGCCACCTCTGAAGTCAGTGCCAATGTCATTGTCACTCTACCATATCATTCCTATTGTCATTGTCACCTTTGCTCATTTCCTCACTATTGTCATTACCACTTCAACTAATGTCCTTGTCATTTGTCACCGTTTTTGTCACCACCAGGGCAAGCACTGTCTGCTGGACATCACCCCCAACGCTGTAGAGCAGCTGAACTACGCCCAGTGCTACCCGATCGTCATCTTCCTGAACGCCGAGAGCCGGGCCCACGTCAAGGAGATCCGGGGCCAGTTCCTGGGAGAGGGCAGAGAGAACAAAGGGTCTCGCAAGTTCTACCAGACGGCCAAGAAGATGAAGAAACACTACTCTTATGTGTTTACAGGTAAGGCAGACAATTTCCTGCAAAAATCCCTTTAATTTTCCAAAGGGAAAGATTGATTAATCTTAGCCCTCCTCCATCCTCCAAAGTCCTTTGCAGTTTTGGAAGATTGAGGATGCAACATACAATTTTGGAGGATTGTGGAGGATTGAAGATGAATGCACATTCCGTACCGATTGATTTTGGAGAATTGAGGGTGAACGGCATTTGAAGAAGAGGATTTTGGAGGATTGAGGAGGAATATGCATTTTGAGAGGCAGAACTGTTGGAGGATTTTGAAGGATTGAGGCAGTGGGTATCCTTCATTTGAACACTCGTGCAAAATTTTGGAGGATTGAGGATGGTTCCTAGCAAAAAGGGCCTATGGGTTAGGGTTTTAGTTCTCCAAATGTAGCAGACAAATTTATAGAAAAAAAATCTCAATCAAGCAGTGTTGAAGGCAAGTCCATCACTAGTCCAGGCACAGCACCCCCCCCCCAACACTAACCTCTCTGGATCCACCCTTGGCTGCTGCTCTGAAGGAGTTATCCCCGGCTCTCTTCTTGGAACTTGGGAGAGAAATGTTGATTAAAGTTTACTTATATTATGTGTGCTACTTGAAATTCATGGGTGAAGTATGTGACATGCATTATATCTCGTTTCTTTTTGCTTGTTGTTGTCAGCCATGATTCCAGTGAATCCAGACAGCATGTGGTACAGTCAGATTAAAGAGGCCGTCCACATCCAACAGAACCGCAAAATCTGGGTGTCTGAAGCCAAGGTATGTTTTCACCCTCTGAACCATAAATAGAGTCAAAGTAAACAAGCAAATAAAACTTTGATAAAAAAGAAAAAAAGGGTTTATATTAAGGTTATATTTTTAGGAGTTGAAAAATACCCCAATACGAGTTTGGAATACTTGTAAGTATGAAATAAAGTTTGGAATACTTGCCCAGTTGTCCTCCAATGTGTACACGCATATATACAAACAAAGTACAAAGTACAAACAAAGGAAAAGGGAAGAGGAACATCAGAAAATCCTCAATTTACACCATAAAAAACATACGTATGTGCGTTAGTACAAAACATTTTTTTTACCTACCGACTCTTTGTTTTTTGAGGGGCAATGAAAGCTCATCCTTTTTTGGCCTAGCACTATCTTTTGTTTATTTACACAATAATGAGGGAATAAGTATGTGCTTGGCCTGTTTTAAACAAGTACGTTTGGGGATGGTATCAAAAACCCTTCTGAAAATTATTCCACTAGAAATGGTATCAGTTGGGAACAAAAACAATCGTTGAAGGTGGTTTGTAAAAGTGTGGCTGCGGGCACACTTTTTTACCTACATAGGCCCAAGAATAATGGTCGCTACTTTTTCTCCCCCCATAATTCCTTACAGCTGGGCCAGGACTTTGACATAGACACCACGCTGAACGTGATTGGTACGTTGGAGCTCCCGCCAAACTACGACAGCGACGCGGAGTCCATGACCAGCTCCATGGCCAACGACAGCATGGTGGAGTCGGACTTTGAGCCAGTGTCTCCGACCGAGTCGACCCGGGACGACAGTTTCAACTTCAAAGAGGAGGCCTTCGAGAAGAAAGAGGTACTTTTTTATTTCATTCTTGCAGGAACAGAAAATCAAAGCCTCGCTGTTATGGGTTTTTTGTAAGCAGTGAAAATTCTTTGAAAAGTTTGAAAAGCAAGTGGTCTTGACAAAAAGTGATTCAGTCATTTTAAGAAAGAAAAAAATCTATCAGTCTTAAAGGGACATCGGAACACTCGCAATTACCCGGAAGTTTGCCTACTGATTTATAGAGAAAATTCGTGCTCAAAGTGAAGATACCTGGTAGGATTGGGACTAAATACCCTGTGTCGTTATTCCACTTGAAATGGTATCATTAGGAAAAAAAAAACAATAATTGAAGATGGTTTGAGAAAGTGTGCCTGCTGGTACATTTTTTTATGCGCATTAGTAATGGAATTCAATAACAAGACCCCAAAAATTGTGCATACATTTTTTTTCTGTTTACTAAAATGTGTGGTATCCACTGAGCTGAAACTTCAACAAGTTAGTTGTTATGCACCCTACTTCAGATTTTGAGCAATTTTGTTGTTTCAAATGAAAAAAAAATGCACGAAAAGGCAAATGATCCTTTGGACCTTTAAAGTGATACGCTTTTCAAATGGAATATGACAGCAGGAATACCTTTTACATTGACCAGCCCGGAAAAATTCGGGACCTGACGTGATTTGATTGTAATTGACTTGATATACAATTGTACAAACGTACAATCAGAAATATATTAAAATGACCAATGTATTCATTTTGTTGCCTTCATTTTGTTAGGTTCCTTCATTGCTCAGTTCTGTGTTTTGGCTCATATCTGTGTGTGTTTATTTTCTAGGAGTTACCAGTGTCAGCTGGTGCTCCCCCAGCACCGCGCTACTCCTCGGACGAAGAAGCCGAAAAGCCCGTCACCCGCAGCAGTCGCCCTCGCCACAAGAAGCGATCGGACAAGCAGCGCAGCGAGCCCCGTCCGCCAAGCAAGGAGCGGGGACTGCTTGGCCGGTTCCCGTCCCTCAGCCGCTCCAACTCTCTGGGCCGGAACTCGGAGTTCGACGACGATGAAGACGAGGAGTTGGACGACGGCGGCAACGCCAACAAGTACAACGTGGACTCGCGGAGTAAATACTCAGAGAGGCTTGAAGGGGCCTGGACCCCAACGGAGCGGCCCTCCCGGCGGGAGCACATGCGGCGACGCGAGCTGATGGAGAAGGAGAAGAAAGCTCAAGAAGAGGAGGCGGCTATACGAGCTGAGAAGATTAACGCGGTCTCCTCCCAGCCAGGCATCCGCACTGCTCCCCTGCCGGGTGCTGTTAAGCTGCCCCAGCTGGAGCAGCCGCCACAGAGAGGACAGCGCCCAGCGCCTGCACCCAAACCGGCGCCTGCACCCAAACCAGCGCCTGCCCCCAAACCGGCCATCAGCAGACCTACCGCGCTCCCTCCCGCTGTGCCGGTTACCAAACCCCAGCCTAAGCCCCGGGAGCCCCCGAAAGAGACCACATTTGGGTTGAAGGAAACAACGTTTGGTGTTGACGATGTTATCGAGACAAGCCCCGTTGGTAAGTATCTTTTAACACGCAATTTCCCTCTGTGCAAGTTTGTCATTTTCTGAATGAAATGGATCATTTAGTAGTAGCAATATTCGTTGGTTGTATAACAAATTAAACAAGTGTGTCTCCAAATCAGAGCTTTTGTGTGTCTCCAGTTTCCTTGGTATGAAATGACTGAGAATAGATTCTTTCCTCTTGATGGGATGCTAGTCCATCACAGGTTACTTACCAGCATTATACCAGTGCCTATTTACACTCCTATGTGTAGAGAAGCAACTTGGGGTAAACTGGCTTGCCAAAGGACACAAGATATGGTCATCCGCCCTATTTGAGCTTCTGATCCTCTGATGATGCTAAACTTCCCATAAGCCAACCCACCTGGTTTTTTTTATCAATCAGTGACGCCAAGCGTCAGGGAAACCACATTCAGCGAGCCGGACGGGAGTCTCCAGTGGGGCCTGGAGTTCGACGGGCCCAACTTGATGGAGGAACCCCAACTCCTAGCGGCCCCACCCATCCCGCCCAAGCCGGCGACCGCTGCCGTCGCCGAGCCCGTCTACGCCTCGGTGCACAAAGACCGGCCCCAGCGTGGCTCGGACGCCTCGGAACCAGCAGCTAGCCTAGATCTCCCAACTTACAGCTATGAGCGGCCAGGCAGGTTGGACTCCCCGGAGACCGTAGGTGGGTCATCATTCCACACTAATGGGGTATATGTGTATGGCATGCAAGTTTAGACAAAATTCATTAGTGATAGTGCTAGTTAGTGGCATGAAAGATTTTTTTTTTAAAGTAAAGACAGTGCTAGTTTGTAAAATTCATCAGTATTTGTACCAGTTTGAAAGTCAAGCTAGTGGCATAAAATATTTTAAACGTTACTAGTGCTAGTTTGATATAATTTAATTAGTGCAAGTTTTTAAAATTGCAAGTTTTGAAAATAAAGTTTGTGCTGGCTTGATATTATTATTGTTTTTACCTTTTTTGAATATCTTGGAAATATATGCATATATAGTGAGAATATTTTGATATTACTTGCTGCACTTTGTTTGTATATGTTGAATGTATGTAAATTTTGGCTGAAAAAAAAAACTGAAGGTGTTATCAAAAAAGAAATATTTTTGATATTGTTATAATTAGGATTGTTATACATTAGCCTCCATCCCCATAACTAAAAACTTGTATTAACGCAGGGAAGAAAATTACCCGTAAAACTGACAACTTAAAATTCTCTAAGTTTTCTGTTACGAAACAACACTAATCTTGGGTCTAAACATTCTGATTGGATATTGTTTATAGTACCTCTTTTTAAAATTGTAATAACGAAACAAAGAAATGCTGCTCTGTAAGATGTAATGCTGCCCAAATAGGTTTTTTAATGGAAATATAACCACTTTCAATTGCGTGAACAATGTTATATTGTTATAAAAAATGGTTGAAGAAAACATTTTCTGAAAACTTACAGAAATAAATTGACCCATTTAGTGGATGCCATACTAGGCATAGACAAAAATGCCAACGTACCGGCACATGTACAGAATGAAAATTGACCAATTGCAGTTAACTTTAATTAAAGACAATCACATGATCAGGTTTTATTCTGTACTTGAACGTTGTCATTTTTAACCTTGCATATATAATAAAATAACCACAAGACAGAATCTGTACATGCCTAGAATTAATATGCACGATAAAAATCCCTTTTTATAATGTGGACGCTAGATTTGAAACTTAATTGGAAGAATATAGGCTGAACAAAAAGCAGTATTGGACTTGGTGCTGTAATGTCATATAGTGACCTCAAAAAAATCAGGATATTCATCCACTTTTAGACCAGGACTTTGCATATTGTAGTATACAAGTCGTTACATGTACTATTTGTTATATTAACAAGCTGAGGCTTGCATTTTGGGGGGCACTTTTAATATCTCTTCTCTTTTCAACCGTACAATATATGCATACCCCATATGTACCCTATTAGAGTGGAAGAGGCCTGAACCTCCCCAGCCAGTAAATGGACTGTACTCCTCGGACGAGCCGGCCCCATCGTGGCAGGTAGAGCCGGAGATCGAACAGCGCCCTCAGCAGTTTCAGGAAAGCGCTCCGCGTGCCTGGGAGGTGGAGTCGCCGTACGCTGAGGTGGAACAGCCCCGCGAACAGCCCCGCGAACAGCCCCGCGAACAGCCCCGCGAACAGCCCCGTGAACAGCCCCGCGAACAGCCCCGGTATGAGGAGAGACCGCAGTTTGCCCAACCGCCAGAGCCGCAGATGGTGAGCGTCAAGACCACGTTTGTGGAGTCGCAGGTGCAGCGCGTGGACCGCATCGATGACTGGGACCAGCCCCAGGGCCGCGAGTCGCCGTCCATCATGGCTCAGGTCCAGGGCATGGATTACTCCGAGCCTCCCTCAACCAATGACTACAAGAGACAGATGCAAGATGCCTTCACCAAAATCCACAAAGTCAAGGTTCGGGAGAGTCCTCGCGGCTGGGAGCGCGAACGGGAACTGGATTACCCTGTCGGTCGGAGCAGCCCAAGCATCGAGCCCGCCAGACAGGAACCCCAGCATGCACCGCCACCAAGCCGTGAACCCCCCAACGGTCTCTCAGACTCCGCACCGTCGGACACGGACAAGTACGGCTACATCCCAGACGGAAAGCCAGACCCCAAACCCAAGAAGGCTCCCTACGACCGCCAGTCTTACAAGGAGTATCGGGAGGCCTTCTTCAAGAGGTCCAAGTCCCCCGGCAGGGAATACCAAGAAAACCTGTATGCTCCCAAGGGATGGTCAAGCAGATCCAAGAAAGAGAACAACAATCCGGCGTCATTCTGGTCCATTCCTATCAGGTAAGACTGAGGGGGGCAACGTTATTTTGTAATCGAATGGATAATGCTCCAAAGGTTCTTAAACTAGTGTGACTTGTTGGAGATGGAAAAAAAGCCAGTGCAGCCTTTGAAAGAAACGTGCAAGGCCTTTTGGAAAGCCAGGCCCAAGAAGAGCCCTGCTTAACCTCCTATAGTCCTTCAAGTTAAACATCACTGAATGTTATATCTCTGCCTGCACTCTACACTGACTTAATTGGCAGTTCAGTCAAATGTTGATCAACCTACACTTTTGATTCTCAATCTTAGATTAACCAAGGGAAAGATGTACAACTGGTGGTTGGCAGCTCAGTGGTATTGAACAGATAGATTTTAAACTTGGGGGGCTGCTATTGGGCATTATATATTACTAGCAGCTCAATATGATGAGTATGTCAGTGCCGACAATAGTAAGATTTCAGACCCAAAGTTCCAGGCCTGGGACGGATTTTCAAAAGGCAACCTTCACCCATCTTTTTACCCATCCTCCCTGTATTAATTAAGCTACCATTGCTATTATATTGATGGCTAGTCTCTCACTCATCATGGCTATTAAACGGTGACCGTATCGACCATTCATTTATTCTCAAACAAAATCAGTGAATTATAGTTTTCTACCTGCATCCATATTTTCCCAGTGAGGACAGCCTGAAGGCCGACGAGGGTCACGAGGTCCTGGACACAGCCCGCGGCTTCTTTGACCACAACGGCGGCGTCCTGTCCTCGGTCAATACGGGGGTCAGCATCGTCATCCCTAAAGGGGCGTTACCGGAGGGCATCAGGCAGGAGATCTTCTTCAAAGTCTGCCGGGACACCAACATGCTGCCGCCACTGGACAAGGACAAAGGTACGACACTTGCAAGGGTTCTTGCTTTTTTTCCTTGTCGCTAGGAAGGTCGGGCGCAGGGAGACTGAAGTAAAAGCTGGTTCACGCTTTAATGCGAAAAGCAAAAGCCTAATTTGGATTTGTGACGTCAACATCAAATACTCATATTGTGAATTTGCAAAAGTTTGAAGCTTTGGGCCATTTTTGTTGCGATTGTTTTGTGACAACACATTCGCTCAGCATTAGTTTATCTTTGGGTCTGATAAAATAGGTCACATTGCGCTGTAGCCATCTTTTTTGAGGTGTGTGATTTTGTTCAATAGGGATTGTACGCTAATAACATACAATGTACGCATAGTTCAAAATACAAGATGGCTGCTGAGTTGTTTTTCTTTCTTCTGCTGCGGTCGATCCTGTGGTTTTTGTTTTCCCTGTTGATTACACACTCATGATATGCAGTGACAGCCAGTCTGTGAGCAAATATTAGACACAAACATTTGATATTGAAGTATCTTTTTGGTGGTTAACCAAAGCAAACTAGCTTACAAAATTATGTGACATGTGTTCGTGTTAAAGTCCAGAGCTACATGTACATGTAGCTAGGTACTCTACATTTAGGGCCACATTTACAAGTTCTAGTGGCAAAGTACACTGTACAACGTACGTGTACATGTATATTGCCTACTTGAATGAAGTGACCTTAACTTGAGACAAGTATTACTATTCAGTACAAACCAACCTCGAAATGAATAGAAAATTGAAGGTTCCTTGTTGCTCTGATTAAATTCCCTGTCACCATATTGTATGATTGTGGTACGCACTGTAAATGGGCAATTCCAGCCTTATGAAAAGATGTGTAATATCTGTTGACCGAGCCAATTAACCATGATGATATCTAATTAATGATTCAGAGAAATGATCCAAAAACTCCTAGTCTGTAATCTCCTTGACCATTACTAGATGACGGATGTATTAAAATACATTTTCAGTTTTATTCGCCAAGCTCTTAAAAGTTCTGTCACAGACATTACGTGATGCTGGAATGGCCAATATATGTTGGTCAGGAATGATTTTGTAAATGCGTGTCACACATTATCATTTATGGCATTTGTTGTAGGAACAGGGGTTTATTTGATATATGTTATGTTGGTTCAAAGGCGCTAAGACTTCTGGACAAAGATTTTTAGCAGCGCAATCCTGACCATTTTTCGGTAAAAAAAAAAAATGTGTTGAAATTTTGTTGTCTTGCTGCTCTTTAAGTTGGTACTAAGCAATCGCTGAGAATCTTGATTTTTAATTCCTTCTCTCGGACCGCGCTTCAAGCTCAAATAAAACTCCCCCAACTCTGGAACTAAAAAGGCATGTTACATTCATGAATCCCAAATATATATGCTTACCTAAAAACCTAGTGGGCATGTTCTACCCCTCTTACTCCTTTTTGCCGCTGAGACAAATTAATACTTCTTTTTGCTTTGGACGATCCTAATATGTTGTGGAAACATTCATTTTAAAGACAACAGTTCATTTTACCAGTCCATCATGAACTAACCAGATTTTGTCTTGATTAAACATTCCTTCCCGAGCCCATCCTTGAATTCTATCCATTGTCCATTTACATGCAAGTTTACAAAACCTGAAACAGCCTCTTGTCCTTCCTTTTTTGTTTTGATATTTCTTTTTTCAATCTAATAGCCCTGCTGACTTTGACAGTATTCAAAATTTGGTAATTTTTACTGGATATTGACTCGTACATGATGTATTATTGGGTGGTGTTGGGAATATTTTTATCTCTTTTATTTCAGCTGTATCCAAGAAAAAAACAACTTCCGTTTGGAATTTGTTGATTTTGACACTGATAAAAAGATTCGTTTGAAGGGAATATACAACATTTGCTTTTGCTGTAATTTTCAGAAATGGATGGATTTGGGGGGTTAGTAGTTCATAGCAAATATTGTGACACTGACTTGTTTGAAGTTTTGTGTTCACAGATGCTGGAAAATCCAAAAAAAAAATTCATGTTCCTGTAGTCTGGTTCCTTGACCCCACTTATGGTGAAACGGAGCAATTTATAGACGTCGGGCCATTGTAAGGTCAGGGAACCAGTCTAGCTGGCTTGAACCTGTTCATAGGTGTGTAATCGATTGCAAACAAAATACGGACTAACTAAATATGGTAAATTGGGGGCAGTATTTGAAAAACGGCCATTTTTTTCCAACGCTGGTCGGCCGACCAGCGTTGGAAATTCATACAAAAAATAACACTTTTCTTGAAAATGACAGCACACCAGGTGCCACGATTTTAAAGGATGCTTTAGACTGTCATTCACTAACAGTCCAGTAAGGTATTTCATGATAATTTGGTAGTTTTGTTTTTTTGATGTTTGTAAATGTTGTATATTCCCTTTAAAGACAGTTGACAGAAGGATTTTGTTAGTTTCCGATCTGAATTATTGTTGTATTCTGTCTGATACAACAGGGCAAATGTACTATGCAGCAAAATACGTAGATACTTGCAGGAGAGTTAGGGTTTGTGCATGTGTGATGCTCAAAATTAAGGGGAAAAATCAAAAGGAAAAGAACTGAAGGAACCTTTCAAAATGACAATGGTTCTACATACATGTACATACATGTACATATATTAACTTAGTCTCTAGACTACTTGGATCAGCTTCTGATACATGAAGTTGACAACAAGGAACTAGTTTTGTTTCAATTGTTTTTGTAATTGTTTTGTTTAGGTGAGGAACTTCGCCCGGTTACAACCGATAATCCTCACGGTATTGAGGCAGGCGTCTATTTAGGTACAAAAGTTGGAATTCCCAGTTGGGACACGGTTCCCACTTGGGTTAAGCAGTTGCACTAATACCAAGCCACGCCTCCTCCTGCTTCTTTCTTGACCCTGCCGTGCTGATAATCTGATTGGTTGACTCGGAGCATAATGCATATGCATAAATACTGATGTAAATTAGTCATATTTGTAAACAAGAGATCTGAGAAAGAGTGTGTGACCATGGAACTTTTCTCCAAAAAAAAAAAAAATCGGTCACGATTTCTTGACAGGGAAAAACTGTCGAAAAGTTTGGTTCTCTCAAACATCACTTTCCTAATGTCAACATTCACACAAATATATTTTGGGCAAACAAAACATGTCATAGGTTTACAATCTATGAGCTAAGGCAGATATTGGGAGAACAAAAAGTTTTTCATTAAAATGGCGTTTGTAATAAGCAGTAAAAATATTGGTTGACAACGTAACAATTCTGTAATTCACCCTCTAGGTTTTTATTCACTAACTTCCATCTTTGCTTCAGTCCTTTGTTCCTTCAAGCACGCTCTGCGGCAGAATAACTCAATTTTTTCCAGAACTTGTTTCTTTTCTTCTGGCCCATGCGCAAATGATGCACTAATTGCTAACAACTAAAACAATAAGCAGCAACAAAAAAACCAGTGAACTTTCTTGTGCTTTTGTTTCTATATAACCCTAACCCTCCAAAATCCTTCGAAATCCAGATTTTGGAAGATTTTGCAGGATTGAGGAAGTTACATCCCAACCACTGTGATTTTACATGGGACTTGAATGCCCATTGAAACTTACGTTTTAATGTTAAAAATGTGCACAGCAGAGGTTTTTTTAGAGGATTTTAAAAGTTTCCCCAACGAAATGTCCATGACATTCCAAAAATGACACTTTATATGTTACAAAAACTACAGACCTTGACACATTTAACTGTTGGTACCATGTACACTTTTGCCTTTGAAAGGAGCATGTTTTTTTCTCTTCAATAACCAACTTTCTGACTCATTTTTTTGTCATTGTACATGATTATTTTTATGTAGTAGTCACCTTGACCCTTATAAAATATAATGAACTTCTTCTGTGCGTGCGCAATTCAATAAAAATTCCCCCCAACCACTGAATCCATTGTCAGTGGGTGGCCACAATGCACCATTGTGATTATACAATACTTTTGTAAATTTTGCAGTGTTGTCATACTTTACTCAGAAAACCTACGTACCTCAAAAAGCACAGGTAAAAGCATTCCAGTGTAAACCCCCCCCCCAAAAAAAACCCCACTCCATCTTTAAAACCTTTGCCTTGATTGAAGGGAAAAGTAGATCGTTTTCTTCTTTCTAGACAGTAATGTACAGGTATCCTTTTAGAGTAGGATTTCCTAAGTAATATTTCAAAATATCAACACACTTATACTTTACATTTACATGTACACATCTATACTTATACATGTATATCTACATGTACATGTACATTCAGTAGATATTTTTTGTCACCACTATTCTAAGCACTGCAAATTCCTTTCCAGCCAAGACTTTTTACAACTCCAGAACCTCAAACTGGCACACTTCTTTTAAAATGATATTTTAATGAATGCTTTTATTATTCTCCTCATATGTACTGCCTTCTCTCTTCTGGTATATATATGTTTCTATTAGAGTAGTTGTTTAGGTAGCCACACGTAGATCTATTACAGAACACAGCAATCAGTCAACATCTTACATCAGTGCGTCTTCTATTGTGCAGGTTTCAATTGCGAGCACGTGCTTAACGAGAACACGGAACCCTTAGAATTAAATTCAACTTTTGTTTTATCAACTTGAGTAATATGATTTTTTTTTTGTAAATTCTGTTAAGGCCGTTGTTGCAGCCAATGCATGGATTGAGATATAAGTGCTGAAAAATCCCTGAAAACCGTTTATTATTCAAGCAAATGCTGAGTGTCATGCAAATTTGAAGTCACAAAATGTTCACAGCGAAATTCAGCGGAGTTGCGAATATTTGCCGTGATGTCACTAAAAATGTGCTTTCGCTTTTGCATTCGCGCTGAATCTGAAATGGTCTTAATGCCTCTAATAGTAAGTAATTTGTCTGATCTTTGATAGATACACAATGTAGATTTTCATCTTGTTGAACAAGATTCATAACAGAAAATAAATATTATTTCCATTTGATTTTTTTGGGTTGGATTTGTAGGTGAGACCCTCCTGAGTCCCGTGGTGATCTGCAAGCCTCACGGCCTGAAGTTCCTGAACCCCGTAGAACTGCGACTGCCCCACTGTGCTTCCATGACACCTGATGGTTGGTCCTTCAACCTCAAATCTAGCGATGCTGGCACCGGAAGTAAGTCCATGTCGTCATTATCTGCCTTTCCATAGGCATAGGCTTTTTTCAATTTAAAAAAAAAGTATTCAGGGTAGTAGTTGGGACCTTTGCGAGTCCTTTTGAGCCTCGCTCATCTTTATCAATTATTTAAATATTCAGCGACAATATAAGTCAAATTACTATGCTACATGTTCATAGTGTTATTATTTGAGGAAAGAATGCTGAAATATATTTTGTGAGATTGACATTCAAGTTAACCAGTTCACATTGGATGACGTGTATACACGCAAAGGTTTTACACTCAACAAGCGAGGCCGGAAATATCTGTCAGAGACCCACTCGCAGCGAGCGAGGCCGGAAATATCAGGGTGTGCTACCCGCAGATGACGGCCTGAACCTGATTTGCATTGAGGTTCGTGAAAAACAATCCTGCGCCTGTGTCTGGTCAATATCCAAATAATCACGTCGCGAACTGGTTAAGTAAAAATGTTGTATTGACGGTCAAAATTTTGTCAGAGTACTTTTCGAGACCTGTTTCCTCGCCAACGCTAGAGCCTCACAAAAAAAAGTTGCGGACATTTTGGGGCTGAACGTCGCCAGCTGTGTTATAGTGCAGAGTCTACGGGCAGCAGCAACAGACTAAAATCTGATTCAGACTCACACCGCCTAACATGTTTTACATATTTTTTAAAATTGTTGTCATTCATGGTTGTTTTAAATTGCAGATGCCCCAAGCGAGTGGGAGAACATGGTCATACCAGGAAGCGAGGAGAGTAAATGCCAGGTCAACGCCAACAGCGTCTCTATCTTGGTTGATCACTTCTAGAGATTATTTGTGGGTTTTTAAAGTCCAGTCCTGGAAACTGTACAGTCCATTTTTTCATGTTTTTTTTTCGCCAGCAGAAATCTTCAAAATTACAAAATAGGTGATATTGCGAGCGAAAGGGAGTAACACTTAAACTAACTCAGATATTATAAGTCACTGTTGGCCCTTTTTCCCCCTGAACTGAAATTAATGGAAGATCAAATCAGAATTAAATGTGGTGGTTTTTTTTTAAGGAATAAATTTTGCCTTTTGAAGGTTTGGAATTTTATCTTTGTTGTTATTACTTGGGACCAAGTCTGACATGGGACGTAATCAGAAAGTATTTTTGCTTCAATTGAAATTCAAATGAAATTCAAATCTTTTGGAAATTCCCCTCGAAAGAGGTTCCGTTTTCGTTGGAATTTTGTATTTGTTCGGCCTACAGATTTGACTCATAGCTCAGTATGCATTTAAGAATGTAGATTATCAATCTTTTCTGTACATTATTGGATTTCATTCCTCATTTGATGAATCATTCCTAAACAATGCCACATTTAATATCATTAATGAAATGCAGTCACAATGTGACATGCGTGCATTTCGTCAGTAACAAAACGGACATGTTGACATTAGTTTTGTTAAGATAAGTTAGATCCAAAGTGCTGAATTGCAGTCGTCGATAACTACGAAACAATGTCTCAAATGAAACAAGGAGTTTCTTTGATTTCGCGTCACTTTGTAACACAGAAACCTAGCTTTTATGAAACAATTTATATTTAGTGTGTTTCAGTTTGTTACTTAAAATGACATAGACAGGACCATGTCACATGTATACATAGTATCTATTATTGGCAAATAGTGTATTCATTTAAAACCCATTCCACGGCCGATACTGTGTTTCTGTATGCACGTATTCAGTCTATCTTTTGTCCATTGCCTATTTAGTCCGAGATTTTAAACTGTTTGCATGTCAACTATGAAACGGACGCAAAACAGACTGATCCTGCGTTTGGAAATGGTTCTTAGTGTTGTTTCCCTTAAGTTTGCTAGTTTTTGTATTATAAAAATACCAAAGCAGTCGAAGTATCCATGTTTGTATATTAATCATCAGCAGATATGAGATGTAGTCTACATTAACTTTTACGTTTGATGTTTCTAACGGGGAAAAAAGGTTACTTTTTTTTGTTTTGATCTCACATTTGATGCTTGTATATAATCCTTGTAGCTGTAGAATTTCCTTGGAAAGCGAATGTTTGAAAAAACAAAATATGAATTTAGAGGTGTGTTTTTAAATGCAATGTAATTAACTGTAGCGAGATGGGGAAAAAATCATCTTTTGTACAAATTTTAAGAAACGATAGACACTTTTTGTCTCGAGAAAAATCCAAGCATATAGGAAAAATCTATTTTGTAAGCAAACCACGTATGTTTGGAAATTTTTTACACTGTTAATGAATGTCATTGGAGGAATTTATTTTAATATGAACTCTTGGAGAAGTCATTTGTTTGTTTAGGTCGCAGTCATAGTCAACTTTTAACGAAGCAAGAATTATGTTATAGCCAATTTGTTTGTAGAAGATGCAAGTACTAAATATCGGTACTGTACTGAGTGTTTAATTATCATGTGCATATCTTTAGTGCGTACTGTAATCCGGTTCGTAAATGTGACGTCATTTCATCTTAAACCAGGCCCACTTAACACGGAGTAGCATTGAAAATCATTAGAACTATTGGAACCAGCGAAGTAGTGCAAAGTGCCGTGTTAATGGGCGCTAGTAATCAGTAGTGCGTGTGTGCCACTTACGAACCGGATACATGTACCGGTACATGTAGGTGGCGTGAATAGACGGCCAAGCACTGTACAAATACAAGACATTTTGAGCAAGCTTGCACAAGAACTATGGTGTAGACTAATTCAGTTGAGGTGGAACACCTCCATCATGCGCATTTCGCACACATCCTTAAACGTGAGCCTCACCCACATTTTGGTAACTATTGGTCGGAGGAGTTTTGAGTGTGTGTATATAACCTATGCGCAAACCTGGTTCCACTTATATGTTGGCTTCTAATTGATATCGCCAAATTGGTCTGTAGACTAATTCGGTGACGGCCATTTTCTGAGGTGGCACCAGGCTTGCGCGAGTCGCGCTCAGGTAGTATGTACGCACTCCAGCCTCCTCCGACCAATAGGGTCAACAAAACGCCTCGTCTTTATACATGTACCTTATTGTTAGAATTAAAATTTGGCTTTGTAACATTAAACATACAAAGCCAATGGGAACTCTTACAAGTAAGGTACATGTATGAGGCATGTCATTCTAGATGGCCCCCTTTCCTGTCTACCATGGATCTCTCCCGAGTGGTCGCACTGCATCATCTACTGATCGTAAATGGCATAACAAAACTGAAAAGTCTCGGTGGCTTTTTTTCAGTTGGAAGGTGCTGGCTAACCAACGGTTCTTGACTAAGCTTGCTCTGTGCTTGGACATCATTTGTAGTTGCTAATGGCAGGCACTGCCACAATCTTGTTGCAAATTTATCGCAGAGGGCATTATTACTCTTTGGAAAATCAGGAGCTTTTATATATTGGTTGTAGAGATTTTGTATTGTCTAATTTTTGAAGTTGGGCTTATAAGAAGGGACTGGAATAACATAACTTGAAAAAAAAAAAAAATTAAATACCCGTAAAATGCATGCAAGTCATGCATTCTATCTAGTGCCTTTTTTTCAGAATTTGACCTTTGTTTGACTGAATGGTGTTAAAAGATGGTTGCATTTGCAGCTTTGGAACTTTCTTTGGGGACACATTGCATAATGTAAATAGCTGAATGTTAAACTAACATCACATACAAGGGTTATCACATTGATGTTCTAATGTTAAATAATATGTTACGTTAATCCCGTTTGATTTGGAGATTTTTTTTTAATTCAATCCTTATTTAAGTACTTTGTATTCTCATGTTATTTTTTTTTATGTATGATTTTACTCAGATATGTCAGTCTTGAAATTGTATTTTTATTAGTAGTTGTATATACTCCTTACCGTCTTTTAATATAATCATTATGATAGTATCAATTTGATTTCATTGAAACCCACTTCAAAAATTTGTTTGTGTTCGAGGCAGCCGTTTCTTAGTTAGTACTGGAGATATTCGTTCAATTAGAAAGATTTTGTGATTTACAATCATTGCACATTTTAGATTTTTTCGTCTGAAGATAATTATTATTTTTTAACCAGATATTGAATTCATATGTATAAACTAGCAGTGGAAACTCGTAGTGGGTTTATTTTTAACTAATGTTTGAGTTCATTCAAGACTTTTGTTACTCGTGAAAGACAAATCTTAAACGAAAATGACATTAAACATGAAGCATTAATTGGAAAGGAATAATTTTGAAAAGAAGAAAAAAAAGGAGCTTACGAAGAGTAAACATAGCTTACACAAACTGCAACCTTGCATGTCTAAAATGGATAGTTAAAACAAAACTTGTATAAATTCATCCGTTTCTTCTAAGAAAAAAATGACACAAAACAAATGCCCGAACAAACCCTTCATTGTAAATTTTAATGCATTTTCCAAAGCAACGTATTTGATTTGGTTGTGCCATTTTATTTCATTCAGTTCATTTATTAACCTTTTTTGAATTTTGTTTCTCATTTTACTCATTAAGTTGTACATAGATACCTAGAGTACGACTGCTGTAGCCCAGTTGCCCAGTTTGACCTCAAATTTAAAACACTCGATCGAATCGCAGGAATGTTGTTCTTCTGCCAAAAGGGAATTTAAAACAAATGATTTGAATCCTTTTGTGTTCAGGACACCAAACTGGGCCATTATGCCCTAACTACCAGAATGTACTTTAGAGACCAGTACCAGTTGTTTGATATTAAACCATTAAAAGAGAGGAAAACATATCTGTCTCTTTTCAATTCTTTCTGGCGTCATTTTACTGAATTTGTTTCCGAGGAAGTGAAGGTTTTTTTCACAGACTGTACCTATATTATGCATGATCAATTGTTCAGAGACCAAGATCTAGCTTTTAAATTTCCTGAAACTGAAAATGACTGTCTTATTAAAACCAGTACATTGCAGTGGGAGGAGGGGAGTGTTACAAGACTGGGCTAGCCATTGCAGCAGGTCCTTGGCTAGCCCCATAAATGTGGCCAATTTGACTACCTCCGTAAATAAAGACCACACTTAGAAGACGTACAAAAACATGTAGAACTTTGTCAAATTTAGATTGTCACATTTAGGCATAGTTTGTAGTTTATTTTTGCTTTAGAAGGATATTCACCCTCTTTATAGTGTCTATTTTTCGTGAAATTTCCGGATTCGTTTGCACACGTTTGCATATCAAAATTTCAACATGAAATTTCATTCATTGCGGGGTAAATCCTATTCCGAAAATTTGGAACTCTTAATACTGTGTATGAGAGTCCCAACACTTGAGGTATTGAAGCATGCAAGGAGAATAGACTGGCACCTGAAACAACCAGTCCAACACAGCTTCAGTACTGCATCAATCAACCATGCCATGGCAACTACATGTAGTCTCTATTTACTACACATTTCTGCATAGTCGGCTACCAGACTAATGACACTGAATGAAAATGAAGGGGTCAGTCTTTTTAAATAGTTGGACCATGGTTGGACATGTACCAGTCTAGTCTCTAGCCTCATTTTGAAATCACTTGACTTCCCTCTCATGTGCAAAATATTGAAGAAAAGTCTCCTTTAAAGATTGAATCAAGTCTGCAAACTTGGTGAGTGAAATACTGAGGACCTTTTCTTTGCCCTTTTTTTCAGGTCAACTATATTTTCTGGTCAAATTCTATTAAAAATACCTGCAAAGAATGGTCCATTCATTGGATTTGACTGCATGGCCGTCTTTCATAGAAGTTTTGCCTCTGCACCAATGGAACTTTTTAAGCTCTGGCAGGAGCTTCTACATGTCACTTGGTGGTCGGTCAGTCCGTCTGTCTGTCTGTCTGTCTGTCCCCGAAAATTGACCAAAAATAACGGTAATCCTTACTTTTAGGACACCTCTATTTTTTACGAGTTCTGTTCAAAACTGACTTTTGCAGATGACTGTCCAGTACCAAAGTGACTTTTGCAGGCTAAAGCAGTCTTTTTTCTTCATAATATAAACTCATGTTAGTTGTAATTTTGAAAGCACTTTAAAAAAAATGTGACTTTCCTACCTTTTTTCACAGTCAGACGTGCATGTTGTAGTTCTCACACGCGTGAAAGCCCTACATAATGAAAGCCTGATGCTGATTGGCTGCTAAAAAAAATAATTAAGATGTTTATTTTTTATCAGCCAATCAGCATCGAGCTTTCATTGCATCGAGCTTTCACGTTTGCCATCTTGGTTTTTGAGTCTGTTTTCTGGTTGTCATCGTCGTCTTTTACCCCTCAATTTCCCTCTAAAATCAAAGCCCTGCCCTGCCCTCTTTCCACGAACTTAAACCTGCTGATATTTAAGAGGTGTCATTGCCAACTGTTGAAATGTGTCAAGAAATATCAGAATGTCACTTTTGAGTGTCATTTAGTCAGCTGTTTTGGTGAGTCTTTCCCTTCCTATATAGGAACGGGGTCCTAAAAGTAAGGATTACCAAAATAATTGACTAATTGACCAAGTTCCATGCTGTAGTCATAAAATGCACTCTTGCTGACGGTTTTTGATCATTGCGCATGCGCGTTTATTTTGCGTATGTCTGTCCCCGAGAATTGACAAAATTTAGCCCCATAAGTTTCCACAAAGTAGCTACCAACTTTTAATTTCCCACAAAAAGCAAACAAAATCAATTCAATACTTTACAAAAATATTTTGTAACACTTCAGAAAGATGTTTATAAATGAAAAGTTTGTAAATGGAGGCAAAATATGTCCAGTTATGTTTATAGCCACGTGGTATTTATCCCAAATTGCTATAAATCGAGGTATACATCTGAAGTATGGTGTTCAATTAGCATTTTGGGGCGTTACATTTTAAAACTCTGGCAGGGATCATTTTGAAAGATTTCATGCAAGACTTTCATGCAAGATGGCCAGAACTTATTGTGCTCTCGCACTTGTTTATTCTCAAGGCCCTTGTCAGATTGATGCAGGTTTTCCTGTCTTTACACCAATTTGAGACACAGGGGTAACCTCCCCAGTATCCCTATAAACACCCCCCCCCCCCCTTAGATATCTTTAAAAAATTCCTGAGATTCTGGGAACTCAATGAACAACACAAAAGAAATCGGGGGGGGGGGGTGCCTCTCCATAGCATTCCCTGCTTCAAATGTCTGTCTTTGGGGGGAAAAGTACATAATTTTGTTCCCGAGTTGGCTGGGGAGATAATCCGATTTTCAAATTGAGGATGAAGGTGTGATGTACCCACAACACACACATCTTTTTACAAACCTTTCTTAAAACAGTAAACAGATCAATATGACTAACAGGGACGCTTTTGTATTTGTTTCTCATATTATTGAAGATAGAGCTTTATTGTCGCATAAATGACAAAATTCCTTCTTGTTCACAACAGTTAAAATGTAGAAAAAAAATGTACACTTTGCATGATTTTACAGAAATAGAGATGATTCCAATTGAATTTTTGTTGAAAACCAAACCAAACCAAACCAAACAAAATCTACAATAAATAAAATATACTACAAATAACTATCTTCAGTTGTCACATTTCTTTGCCGACAAAACCACTCTTACAAATAACTTGAAAATGATGCATAATAATGACAGCGCCTCTAACATAAAAACACATGTTTTGAAGAGAAAAAACCTGCCAGTATACGCAAACACAGTATTCTGTGAACTGATTGTCTATATACAATTTAAAACCATATGTAACTCATAAATGGAAAAAGTAAATGAGATTTAACACGCAAAACGAAAGTATGTATTCTCACGTTTTTTTAACCAAAAACCAAAAACCAAAACAAAAGGCAACGAAAACCAAAATAGGACATGCAAAAATTAGGTGCAGTATCATTACAGTGTACACACCTCATGAGTTTAAAGTACCTTTTTTCTATTTTACACCTCAATTCTACAATGTACATACACATTCCATATATATTTTAAATGTTTTTCACTTTGGTAATACAATTTTTTATATGCATAAAAAAGTCCATGAAAAAAAAAAACCTGTCACCAACACTTGACCAGAGCATTTTCCTTTGTCTATGTGTGTGATCCCAAAGTACCGGTAGCAGTTAAAACAAAACCTCAATGCTCTTATAATTATTGGTGTGATGTCACGCTTTTTTACCCCGCATAAAATCGTGTCAGGCACAGATGATGGACTAAGCAGAACGGTACACACAACAAAAGGCTGGATAGCTCTTTGCACAGCGCTGGTACAGTAATAGTCTGGTTCCGAGACCAACCTAATCAGACTATAGATTTCTCTCGAATGACATCACTGCCTGCAGATTACCACGCGCATCAGCATTTTTGGAGTTGAATTTTCGTGTTACGCATTGGCTGCGCCATATTTCAAAGAAATTTCAAGCAACATGCGGGCGTGTTTAGAACATTTTAGCACACTGCGAGTACACGCATCTGATGGCGTTGAATACGCGGTTGTAATGTTCCTACAAAGATGGCTTTCTAATGAGAGTGGTCTATTCTGACAAGTCTTAGGTCAGGTATTAACTGTCACACTAGGAACCATTAAAAATGGTACGCAAACGGACGCATATGCAGCTCGGAAAAAAAGTCCCTTGTTGAATCACCATTTCACGTGGCTTCGGGTATGTATTTAAAAACTGTTTTTCTCCCGGAAGTATCCGAGCTATTGCAAACATATCAGTCAACTTCCGACATTTTTTGCCATGTTTATTTTAGCCATAGCAGCTACATGTACCTGACCTAAGATTTGTCAGAAATAGTCAGAATTTGTTTGGGCTAGGAACCAGACTAGTATGTCAGGTTTGGGCTAACTCAAATTCCTTTGGAGCATTTTTAGTATCTTTTGTTGATTTTATACACATGGAATTTCAGTATCCACCAGACACACTTTCAAAATCTAGTTTTGAATCATGCGAACAAGATTCTACCAACTAAAGCAAACTTTTTTTACCCAACAACTGGAAGTTAAACTTTAAAACTAATTCCTATACAAATGATAGAAACAGTAACTGTGCAAAAAATGTCCAACATGAAATCTTTTTAAAAAATAACCGTCCAATATCCAAATTTCTCTTTTTTTCTACAATATTACAAAATAAAACTTGCGAGTTTCTTACAACCACTAAAGCAGAAGTGTTGTCTCTGTTTTTTTTATAATTTGATTTAAATACTATACATAAAATGTCTTAAAGAAAGTCTAAGATGTGCTGCGAATCTCAGTTGAAGTTGGACTCGTGTGATTGTTGATTGCCATCTGCAGATATTGAAAGAGTTCGAAGACTGATTTTTTTTCCAAAAGTAAAAATCCCCTTGTCATTGAGGTTGAGGACTTGAAGAGAATGGACCCTTCCTGTCTGTCAATCAGAGTGCCCATTGACCAATTAAATCTAGACTTTTGGACAGGTGACCACGGTGGGAGGGGCTTATTGGAATTTTCCATTCTCTCTCATTCTAAAGCCAGGGCGTGTTTTCGCGACCAGAAACATGTCTCGGCTTTGGTCATTGGTTGAGCGTTTTCGTGACTTCGTTTGGCCGGAGTGACGTCACTGTTCCGACCAAAACCAAGGGTCGGTTACGGAGTGCATTTCAAGATGGCGGAAAGATAAATGCACGACATGTAACAAAACAGTGTTGGAGGAAATAAGCTTGTAATGCCTTATTTTTACTTACATCGTAAGTTTGTACATTTTAAGTGGCCTGTAATAAAATGTCTATACAACTTACAAGCCCACAAAGTATTATCCCGAATTTCGCCGGGACTGGCCACAAACACCTAAAAATTATCGATGTTGTCCAAATGTCCGCCATGTTTGTTTACAACTTTTTGACACTGTTTTTTTTTGGTTCAGCGTTTTTGTGCACATGTGTAAACATGTTTCTGGTTATCCATTTGGCGTCACACACATGTTTCTGGTCGCGGTCGCGAAAACACGCCCCAGCTTGTCAAAATATGCAAATTGCAATCACACATAGACAACATTCTCAGCCAATCACGACTCGGCATTGGGTCTGGTCAGGTCACCTTGGGAGGGCGTTGGCCTCTTCCGGCTGCGGTGATTGATGGCTGTCCCCGCCCACTGATGGGTCCTTCTTCTGCATGTCCAAAGCTGTTGTTAATCAGATCAAGGTGAATACAATTAAAACGGATGTAACTTCCTTGAATGCACCAGAACAGACATCATTGGGCAAGGCTTGTAATGGTAGAGTAGATCGTTTGCAGCTATCCAAAAAGCAACCTAAAAATTATTGTTGAAAAGCTTACTTGGTTTTAAAAAGATTGTCATGGAACAACACTGTGAAAATTACTCTTTCTAGCATGCTGTCAATTTGCGGAAAACAATAAAAGAAGGTCATTTCGTTGGCGTGTGCCCCCCCCCCTATAGCTATGCCGTTGTTGTCAAGTCTGTGTCATGATGGTGGAGTCCGACTCTCTTCCCGATGTAACTTGAGTCAAGTCCAGGTCATGATAGTTGCGTCTGAGTCCGAGTCTTTTGCTAATGTGACTTCAGTCAAGTCCGAGTGGCCAAAACTGTGACTCGTAATCGAGACAGACTCTGAGTCAAAGTCCTGGACTTGAGCCAGTACATGAGCTCGTCATACTTAAAGAAATACGCCAAGGTAGCAGCCACACACTCATGGGCTTCGCCAGGATTTTTTCCAGGGGGGGGGGGCAAAGCAAATTTTTCCCCAAAATTTCTTAACCTTTTCATTATATTCTCAATTTATCATTTTTCCCGTGCGTGAGCAGGGAAGCATTGCCCTACCACCCCCTCCCCCCCCCCATCAAATAAACAGCAACATGGCTTCACACCTCTTTTTCCTTCATTTTTTCCTCTTTTTTTTTTTTTTCCGGGGGGGGGGGGCACGTGCCCCCCCTTGCCCCTCCCCCCCCCCCCCCCCCCCCAGCGACGCCCAGCCACACACTCGAGACATTGTTACGGGGAGGCCATACCTGCAAAAAGGTTACCACCAGTCTGGCGCTGCTGGATGGTGACGGGGCAGTCGTTGTGGGCTAGGAGGAGCTGCTTCAAGGACGCCACCTCATCTCTCAGCTTGGTGACTTCATTCTGGGGGCAACAATATTCAAACGGGGAAGGGGTGGGGAGGGATTCAGTTAATTACAGCAATGTCAATGAAAACCAGGTCCACAAGGAAAGCTGGACGTTTGCAATTCACCTTCAAGATTTGCAATGTGAATTCGTCAATTTAGAGTAATGCCTTGTTCGTACCTCACGTGAATGAGAATGTTTTGGCATTTTAGGAGCCTCTTTACAATTCACTGGCAAGGGACGCCACTCCCTTTCAGCCTTCCAGTTTGACACAAGACCACTGAGCACCACAAAAGCATCACAATGGTGCCTTGAAAATGCAACAAGTATGGAGTACACATGCATAATAAGAAAGTTTAGTAAAACTGGAATGCCAACTGAAAGACTGTCATAGCTAAATATTATGCATCATCACGCACAGGTTGTGCAGGATTCCAGGACTTTTCCGGACTTTTTTTCTTGGAATATCAACCTTCCATGTCTCCTTGTAAAAAACAAATTTCCATGACTTTTCCAAGACTTTCCATGAAAGCTTTAAATTCCAGGATTTTTCCATGACCGTGGAAACCCTGAATTACCATTTAGTCAAATTATGATTTTCGTTTCATTTTTTAGTCGCTGTATGCATTTTTTTCACATCAAATACCAAGTCCCATATTCCGTTTATAATCTTGCGGAATGCTTACCATCAATACGCTGTTTGTGCTCTTGTATTCATCGGCTTTCTGCTCCAAGTTATTGACCCACATTTTGCGTTTGTTCCGGCATCGCGTCGCCGCAGCGCGGTTGCGCTCCAGAAACTTCTCTCTCTTTTCATCCTCGGACATGTCTGAATTCCGCCGCCTTCTTCTGAAAAGTGGAGGAAAAAAAGGCACAAAAGTTGGTTCACACCGTAGCATATTGGACATCATTAGACATACGCAGCAAAACTTGCCAGGGTCAAAATGTGCTTACGTTTTGTGAATATTTGCCATGACAACACAGATATGCATTTGCGTTTACTTTCGTGCCGGTTATGAATATGTCTTGACGGTGTTTCTGCTGTTTTGTTTTTTAGAGTTTTTAAATCAATCTTAGCTTGCTCCCGACAGATTAAATGTCAGTCCAGAATTAAATTGCTGTGTTAGACAAGGTTGCGCTCGACAACATAAAATTCATACAACATAATCATGTTGTATATTACTTTGACCAACACTCAACTAGATCTTACAAAAGTTCTTTGCACTACAGCTTTCTCTGCTTGCTAGTTCAATGAAAAGACTGAAGCAAATGGCAGCATAGATTTCAGATATCTACAAATTACATTAACATTATTTCTTTAAACTTGTGTCTCCCATGCTCATTTAACAAATTCAATATTTTGTTCTTTTAATAAATTGTCAACCCGTATATTTTATTCCAACCCCCCAAAAATCCTGTTATTTTGTCCTTTTTGGACGTCTGCAACCCTTTGAAAAAAAAGTTGGGTTTTTTTTAGCACAAACAGATCCGCCTTACAAGCAGACTGGCTCCTGGTTTTGTACATTATCGATACTGATTGTGGGATGGGAACCAGCCTATTGTGCGAGAACGGTATTATTGGCAAGCAGTTGTTCTAAATTTGTAGAGTAATAATTCCATAACTTGACAGCCAAGTTTTTTTTTATGGTTTCTTATTCAAAGGTGAACAACTTCTGTATTGTTTTTAAAATTGCAACTTAGAAAAGAATTTATCTTTTGTGATAAAACTTGAAAACAGCTCGGGAATGCAACTTTAATTACAACGACGAACCACAGAAATAGGACAAGAGACCTAATCTCACACCATATAATGTATGAGGACAGGCATTGTTTACTTTGCATCTTGATGATACTGATTTCCCCTAGGTGTCATGTGCAATGCATGTGGATTGCCACGTGAATATCTAAATGAGTTGACCTCTCCATCAGAGGTCATATAGTCATCAGAGGTCATATGGCACAATTAGGGGAAGTGTGGTCTAGGGGTTAGGGTTCGTGACTCATGATCAGAGGGTCAGGGGTTCAAATCCAGCTGCTGGCCATACGTTGTGTCCTTGGGCAAGCCGCTTCACCCCCACTTGCCTCTCTCCACCCAGGAGTATAAATGGGTACCGGCATTAGCTGGGAAGTAACCTGCGATTGACTGGCATCCCATCCAGGGGGAGTAGAAATATTCTCAGTCGTTTCATGCCACTGCAACCGGAGAAAAACGCCGGCCTGATGGGTCATGCTCGGGACAGACTTTACTTTACTGACCTCTGCATCAGAGGTCATATGGACAACTGGTCCATCTCGGACTCTATATATCCGAGTGAGGAAATGTAGAGGCCGTGCTCAGACTACTTGGGAACCAGGGCCCAATTTCATGGCGCTGCTCGGCAGAATATATTGCCTAGCAAATATATGAGTTATGCGGAATATTGCTGGGAACCAGTCATGTGCAATATCAATTGCATGACATTTCAGCTGGTAACCCGTGTTTGGTCTTAGCCACTCAAAGAAATCAGCCCCCCCCCCCCCCCCCCCCCCCCCCCCCCCCCCCCCCCCCCCCCCCGACTGTCAACTCACTTGATTTGGCTCTCGGGCGAGGATAGGTCTTGAGCAACCTCGGCCAAGTTTGGGTTGGACAGGCCCTGTTGCCTGGTAACCACGTCCACCGCTTGGGTCATGACCCCCATGTTGCCCTGTGATTGGTTGGCCAGTAAGTTGTTCTTCAGTTTCTGTTCGCAAGAGAAGGAAACATTGACAATGGATGTTATTTTTTTTCATTTCACTTCACAATTATGAGGGGAAGACATTTCATTCATTTAAAAAACACAACTTATTGATCCAGATCATACACACAACTACTTCCATGGATTTTGCAGCAGAGAACTCCACAATTCCTTTCAAACAATAACACAATGCTTGATCCAATGATTTCAAGTCTTTACACATTTTTTTTTTTAACAAAATGGATCATTTTTGAATCACCACGTACTTCTTTCACATCAGTCACCATTGTTGTGAAGGAAGTATATGAACGGCGTAATATACGATAGTTTTTGACGTGAAAATGTTGTTGAAATGCATTTTCGGTAAGACAAGATGGGCAATTTGTACGTATTTTTCACTATTGTTTTTTTATTTGCACTGTAAAGCAGCGGCAGTGCCCCACGGCTGGATTTATTCTGGCATGGGACTAGGGCCTACAAAGGACCTCTATTACAGGTGTTATTATCCATCTAGACTATTAACAGGCAAACTTCCGCAGCAACTTGTTCTGACGTTCTAATTGGCTGCTGAACCCAAACCAATGTTCGGATAGAAATTGCCGTGACTTTTTTCCTTGGAATATCAACTTTCCATGACTCCTTCTAAAGTAACAAATTTCCATGACTTTCCATGATAGTTTTAAAAGTTTTCCAGGGTTTTTCCATGTCATAGGCTGACTACTCTCTCATGGATTTTAACTTTTTTTAAGGAGAGGGTGGTTTACCTGTTTAACGGATTTGGAATCCAGCGGTACAGTCTGCATCGCCCCCGTGACGACCACCGAGACCTGGGGTACTGCTGAGATGGCCACTGGGATGGGCGCCTGGGGGTTGGCCACAGAAGGAGGCACCATGGGGATGGTCTGGCCGGTGGGCAGGCGCAGGAGGATCGGGCCTGAGATGGGGATGGTGTTCCGGTCCAGTTGAATCGTCTGATGGATCGGGACCCTGCATTGGTGATAACATTAGGATAACTTCAGAGGGTGAAGCTAAACACAGACAATAGCAGGCTTCCTTCGTCGAGGTCAACCCAAAGTCCCAGTTTTTAGGTAGGGTAGATCATTTGTCATTTGTACATTTTTTTTCGTTTTGAAGCAACAAAAGTGCTCCAAATCTAAAGACGGGTGCTCAACAACTAACCTGATGAAGTTTTAGCACTGTGAATGGTGTATATTCCGAGAAAACAATATTCTAGGATCTCGGTTACAATTCAAAAGTTGCCGAGTCATGGTTTGAATTGCGCCCGAAATCAGCGTCCGGGACACATTCTCATTCAGCCGATTGCAGCTACGCGCGCGTGTGCCTCGTGTCAACGCTTGCGCGCACCCATTCACGGATTTGCCAAATTACAAACCAACTACTAATGGACATTTCCCAAAATGCATCACTTGACGCATCTTTGAAAATGACCTTTTATTGTTTTCTTCAAAAATGACAGCATGCCAGAAAGAATAATTTCACAGGGAGTTTAGTGTCATTACTTTCTTTTAACCTAGTAAGCTTTTCAACACTAATTTCATCAGTTACTTTTTGGATAGCTGCAAATGATCTCCTCTACCTATAAGACATCATTTGTAGTCAGTGACTCAGACAGTAAAGTCAACTTTCCATATGCACCTTTTTTGGGTCCGTTACGCACACGTTGCATGTGCACTGCGTTCATGGGTTTCATGCACACAGTCCAGTGTTCCCAGCACTTTATGAAAACAAAATTCCCGGAGTTTTCCTTGATATTTCCCCGAGAAATTTCCAAAAATTCCACAAGAAATATTTTCACTTTTGACGAGGTTGCTGGTAAGTCCAGAGGTGGTGCAACACAGCCAATAATTATTGTCAGGAGGGGTGTGTGATATTCACACTGCATACAAAGTAAAAAGCCACCATAGCCAGTCAGCCATTGGACACAACTTGAACGCATGACACAAGATGCACATACGCCAAACTGGTGAAAATCTCTCCATTCTGGGTCACTGTCAAATTCAAGGACTTTCCCCTGATTTTTGATGTTTTTTTTTTCTTCAAAAATCCCTGAGTTTTCACTGACTGGAAAAATGGAAACTCATTTTCAAGGTTTTGCCTGATTTCTGTTGGAAACCCAGCAGTCTTATACCCCTTACCTGTTCTGAACCATTGGAGCCATTGTCTGGACAACCGTGGCTTGAGCTTGTTGGAAGACCGGCAACACTTCTTGAGCAGCCGTGGGAGAGATGGTGGACACCTCAACCACCTGGCTCGCCCCCGGCAAGTCTTCGATGCCCAGGGATTCCTCCGACTGCTGCCGCTGTCGCTGGTGGGTTTCCTCTCCCATAGTCAACGACACGGCTTGCTGAGAGGAAGGATCCTCCAGTGACTGCTCGTTGTCACTGCTGTCTATCTCCACGACCCGATCGCTGATGTCCAGAGGGGTGTCCTCAGCTGTGCCTTTGGCGGAAGTTTCAGCGGCATCCGCAGGCTGGAATGTAATGCACAGATAAAAATTTACTTTAAGGCCAAAAAAAAAATAAGTCGGTCTCTGGTCAGCGCGCGCGTCGATTTTAATCATGCGCATCAATCTTTTTTTTTTCCAAAATGTTCCGCGGTAGCTCCAACAGCGCCCTCTATTTCCGCACCTCCTCAATTTTTTTTACCAAAGAGCACCAAGGAATGGGAAATTGCACCAAGGCAAATGATCGAAAGCACCAAGGCAAATTATGGAGGACACCAATGTACATGAGGACACCAAAAAAGCAAAATAGTACCCCACCTTGTCTGTACAATCCAAGCTTGAAGAAGAAAAAAAAAAAAGCAAAAAAAAAAAAAAAAAGGCCACGTGGCCGCGTCAATTCCGGAACTTTGGTCTGACCAGAGACCGAATATTTAGTCTGCTGCTACACTCCAAAACATACAGTAGAATGCCATGGTCCAGTGCTTACAGTGTTTGACTCATGTATGATGGTGCGAGGGTTTGAACCCTGCCAGGAACATGGTGTTTGTGCCCTTGGGCAAGACACTTAATTACAATTGCCTCTCTCAACTCAGCCGAATGTGCGCTGATATCGGCCGCTGCGTGGTCTCATGGCCTGATGAACGGGGGAATAATCGTTAAGCGTTTTAAGATTGTTGATACGATGCAAGCGCTATATAAGCATTACAATTTACTTTATGTATTTATAGTATTTAGAGTAAAGAATTACGACCGTTACAATCTGAAATCAAAGATTAAACAGCAACTCTTACTCTAAAGGTGCTGGCTCTGCGGAACAGAGCATCAAAGGGATTCGGGTGTTCGTTGAAGAGACCCTCTTCTACGCAATTCTTCAGAAAACGCGTCGGGGTCGGTGTCTGGTCCGCTGTGAATCAATAAGTGAAAAGCACTGATTATTAATACGTGATGAAAGGTTTGCTCTACAAATAAGAATATACATGTACTGGTCAGAATAAAATAGGTGGAACTCCCCCGTCAGACACGGAAACACTCAAGCCTTACCAATAACTGGTGTGTCCAAGGACTTCAGGTCTCGCAGGCCCAGCGACATCTCATGTTTCCTCCTGTGCACTTCCAAGTGATCTTCATTCACAAAGCGCTGCAACCGAACATGAGAATTAACTTTGTAAATTGAAATTTGGAATTCAGACACAGGACAAAATTATCAAAAACTTCTTTTGCCGAAGTCACAATACACAATCCTCGGTCTATTGAAACGTGGGTTTGAAATGGAAGTTGAATTAATTTAATACAATGATTAAATTGTTTTTCCTAACACCAACATTTCTTGTCTCATGTGTGATTATTTTGAGTTTGTACCATTTAACTGGTGGGCGTGGCCTCCATAAGGGGTCCCTGTTACACTAAATAATAAATAAACAACCACCAAAAATATTCAAAGAATACGTACCTGGTTACATCCTATTTCCGTACAGGCAAACGGCTTGCCACTGTCTCCCATGATGCTTTGCTATCGGGGAACTTGCGCTCAACTCACTTTTCAAAAATAACTTCCTGTCGGGATACAAAAAGGCAAAAACAAACTGAGAATGCCATTTAAACAAACAAGCGCTTGAGACATAGTGAGCATTGTCGTAGGTGAGGTATTTGTGGTGGATCATAAGAACTTGTGATGGATCATAAGTACTTGTGATGAATCATAAGTACTTGTGATGGATCAGAAGTACTTGTGATGGATCAGAAGTACTTGTGATGGATCAGCAGTACCTGCAATGGATCAGAAGTACTTGTGATGGATCAGAAGTACTTGTGATGGATCAGAAGTACTTGTGATGGATCAGAAGTACTTGTGATGGATCAGAAGTACTTGTGATGGATCAGAAGTACTTGTGATGGATCAGAAATACTTGTGATGGATCAGAAGTACTTGTGATGGATTGTAAGTACTTGTGATGGATCATAAGTACTTGTGATGGATTGTAAGTACTTGTGATGGATCATAAGTACTTGTGGCGGATCATAAGTACTTGTGATGGATCACAAGTACTTGTAATGGATCACAAGTACTTGTGATGGATCAGAAATACTTGTGATGGATCAGAAGTACTTGTGATGTATTGTAAGTACTTGTGATGGATCATAAGTACTTGTGATGGATCATAAGTACTTGTGATTGATCATAAGTACTTGTGATGGATCAGAAGTACTTGTGATGGATCATAAGTCCCAGTCCCAAGTCAACTTCCAACCTATTCAAATGAACTGAGACAAAGGCATTTTCCTTTGTATCCCCATTACTTGTGACAGAGCTTGTGATTTACTTGTGACTGACTTGTGATGTACTTGTGGTACAATTACAAGCATCTCGGCTACAACAATGCTACTGCCAGTGGACATAGTGTTCATATGCAGCTGAAACTACCTTTCAAAACCGAACAGAGCCACAACAGTGCTTGATGCCATTGGTTCAAAGTCAAGCATCTCATTCTAATGGCAAAAAGTCTACTGCATACATATCGCAAGTATTTTTGCAGAACCCATGAGGGTGACATCATGCTTTATCAATAACAGATATTATCTATCAAATCAATATGTGATTTATTGATTGATGGGTGATTCACCCACTCCAGTGACCAGGTCATGAACAATCCGCTTGTAAGTCTGACTTTTGATCAGGTTAGTCATTTTGTTTCCCAGATACCTGTTTATTTTAGGTCCCTAGATACTACACAAACTGGCACATACAACTTTTTAGTGTCTATATTTTGTCTCCTGACAACCCTCCCCTCCCCCCAGAAAAAAATTGGAAATATTTTTTTACTCAGTTGCTGAATTTGTGTTAAACATTTCGATCAACATAAGCAAATTAAAGCCCACATATGGCCTCAAAAGTCCCTTTTAGGGTAGGGACTAAAGCCATGAAAATTACGATTTTGTTTTATTATTGTTATTTTATCTCATGGGCAGTGGATGTTTTGCCACTTTGAGAACCCATGTCAGTAGTTTTGTCACGCCCCAACTATCGCATCGGTCCCAACTATAGTTGGGCCTGTCCCAACTGTTGTTCCACAGTTGGGCTGGCCCAACTATAGTTGGGCCTGTCCCAACTATAGTTGGGACGGTCCCAACTGTAAGTTCCATTGTTGGGCTGGCCCATCTATAGTTGGGCCACTCCGATCTTTTTATTTTGCGGTGTCCCAACTATAGTTTACATTGATGTACAACCATAAAACGTTCCCTACAGCTCTGATACACGTCTGACTTTACTGGGGACCACTGAAATTAGCTATTGATGATGGGGCGAATCTATAGTTGGGCCACCCCAATCTTTTTATTTTGCGGTCCCAACTATAGTGTACATTGTTGTACGATTATAAAACATTCCCTACAACTCTAATACACATCTGACTTTACTGGGGACCAATGAAATTATCTATGGGTGGGGACCATCTGTAGTTGGGCCACCGCAATATTTTTATTTGGCAGTCCCAACTATAGTTTACATTGATGTACGACTATAAAACATTCTCTACAGCTCTGCTTACATGTCCGACTTGGGACCTTTGACATTAGCTATGGGTGGGGCCCATCTATAGTTGGCCGGCCATGGCAATCTTTGAATTTTGCAAAATGTTGCTGGATAATAAAACCCAGCAGCTGGACAACTCATCCAACTAGGCAGTACCACGTGACCGGCCAGCCTTGCGGCATGCATGCACGACGAATACACGGTGCCAGCGCCGCGGAACATTTAATCCAACAAGATCTATCAAGCATGAAGCATCCGGCGCAACTCCAGTCCTAACTATAGTTGGGCCGACCCAACTGCCGCACTATAGTTGGGACAGTCCCAACTATAGTTGGGACCGATGCGATAGTTGGGGCGTGACAGTTTCGGTGGAATCACCGCAAGACATTTATGTTCTCGGACTCTTCTTTTCCGTTGAATTAAAACTATCCTTACTATAAATTTGGAGAAGAAAAATAGTAGATGAAAAATGGGCATTGGTGGATTCGAACCAGGGATCTTTCAATCCATGCCTAATCTCACTATCCTCTAGACTACTGTGGCAGCTCGACGACAGCAATTACGTTAAATGCTTTAAATAATGAATGAATCTGCTGAATCCAACAGGATCCAACTACATTTATAGCATACAACCTGTTGGAGCCTGTTGGATTGAGCAGTAAATCCCTTGTACAAATGTACATGTACATATTCAGAGTCGGATTCTGTTGCGTACTGATTTAGTTGGATCCAGCAGGCAACTAAAAATTAGGCAGTTGGATTCTGTTGGATTGAGCAGGAAGTAACTGTTGGAGTCTGTTGGATTTTAACAGAATAGTCGCGAGGAATGGGTTAGGGTTGTACTATCACCCTCACGTATTACTAGTTGACGAAGCAATATCATGACATCATTTTCGTTTCTACATTTGTTTAAACATAACTTCCCCATCAAAACGCTAATCACAGCGCACTACTGACGGTAGACCCGTAAACGTGGCTACATAGCCACACTCTGTTCATATCTCTGGACTTTCAAACAATTTTACAGTGCAAATTTCTACGTTCGAATGGGCTCCATTTCCCCACAAATTTCTTTGAAATGACAGATCCTATGCCACTGGAAGTTCTTGGATTAACTCTTATGTAAGTCCTGAACATCCAGTAGCCTACTCTTTAAATTTCGAGATTGTAAGGGGAAGGTTCCAACCGGGATTTCAAACACGTCGAAAGTCCAGAGAATACGAACGAATCACGTTCACGGGTCTACACTGACGGCAATATAGCATTGGGAGGTATATTGTCGGTGACTGCAAAATATCCACTGTCTAATATAAAAATGCTACCACTCCTACAGTTGGCTATATTATTAACATTAGTTTGCATTATTTTCAACCGACATCTTAAACATTGTTAAATAAATTAAATACACATTTTAAATCTATCGGTAGGGTTAAAGGAAAGAATGTTGCATCCTAACGCCACTTTTTTGCATAATCTCATTTCTCAACTGCAATGAAGTTCATTCATTGCAGAAAATTTCCAATTTTGTTATAAAATACTTTGAAAATGCATTCGACTCCATAGACTTGGTACACAACCAAAGAAGTGGCATCAGGATACTACCTTCTTTCCCTTTTAAATTTTACACCATCATATTCATAAGGAAAGATTTCCATACACAATACCTGGCTATCACTAATTTTTCCCTGCAGTGACCTATCGGCCATCAGAAAGTTATAATATGTCATAATAAGTCAAATTTAGCAAGGAACATAATCATTTACTGAGAAAACACTTAGAAATTGTCAGACCAGCCTGTATAGGGTTTGTGCACAGGGTGGCAAGTGATGATGATGTTTTGTAGGTATGGAAATCTTTCCAGTTAATCATCCATGGAAATTTCGAAATTCATGTCAATATTAAAATGGCTGTCTTTTAATTTTATTATGAATATGATTCTAATGCCAATGCGGGAAGTTAAGTCAGGATTTACATACGATACCGCTGGTTCCGATCTTAAGTCAGACAAGTGTTAATTTTCAACGGATTGTGTGCGAAGGCAATCTACATGATGAGGATTTCAAATGGAAGTGTTTCAACACGGATATGCCGTAGCGTATGAAAAGGAATAAACATAACCACTTTCATCAAAAATCATTCCCCGCCCCGCGAACGGCCAACCCGAAGTCAATTTCTACACACCCTTGCCCGTGATCCCTTTCCTTAATCGTTGTACGACTCATTAAAAGAAGAATTTCAGGGTGTCTCTTGGCCTTACCGATCTTGAAATCTTGCAGTTCTCCCTCCCTTCCTGGTCGATCAACCACGTTTGTTGTAGATGACGCGACTCGTTATTCTTGTACCATTACGTAGTGCGCACGAGCGATATGCAGACGAAGAAAAATTCCCGATGACGTCATTGTCAGGCTGCAGGACGTCGGTGTGGTTCCTAGGCGTGTACCGTATCTAAAATAGTCACTTGTAAAGGCAAGGTGGGTAACTGACTATTTTCGTGGAATGTTGGGGTCACGTGGGGTATCCACCCCCTCAGTGATCGGTAATTGATTAGTTAATAAAATCGATTGATTGATTTCCAATTTCTTCTTTTAGTTTATGCTTTTATGCGTAAATTTGTCAGTTTGGAAAATGTGGTGCCATTGAATCGAAGTGTAGCCAGTTTTTGACTTAATGGTTATACGATTCATGGGCAATCAACAACATAAAAAAAAGGTGTATTTTAGCGGCGCAGCAGCAGGCGCGGCCCGGAAGCAGAATTGGATTATAATTGATCCAAGAACGGAAAAGCAAGCAGCTTGTCTCAATTAACTTACTAGAAAACAAAAACAAGTTAGCAGACCTTTAATTAACTCGATTCATGAAACATTTCCAAATAGTAGCCTAGCGACCGGGGGATATTTGGGGTCTGATCCTGGCCGAACGGACGAACCCCCCCCCCCCCCAACCGGTCAGACACACGCGAAAAATAAATAATTTTTAATCAAATATAATAATGACGCGGTCCGCCTGTCCTCAATAATCGGATATAAATATCTAAGGTGCCGAGACCCCCTCCCCCGGTAAAAAATCCTGGATCCGCCCCTGAACGCACCCGTTACCTCAAAAAAGCCTGCATAATAATAGTGTTCACTGTTGCGTAACTCTAAGTACATTTAGCTCAAGATGTTTAATTTCCCGTCGTCAAATACCAACGGTACCTTAGCTTAATCGGTAAGCTCTGCGGCTGGTACTGTCCGTGAGTTCCAGGTTGGCGTCTTCGTACAGGTTCAGGGCATGTGGTCCACTCGGAGGATCAGGGCTTAGGGTGCCGCCCTGTTCCTCCCTTAGCTCTTTGCTTTTACATGGCGCCTGGCCCTCCGGGGTTACATGGATGGACAGGGAAGGAAGTGTGTATTGGTCGGGGACACCGAGACCCCGGAAGAGAACTAAGGGGTTGGCTGGGGCATTGTTATGGCTCAGACCGATCCCTGAAAGCTTGGCTAGCACATAACTTTTTGATTTTTTTTTAATCCTCTATTTTTTTTTAACTTTGCTTTAGTTGGATATTTACATCTGCCCGGCAGGTCTCCGGTAGTATTTAAAAAGGATTCATAAATACCTCAGACAGTTTAGCCATTCCTATTGGTCGAGAGCCCGTCACGTGGCCGGTATTAAACGGATGATAAAGACATGGCTAGCTGGTCTTAAACACTTTTCCAGTGTCACAATAAAATGTGGACTCCTAAAAATCCAGTGCCTCTTATCGTTTCATTGGTTGAACGTTCACAATCCTCACGTAGGCATGCGCAACACTACCAGGGAGTTAGAATTTTATAGTTCTAAATTCAAAACGCAACGCGCCAGGTGCGTTCTGCGCGACATCGCATAGAACATGATACGCGCGCGTCAATCTCCATAAAAGGGTTGTTTTCATCTTACTCGCCAGCTGAACACTCCATTATTTTGCAGGAGGGATGATTCAAAAAGCATAAAGTCAATTTGTTGAACAAAATCGGGATGTTTTGAACGAATTATATGATTTTTTTTTTACCGAAAAGGTATTTATGAATGGGAATAAATATGTACTCCTTCGGTATTTATCACTCTGTTTAATACCACTTAGAGTCTGGGTGCTGATAATTACCCTCGCCTCCGGCTCGGGTAATTATCAGCACCCAGACTCTAAGTGGTATTAAACAGAGTGATAAAAACCTCCGGAGCACACATTTATTCCCTTAATCAAACGTATACGTCGTGAATCTATGAATATTAAATAATTGATTATTATCAAAATTAAGTTTCGTTCGATCAATATGACTACGGAAACCGTTCATTTTACGTCAATTGGTAAATTTTGTAGAAGTTAAAAAGAATCCAAAAATATTCGCCCAAAATTTTGGCCTCAGAAAAAAAGTTTTTTTTTTTTAATGCTTGACATCGACATGAGCTGAGTTTTTTGGTTCGATTAATTAATTTGGATTTTGTAATTAAGAGCGGGGTACTCGGATCCTAATTCGTTTTGAATAGTGTGCGCAATTTCAGCACTGGAGCGCGCAATTTAAAACCAACTTTTCAAACTGTGTAAAGGCCTGCAAACTAGCTGGATATTTTCGTTCCTACTTTCCCGATATCTTTGGCGCCTATTTTACCCAGTAGCGCACCCAGGATTTAGCTTGGGGGGAGGGGGGATGCCCACAATTTTGGGTTTTTTTTTTTCTTCAAACAAATTGGGTGGGTTTTTTTGTGGGAGGGGGAATATTTTGACGTTGGTGGCGCCACTTACACTCCTATTATAATACTCGAAAATATGCCACATACATATCGGTCAATTCGTGGACCAAAAAAATGACCCCCCCGAAAAAAAAATATTAAAAATTAGCAACCTCTTCGAGTGGGAGGGGTCACCCCCCCCCCCCTTGGGTGCGCCACTAATTTCATCCACCTCTGGCCAATGGCACAGCGGTAGAGGGGTGTTTGCAGAGTGGCAAATTGCAACTGCTAGCTACAGATTTTGAGAGCGGGCCAGGCGGGGACGTGCGAAGAAAATTCGGGCCGGCGACATCGGCCGGTCGTAAAAAGCTTGTCTTGTCAGTCGGCAGGGATGAAGAGCGCCACCTACTGCCAAAGTGTGTCTATGAGTGTCCGCTTTCAACAGTGCCCCTATACTGAGGTGCAATGAATTGCCATAGACTCCAATGATAAATTTCCCCACTTTAGAAATTCAAGAAAATAATCACAATTTGCTCTCTTTAAGCTGTTCGAGACATGCATTAAAATTAAAGCTTAGTTTGATCGTCTTTCTATTTTTCCTCATTTTTTTTGGTGGTAATCTGATTGTAAGTCGGGAGAAATTTCCATTCGAATATGATCACCCATCGCCATTTTGAAAAACGGCGCCTACACTCCAATGCAAAATAGAGCGCATTTAGAGCCCCAATTTCATGAAAATTGCACTTAATACAAGCTCACGTTCCTGTGCACGGCTTCCATCCTCACTGTTTACGAGCCCTCAAGTGCATGGCCCACAATATGCTCAAGTACTGAAGAATTTGAGGGCATGCAAATCGTGATTTGGCCGGCGTATGTTACTTCGGACCCATTTTACTGCCTCAACCCTTTAAACAGCCGCAGCTATAATTTTGTCTTTTAACCCTTGGATTTTTTTTCTCCAATTTTGGCCGAAAAATCAAATTTCTTCAAACTTGCTGGAACGATGCCCATAGAACACTAGAACACATTTCAATTCGATTTCTGGACAGATGTGCTTTTCAAAATGAAATTTGAACGAAAATTTGGGGTGAAATCGGTCAAAAATGAGAATTTTTTTTCCTCTAAAAATCTATGATTTTTACCCGAATCTGCAAGATATTGGGTGTTTGCAGGTTGATTGATGCTCCTCTTACCTCTAAAGGAATTTATGCATCGTTTGGAGGAAAGTCATTTGTTGGCCGAATTTCATCAAAAAAGTAAGGCTATAATAGGTCACGATATCTTACCCAGAATGCCATCCCCACTTCCTTCACAAGATTATGTGAATGACATCAGCCCTTAATTCCCGGCACAGCGCCCTAGCCCCTGTTTGCAGGGAGGAAGTTACGAGCGAAGCGTTATTGTACGGAACATAAAATATGGACATCATGAACAGGGCCCCCTAGTGTAATGTGGTGTCCTGGTTAATGTTGTTTTCATCTCGTTTAAATGTTTGTTTTTGGTTGTTTATAGAATTAAGGATGAGAACGTACTGTTCACATTATTTTTGAGGAAACAAATCCGTAAAAAAAAATATCGTTTTATTTCTAAAGACGTGATACTGTTGAAATAGTAGTGACGAAGTTGAAAATCTGTATATCTGTCCAAATACAAATAGTAGGAGTCAGGCGCGGATCCATAGGGGGACGAACCCCCCCCCCCCCCAACCGGTCAGACACACGCGAAAAATAAATAATTTTTAATCAAATATAATAATGACGCGGTCCGCCTGTCCTCAATAATCGGATATAAATATCTAAGGTGCCGAGACAACCCCCCCCCGGTAAAAAAATCCTGGATCCGCCCCTGAACGCACCCGTTACCTCAAAAAAGCCTGCATAATAATAGTGTTCACTGTTGCGTAACTCTAGGTACATTTAGCACAAGATGTTTAATTTCCCGTCGTCAAATACCAACTGTACCTTAGCTTAATCGGTAAGCACTGCGGCTGGTACTGTCCGTGAGTTCCAGGTTGGCGTCTTCGTACAGGTTCAGGGCATGTGGTCCACTCGGAGGATCAGGGCTTAGGGTGCCGCCCTGTTCCTCCCTTAGCTCTTTGCTTTTACATGGCGCCTGGCCCTCCGGGGTTACATGGATGGACAGGGAAGGAAGTGTGAATTGGTCGGGGACACCGAGACCCCGGAAGAGAACTAAGGGGTTGGCTGGGGCATTGTTATGGCTCAGACCGATCCCTGAAAGCTTGGCTAGCACATAACTTTTTGATTTTTTTTTAATCCTCTATTTCTTTTTTTTAACTTTGCTTTAGTTGGATATTTACATCTGCCCGGCAGGTCTCCGGTAGTATTTAAAAAGGAATCAAAAGTATACGTCGTGAATCTATGAATATTAAATAATTGATTATTATCAAAATTAAGTTTCGTTCGATCAATATGACTACGGAAACCGTTCATTTTACGTCAATTGGTAAATTTTGTAGAAGTTAAAAAGAATCCAAAAATATTCGCCCAAAATTTTGGCCTCAGAAAAAAAAAAGTTTTTTTTTCAATGCTTGACATCGACATGAGCTGATTTTTTTGGTTCGATTAATTAATTTGGATTTTCGAATTAAGAGCGGGATACTCGGATCCTAATTCGTTTTGAATAGTGTGCGCAATTTCAGCACTGGAGCGCGCAATATAAAACCAACTTTTCAAACTGTGTAAAGGCCTGCAAACTAGCTGGATATTTTTGTTCCTACTTTCCCGATATCTTTGGCGCCTATTTTACCCAGTAGCGCACCCAGGATTTAGCTTGGGGGGAGGGGGATGCTCACAATTTTTTTTTTTTTCAAACAAATTGGGTGGTTTTTTTTTGTGGGAGGGGGAATATTTTGACGTTGGTGGCGCCACTTACACTCCTATTATAATACTCGAAAATATGCCACATACATATCAGTCAATTCGTGGACCAAAAAAATGACCCCCCCCCCCAATTTTTTTTCATCCCCCCCCCCCGGCTCGCTCTTAAAATCTGTAGCCGGTTGCAATTTGCCACTGTGCAACAGCCCCCCTCCCGCTATGCCACTGCTCTAAGGGGGGTAAAATGGGCGCTAAGAACGTCGGTAAAAGGAAGTACAACAAATATCATCGAAACACAGCATCCATTTTTTAGAGATCATCGATATACTGCATCGTCACGCACACATTTTTAAAAGTTTGTAGGCCTATATAGGGCCCACGTGCTTTTTCAAAATTTCGATTTTCTTTTCCGCACATATGCTTGTTTTGTTTTGCAATTGCAGGCCTTTACACAGTTTTAAAAGTTGGCTTTAAAATTAATGACGCGCTCCAGTTCTGAAATTATTGCGCACACTATTCAGAACGAATTTATAGGAGCGTCCCGCTCTTAATTCGAATGTTGAAATTGATCAATAATATTAATTGATTGCTTGATATGGGCTGATTTTTTTTCGTGCGATGTCTTATTCGAAAGCTCATTGAAATTTCGATTTTAAAATTTTTTTTTGGTTTAATTCTATTTGTAATTGTAAACAACATAGTTATTTGGGATCATAACTAAGACATTATTTTTTGACACGACGTATGGTCTGACGTCGCGCCGGCAGATACTATCAAATATCTAGCACTGTACAAGAGTTGCCCAGGCACCGATCAAGGGGGGGGGGGGGGGGGTTCCACAGCTCTGTGGAACAATTTTTTTCATAGAAATTACCTTAAAAAATTGTGAACCCCCCCCCCCCCGCTCCGACACCCCAAACAATCTATACTGGTAATAACGTCCGCCTGTGCATGCACGTGGGGTATTTGTACGCTATTCTGTAATAATACAGTGTTATAATCGTCGGATTTGAACGGCGCCCAATTTGAAAGTAGGGTGCGTCTGTAAAAGCCCAATGTTATGAATGGAATTTTCCAATTCAATCCTTAAGGTACATTCGGGTGTTCCACTTGACTTTGTTTTTTTTCAATTTTTAATTTCCAGTTTTAAGGGTGAGGGGCCTTGTTTTCTTGCGTTTTCCTATTTTGAGAATTATTATATCTTGTTGGGTATGTTCACAGTTAAAGAAACATTATTTGAAAGATGTAATATACATATTACAATGCACATTTTAAATTTTGTCCGGTACGTAATATTGCATACGGCGTTTCTTACGTCAATTGGAAATTGCGCCGTTAATAAAGGTAAAGTCATATTGATCGAAAGAAATTTCGTTTTGATTATATTAAATTATTCAAAATTCATGGATTTATTACAGAGACCTCTGTTTTGTTTTTAATACTACCGTAGGACTGCCGAGCAGATGTAAATATCAAACTAAACCAAAGTTGAAGAAAATAGAGGATACAAAAAAAAATCAAAAAGTTATGTGCTAGCCAAGCTTTCAGGGATCGGTCTGAGCCATAACAATGCCCCAGCCAATCCCTTAGTTCTCTTCCGGGGTCTCGGCGTCCCCGACCAATACACACTTCCTTCCCTGTCCATCCATGTAACCCCGGAGGGCCAGGCACCATGTAAAAGCAAAGAGCTAAGGGAGGAACAGGGCGGCCCCTAAGCCCTGATCCTCCGAGTGGACCACATGCCCTGAACCTGTACGAAGGCGCCAACCTGGAACTCACGGACAGTACCAGCCGCAGTGCTTACCGATTAAGCTAAGGTACCGTTGGTATTTTACGACGGGAAATTAAACATCTTATAATGACTGAATAGAACGCGTGTGTTGAAAAGCAAAAAGACACCGACGGGATTCGATCCCGGCTCCGCGATTCGTGGACGACGAATCTAACCACTCGGCCACCAGGCTTCCTTAGAATTCTCCTCAAAAACAATTTGTCAGCTAAACATACTTGTCGTTACGCAACAACGAACACTATTATTATGATGGTTTTTTTTAAAAAACAGGCATCATGTGCGTTCCGTGCTAGGGGCGGCCGGATCCAGGAATTTTGGCGGGGTGGGGGGGGGGGGAAGAGAGGGTCAGGCCTGTTAGATTTTATCATCCGATCTCATCATTATTATAATTGTTAGCCTATACATATTTTGTGTGCATCAGAGCGGGTGGGGGGTTGGGGGGGGGGGGGGGAGGCGGGTTGACCCCTCTGGATTCGCGCCTGACTCTTTGTCAGGCCTATAGGCATATTCCGTTCGCTGTTCCCAACCGTCCTTCATCAGCCTTTTATCAAACATTATTTTCGTGAAAAAACGTCAAAAGCAAGTTTTCATCCTCAATTTAAAAAAAACCCCACACGAATATTAAAATGCAGACGAAATCAATTACATCAGGACACCACATTACACTAGGGGCGCTGTTCACGATACCGATGTGCCTCTTTTGCTTGTTCCCCCGCCCTGCACACAGGGCATGCATATGGCGCTGGGCCGGGAAGGGCTGATGGTTGCAGACCATTATACTGCTACCATAGACCCCAATGATAAATGCCTCCACTTCAGAAATTTCAGGAAAAATACTCACAACTATCTCCAAGATGTTCCAGACACACATCAAATTAATGCTTATTTCATCATCTTTCATTTTCTTTGAAACTTTCGGGGGTGAACTCATGACTTTTAGGAGAAATTTCCATCCGAAGATGATCACCCCTTAAAGTAGTCCTGAAAGCCGTCGCCATTTTGAAAAACGATGCCTACACTCCATTGCAAAATAGAGCACTTTTAGGGTCCCAGTTTCATCCAAACTGCACAGAGCTACAAGCTCACAGGCCTGTGCACGGCTTCCACCCATATTTTGTTTTTACAAACCCTCAAGTTCATGGCCCACAATATGCTTAAATACCGAAGAATTTGAGGGCATGCAAATAGTAATTTGGCTGACGTAGGCAATTTTGGACCGATTTACTGGCCTGCAACCTGATGAGTTTCACAGAATCTTGGGAGGGAAGTGGGGATGGCATTATCATGGCCTATAATATAAAGACATCATTAAAGCTCCTGCAGCTGTTTAAAGGGTGCAGGCTAGTCTATAGGTGGCGCTCTTCATTGCTGCCGACTGACGTGCTCGCTTTTTCAGATGATGTCGCCGGCCCCTTCGCCCCCCCCCCCCCGGCTCGCTTTAAAATCTGTAGCCAGTTGCAATTTGCCACTGTGCAACAGCCCCCCCCCCCCTCCGCCCTCCCGCCATGCCACTGCCCTAAGGTGGGTAAAATCGAAAGAACAACAAATATCAAGCAACACAGCATCGAAAATATGGCACGAGCCCCCCCCCCCCCCCCCCCCCCCCCCCCACACACACACACATATTGATGGTCTTAGTGTCCGGAGAAAATAACCGGTCTACATTTCAGAACGCCTCCCTGAAAACAATTCTGGATCTACCCTGCTACCCCCCCCCCCCCCCCAAGATAAAAAAATATATATATTGGCTCTAGAACCGTGCCTGATCCAAACTGCACAGAACTACAAGCTCACAGTCCTGTGCACGGCTTCCTCCCATATTCTTTACAAACCCTCAAGTTCCGGCCCACAATATGCTCAAATACCGAAGCATTTTAAGGGGAATGCAAATAGGGAAATTTTAAGTCCCCCTCACTCCCCTAGCTCCCCCTGCCTTAGCTGCTCACACGTCTATCGCGTATCATGAATTATGTTCCCACTTTTATTTTGCTTTGCTGTAGTGTTAGTAACCAGCAATCGGTGGTGTTTTCCACAATTCGCTATGGCAGTAATGACAAAGCGAATAATGATATTTTGATACACACGTTATCTGTTGATGTCCATTGCTAGGGAACGGGGACACAATCACTTTGTTATGCAAATGAAGCTACAGGTAAAGGTAAATAGCGTATTTTAGCTCTGGCCCCCGCCTTCTTTTCATATTCCATTCATGATTTCAAATGCTGTTATCCAGACTATCAAATGACGACAGTACGTACGTACGTACGTAATTGCACAGAAAAAGATTTTCGTAGTTGCCTAAAAACTCCAACTTTTGCTGTTATTTAATTTTGCTTCATTTGCTGTTGCTGACACCACTTAAGAGATATAATATTTGACTATCTTACAGAAGGAACTACCACTTTCGAGGCAGTGTCGATTTTAGAGGGTAAGAAAGCAAGTTTCCGATGAGTGTCTTTTTGGCTGTCGAGCGGAGTAGCGCTAGCGCCGTGTTGTGTGGCGTGGAGGGACCCTGGCTGCTAGCGGCGGCCCTGGTGGGGTGCTCACTGCTGGTCGACGCACTCTGTACGGGCCTGCTGCATTTGCACTTACCTTCTGCACGATGCCGGCTTGGTGTCAAAAATAATTGTGAAATTAGAAAGATGCAATATCCAGGAGCACTATGGTTGTTGTGTGAAATGTTCCAAGTATAGTCGGACTCCCTATTATCGCGGCATCCCTATTATCGCGGCATGGGAAATTTCTCTTTTTACAGTGTCAAAACTCCTTCAAGTGGCGATTTTTATCCAGTTCACCAGTCATCAAGGATTTTCTACCGAGTTGTATAAAAAGGACGATTAAAAAAATGTTGTGTCTTTCGGGACTTTTAACGATTTTAATAAATATTAACGTTTTCCAAAACTTGCAAAATTTTCCCTCACCGTGTCTGCTAAAAGGTACCGTTTATATTTTAACATAAATCTTTAATTGCGCTCTGTCCATGAAAGTTCCATTCTCTGGTTCCCATTCTTCAGCTGCAAATGTAAAATGAAGTCGAACGACGATATTTGCAGCGCGAAATCGTAACAACTTTTACGGGATCAAAATAAGCACCGCGCGTTAGCGAAAATAAAACGGCACACCGTGTAAAGTGAATGGCGCCCTCAATCGCCGATCAGTAGACTTGCCTCCGGGATTTTGTTCTCCTATCGGGGGAAGGGCAGGGTCTTAAGAAAACATCCTGCAGACATTTTGTCTTTAATCAACTTGAACGTTACAGGGAAAATATCAGACTTTATTCAGGGGGTGTTTTGGTCAAACATAAACTATGAACAAAAAAGTTGGGATCATTATAAAAAACCACTTCCCGCATACCGCGATAATAGGGAGTCCACCTCCGTTCGCACACGCCGCGCATGTCTATTTTCACAGGCATCGTACACACGGAATAAACCACACTACCCGTCAGTTTTTTTATATTAATTTAAAAAGGAAGAGTTATACTACACATAAGACAGGACAATTCTGGAAGGTTAGTGGGCAATCTCTATTCCGAACGAGAAACGTGATAAGTACCGCGATAATACAGCGTTCCATCCTACATGTATTTTCTTACCAAGTTGGAAATGTTTCTCCTTTTTTGTGTTTTTCCCCCCAACATATTTCCAAACGTAAACACAGACCAAATTTGCCTCAGGTCAGGATGATGCATTTTCCTCCATGAGATAACACATTAACATGTAATAAATTATTCATTTTTTCCTTCTCAATATCTCTGCATTTGCTTTTAATTACATTGTTATATTTTTTTCCATCAAGACATCATTTGCCCCCCCCCCCAATAGTCTCTGGTTTCTGGTATGCGCGCACGTCGCCATAGCCATGCGCGTCGGTACAATGAAAATTTTTTTTTCTCAATGAAAGATGATGTCTGAAAACCGCCAAACTCACTGGTTCGACTGGAATCCATTATCCTGCTGCTGCGCAATTTTAACATGTTTTTAGATGGGGTTACGATCAAGAATAAGCTTTATCAAGTTTATGTGGCCTCTCTGGACTCCCATATATTTGCACTAAGTTTAGTCGGGCACCATTTGCAGTCATCAGTCGACTTTTGAAGAAAAAAACGTTACAAAGAGAAAAAAAACCTGCGTCGCCGCACCACTTTTTGGGCAAGCTCCATGCCAGAAACCTTTGATAAGGATGTTTAATTTAAGATAAGATGTTTGTACCTGAATATATGAGGTTTTTATTGTTTTTGAATGTGTTGGGATGTTAAGTACATTGAACAAGAGCTGATTTTTGTTTCGTAAGTTCCTTTTTGCCGGTCAAAAGTGGTCAGAAGTCTACCAAAATTGTCCGAAAAAAAAATTAAATTAAAAGAGGGAAAAATCAAAATTTGGCTGATGGATAGAAGTTTCTAGGAATATACAGACCAGTGAAAATGAAAACATCTAATGTTTTGCAAACCAGTTTTCATCGGTTGCTATGTGTTACCATTCAGCACTCCAGACTCAAGAACCATTGAGTTTCAAGAACTGTAGGTCTGGGAGCTAGATAAGCCAATATGTAAAAAAAAAATCCTTGCCTGAAGGAGCAAAGAACTTAATAGTATGATAACATTATTAGAAGGAAGATTTGTAAACATCACTAAACGAAATGATCAAATTATTACGATTGTTAGGGAATGACAGTCCAAAGCATCCTTTAAAATCGTGGCTCCTGGTGTGCTAACATTTTCAAGAAAAACTGTATTTTTCCAACACTGGTCGGCCGACCAGCATTGGAGAAAACTGGCTTTTTCCAAAACTGTTCCTAATTTTTCATTTTTAGTTATTCTGACTTTTCTTTGCAATTGATTACACACCTGTGAAGGGGCCGGTACAGGCCTGCTAGACTGATTCTCTGACCTTACAATTCCCCAAAGGGCATTAATAGCTCCATTTCATCTTCAGTGGGGTCAGGGAACCAGACTACAAGAACAAGATAGATTTTCTTGTGATTTTCCAGCATCTACAAGCCCAAAACGTGAAACAAGTCAGTTTAACAATATTTTCTATAACATACCAATCCTCCAAATCCATTTATTTCCGAAAATTGCAGCAAAAGCAAATGTTGTACATTCCCTTTAATTGTGCAGGGCCAGTGATGTAATAAAATTGGCTATTGGCTAATGTACAGGCATTTTATGTATTGAATTTAGTGATGACTATTCTAAACAGACTAAACTTGCAGTTCACAAGATTTAATATTCGAGGAGTGACAAAATGCACATGGGGCTTACAATAAATGCAGTCTCGAAAACAAAGAAGGTATGAGCAAATAAATTAAAGAGTTCTTTTCAAATATTTTCTCAAAGCACAATGATTTCAGCATTCCTCAAAGATTTGTTGGAATATTTGAAATTATTGAAAAACAAAACTTGAGGAAAATAAAAGTGAAATTTGGAAAATCCTGAATTTCTTTACTCTTCCCAGAAAAAGAAATCTGTCACCATGGGTTGTGCAGCAAGCGAGGTTCAAGTTCAACAGCCGGCACATCACGTAAAAGTCCATCATCACCCAAACCCTGCCCCAGTGCAGCAGCCTCCGATGCGTATGGCCATGGCCCCTGGCCCTCAGCAGACTGCAGTGCGGCAGATGGCCCCACCTCCCCAGCAGGCCCCGCCTCCCCAGCAGGCCCCGCCTCCCCAACAGGCCCCGCCTCCACAACAGGCCCCACCCCCTCAGCAAGCACCAGCTGAGAACACACAAGATGAGGATATTCAGGTAAGGGGACATACCTACGTGTTCACCATGTTCCCTTCTATCATATGGATAGGAGTACCCTCATGACTTGAATGATGGAAACTACAAATTTAGAGTGTAAACGCTATTTACCGATCAAGGCAACAGAAAGAACTGACTTCGTATAGGGCTATTACGCCCCAAATGTGGTAGTGGTCCCAACTAATGTTGGGAGTCCTCAGTCCCAACTAACGTTGGGACCATTGCCAAAGTTGGGGCCTAACAGGACCTTTGCTACATGTCAAACTTGGCCTTTGAAAACAAAGCCCCTGATTTATGTTTGGTTTTTCTTGTGATTTAATTTGACTTGTAAAGAGGAACAGTTATAAAACAAACTCTCCCATGACAAAAAAAAAATTGCTGGTACATTGAAACAAGTGGGGACACTTTTTCCACTTTTGACTTGGGAGTGGACAGGATACACCATGTGCGCGTACTGGTTTGCACACGTGTAGCATGAACTACACATAACTAATTTTGTTCCGAATGTGCACAAAGCCATAGTGTCTTCATGTGAGCATCAGATGTCATGTGGTCTCCCCCCCCCCTCCCCCAACTCTCCCTTTCTTACCATTGAGGGGGTACTTGTGCACGGAGCCCATAGGTACTTGCACTTAATTTTAAAATGTGTGCCATAATACTTTTCAGGGGTGTGAAATCTCAGCTTTAAAGCTGATTTCAGCTTTTTTTTGTTTTGGATTTCAGCTTTTTCCCCTCACTTGCTGTGTACAAAAGAATAGAAGATTTCCAAAGTTCAGCTTTTGTACACCTTTTCCAGCTGTTTTCAGCTATTTTCATCAGTGGTCACTAACACCCCTGACTTTGTTTCCCCTTTCAGCCCGAATCTGTGGAAATCAATGAGGCCCTTATTCAACTGTTGGTTGATATGGACAAGGAGATTTCGGACCTGGAGTCCCGTAACGTCTCCAAGCAGTACCAGTTGAAGTCAGACCAGATGACCCACCTTACGGCACAGGTGCAGAGTATGGCTCAGCAACAACAGGCCCTGGTCCAACAGACGTAAGTGGTGTGATTGTTGTCTTCCGTGATTAAGAAGAACAACATGCTACTCATAAGCCAGTTCAGTTTTCCAATGGAACATGCCAACCCTCAAGATCTGAAAGTCTTGATGTGCAATTTCAGCTTTGAAAATTACCAGTACTTCTATCTCTCCTGGATGGAATGCCAGACCATCATGTGTTTTTTTTAGTTAAGGCCAAAAAAAAAGATAAGTCGGTCTCTGGTCAGCGCGCGCGTCGATTTTAATCATACGCGTCGATCTTTTTTTTTCCAAAATGTTCCGCGGTAGCTCCAACAGCGCCCTCTATTTCCGCACCTCCTCAATTTTTTTTACCAAAGAGCAACAAGGAATGGGAAATTGCACCAAGGCAAATGATCGAAAACACCAAGGCAAATTATGGAGGACACCAATGTACATGAGGACACCAAAAAAGCAAAATAGTACCCACCTTGTCTGTACAATCCAAGCTTGAAGAAAAAAAGAAAAAAAGAAGAAAAAAAAAAAAGCCGCGTGGCCGCGTCAATTCCGGAACTTTGGTCTGACCAGAGACTGAATATTTTTTTTTTTTGGCCTAATACTGGTGGTACCCATTCGTACTCCTGTGTAGAGACAGGTAAATGAAGGTAAAGTGGCTTGCCCAAGGACACAAAAGTTTACCAGCAGGTGTTGGATTCAAATCCAGACCCTCTTGTATAAGTCACAACCCTAACCACAATACGACACTCGTCTGTTGGTTGGTTTCAAGCAGGAATACAGATTTTGTACAATCAAAACTTGAAGTCCTGATGTAATTAACTCAGGTATCACCTTTTTGGAGTCACTTCTGAAAATGTATCAAAAACATTTTCAATTCAATTTAATTCAATTTGACTTTATTAAATTCAATTGACCTTATTTATATTATCAAGGAGAAAGATATAAAAATATGTTATTTTATATTATACTTAAAAATTGAAGCTATGCAAGAAGAACAATTAACAACTTCTTAAGGGAGAAAAAGTTTTTAAAATGTCCCTTTTAGTAATGTATCAGTTGGGGTTTAGGGTGGAGATTAGGAATTGAGTAATGTACTTTTGTTCTTGAACTACAACCATTTGTTCACCAAAATATTCCTGTCCCTGTTACATCTGACATCTCTGATTTTATAACTCCTTAATGCCGTTGTCCTCCAAGATGGATTATCAATTGCAAACTACCTACCAAACAAATAATTAATCATTTGAATTCATCGAAATCATTCTTAGTAATACTTGAATGGCAAAATACAAAATCGCAAGGTTACAGGGACAGGAAAAATGTCACATTTTGGACCCCTTGATTTGTATAATGACCCACATGGAAAATATTCATTTATAACACGGAATAACAAAAAAACAACCCGACAAAACAAGGAACAGTGCATTGAAACAACAGTCTGACTTAAATCAGACACTAAAAAACAGACTCTTTTTTCCATCAACATTTGCAGGCAGAAAGAATACCAGGACGTGGTGAATTTACAAAATCTGCAGAGCACCCGCCAGATGATGACCCAGGGCCAGTACACCACGCAGATGAGCAAGGAGCAAGAGGAATACATGCAGGCCCTGTCCAAGCAAGAAGTCCACAAGAAGGAGCTGGACACGACGGCCCGGCAGCTGGAGACATTCAAGAGAGAGGTGGCATCGGTGAAGGCCCAGGCGGACAGAATCAAAGAGCTGTACGACAAACAAGACGGCATTCTAGGTGAGAATGGACTTTTCCTCCCCGCACATTTTTTTTCCCAAACGACATCCACACACATGGTTGTTTAGCGCCCTCTACGATACCTTTACGATACGCACACAGGTATATAATTATTTGTTTCCCCACGTTTTGGCGAGCAGTGCGACAGCTCAGTCAAAAGAGAGTAGGATTTTGCACCGCGAGGTTGCGGGTTCGAATCTCGGTTTTGCACCCAAATTTTTTTCCTTTTCTAACCCGAGGCTTTGGCGGATTTGTTTTTAAAAGGGAAATAAAGTCAGAATTTCATAACGTTCAAACTCACTTTTTTTTCTTCTAAATTTATATTTTCTTCTCATATTTTTATAAAAGTTAAGTCCAAAACGCCATGGCGTACACCCATATGTGGATGTCGTTTGGGAGAAATAAATTCGCTTCCTGCCTGTCAGTCACAGTGCTGTAGTCGAATCCATCACAAGTCATCAATTCCCTTGACAAGTCAGAGGATATTTAAATGAAATGTGACAATGGCTTTTATTTAGTTGTTGTTCATCCACTGTTACTTACGGCCTAACTTTTGTTGTGACTTGTGATTTAAGTTTGACCAGACTTGTGATGGACTTATGATGGACCCAACTACAACACTAGTCAGTCAAACGGTGTTCGTTGATCAATTAGATCAAGTCTTCTGGTCAGGTGACCATGGTAGCCAGTCAAAACCGGTCACAAATGAGAGAAATACGCACATGCACGAGGTGGGCGGGTCTTATGGACTAAACCGGACTAGTCGGTTGTACAAAGGGGAAAATAAGACACAAAACTGCTCCCACAAAAATTTAAGCTGCCACATGCCAAAAGAAGTGCGATTTTAGAGTAAAATATTTTCAGAAAATGCACTGGTCAACAAATGTCTGATGTCAGATCATTGTGTCACTCTCTTAAATATATTAGGGAATTGTATTGTAGTTTTGCATTTATTTATTTTGCACTTTCAGAAAAAATTGCTTAACAAGTTCATGGAGTATATTGCTTAACAAGTTTATGAAGTGTCATGGCCGAGCGGTTAAGAGCACCGGACTCAAGCTCTGGTGTTTCTGATCAGTCAGAGTGTGGGTTCAAGTCCCGGTCTCGACACTTGTGTCTTTAAGCAAGACACTTAACCATTACTGCTTCGTCCTTCGGATGGGACGTAAAGCCGTAGGTCTCGTGTGTTGTGTAATGCACGTAAAAGAACCCAATAACACTTATCGCTATTAAGAGAAGGGGTTTGCCCCGGTGTTTCTGGCAGTGGCTGCTTAATGCGCCGCAGCACCTTGTAAAACCCTTATAAGGTGCTACATAAAATGGGTCTCATATTTCAAATACTTCATTTTACCTGTCTTTTAAATTAATTCATAATAATTATTGCCTTGAGTACCTACTTGTTGGTAGTTATGTAGGCTATATAAGACCTCGGAATTATTATTATTATTTTTCTGTAGTAAGCAAAAATCTCCCAAGAACCTGCTTCGAGCAATACGTACAGAATAACATTTTGCCGATTATTCTGAACCAAAACAGACTCGTTAATGGGAAGGGAGAGCAGATATGGTAATAATTTACATAATTGTCTCAAATTTATTCAGCCTGTGTTTTCACATGGCTGAGCAGTCTTGTGGAGAAGTCCAGCCTGACAAGAAGGCATTATGAGTACTCCCTGATGCCTGTAATTGCGGATTTAACTGAGGCAGCGATATACCCATTCTGATTCAATATCGCTGGCTGATTGAAACATGTACATGTACACCCAGACCCTATGCAAACAATAATCCCTGACATGATTAGTCTTACATGATTAGTCTGTTCACCTTGGGAGCCGAGGGCAGAGTTTGCTCACCATTGTGCCCAATTGAGACTCTGTTTGAACAAGGATCAAAGAGGCTTAAGCAAGGTGCGGGGTTGCTAAGCGACGCAAACAAAATGCCAATGCAGTCATGTTAGCGATAATCATTTTGGGAAGCAAGTTCTGATGCGGGCAAACATAAGGCTGTCAAATAATCCATGAATTCTATTTTGAAAAGTGCCAGTTGTACTTGCAGATATGTCTTCATTTTGCAAAATTAGTTGGGAATCCTTAGAATCCATCATTTAATTGAGGATTCTGACAGTTAAGTTAAAAAGAATTAAATAAAAACATAAAAAAAATAGTACAATTAATCTTAGAAATACTATTTAACAAGAATTCTAAATCTGATTCAAGTTTTTGGTTTTAATATGTATTTGGAACCATTGAAAGCTGGTGACAAAAAGAGAGATGTTTTAATATTTTTTTTTTTTTTATAGTTTTAATTTACTTCTTTTTTGGGAGAAGTTGAATATGTTTTGCGCAAAATTAACATTTTGGTCAATAATCCAATACATTTTCTAATTTATTTATAATTATATACATGTAGTATTATTATTTATATCAGACTGACTTGATTCGCAATTCAAGACACTGTCTTCATTTCATCTTTTTCGTCAAACTATTTGAAGCTGCCACTGTAATTGTTGACAACAGTGCGCGTATACCTGACCTTTTGCGCGCTGCATGTGCGCAGCATGTTCCGTGTTCGACGGTACGCGCGAGCGCTACGCTCTGTTGAGTGGTTGACAACTGTAACTTTCTGTGCTCTTGATCATGCGGGAAACAGGGAAAATGCCCGGATGACTGCAATAATAATATTATTGCAGTCATCCGGGTACTTTTTTTTTTAAAGCATGCAATACGCTGATTTATTTTTACCGCTGGAAGCCTGATATAAATAATAATATATATTATTTGTTTCACAAGGAAAACAACCTTCCTGAAAAAAAATTCATTTTACTCCGCTTGTGTTGTTTTTAAAAAGGTGATGGCTATGCACATATACACTTCAAACTACATTCTTACTGCAAACATTTGAATGTAAATCACAGACTGATAAGAGTTTCATTGCTTCACAACCATATTGTCTTTCTAGTGGACAGTTGAGCTGTCAAGGAAAGTCACCAGAAAGACATTGATGAAGAAACAAGATGGAGAAAAAAAAGTGTTTAAAATGCGAGTTTTAAGATTATGGGCAAAATTGTGCATTATGGTCAACTGTATGACAGTTACTTTTTATTCTCCTACAGCAAGCATCTTTGACGGCAAATACGGCAGTGAGAGAGAGTACAACTTGGAGTCGGACCTGGACCTAGCCCTGGAACGCAAGCAGAGAGTGGGCGTGGCTAAGTACAAATGGCAGAATGCCAAGGTTCTCCTGCAGCACGCCGGCGGACAGCTGGGCTTCGCGATCAGACGGTGGGGCGACGTCATGCAGATACCGCCACAGTAAGTCTTGATTACTTTGGGAACGTTTAGAGGAATATGAGATTTATTGAAAGGTTTTGCCTTGTTCCCATCCTTTGCTGTATCCTGGGCTTTAGAGTATTATCTAGACGCCTTTAATATCCAAATCAAATGGAAATACCTGTACTTCCAATTTTGGCCTCATATCATAAGATTTGTCATGAAGCAGAACATGTTTCCACATTGTAGTGATCATTACCATAGTTGAATCTTGGCTGATAGTTGTGCAGCCGCATGAGACAACATGAAACAACATGTGCTTGGTGGTCACTCTTTAGATAGCAAGTGCAAGACTGCCTCATGGCCAGTTGCAACTTGGAACGCCCAGCCACGGGCACGCCTGACTAGCATTTTTGAATACATCATTATTGAACTGGAGTCCCCCAGGTCAGGCGGATAAAGTAATTTCCAGCAAAAGCAGGAAAAGAAGTAAGGGTTTCCGAAAAACAGAAAATGCAGCTTGTTTTGAATCTGATTTTGTACTTTGCTAGTCCAGATACTGCGTCAATTTTCCTGGTCCTCATGATCTCTGATGTTGGGTCAACTTAAGTAATGTTTATAATTAATTGGCCCTTAATTAGTTTATACTGGATTTTTCATGTACTCCATGAGAACAAGGCCAGTCAGACTACAGGGAAGGTAGAATCTTGATCATGATTTGATTTTTACACTTAAAAACTTAAGGAGGTTGTAATTTCAACAAAAAGCCCCACTCTGTTAACAGTGGGGGAGATATTTCTGGCTTTTTTGACTCTCATATTTCAAATCGTTCTTGTCTTCTTTTTGTCAAACGGCGTCGTGGTATAAACAATATTATCAGATGTTGAACAATTTTTGGATTGTAAATTATGTTCTTCATCTCACATGCCAAAGTAATAAATGTTGCACTCTTATCTAGCAAATTGCCTATTGCATATATGCGCATCACTGTGTGTTTTTGATAAACTGCCATTATTTATTTATCTTCTTAGGAATACGGACATCCGGTACAAGTTTGCAGCCGAGTGCCGCAACAACCTTGTAGCGGCCTCGCAGAACATCACCAGCGCCCAGCAGTACCTGAACACCATCCGCTTCCCCTACTGCACCGCGGACGAGATGAAGACCCTCAACACTGCCATCAATCACATCTTCACCGACCTGCTGACCTCGGAGAGGCACAAGCACGCAATGGAGTGCTACGTCACCGTCTACCGCCGGACCGCCGCCCTCATCCAGTGGTGTGATCATGTGAGTCTGGGTACCAGATCGTTAAATATGTATGTAAATTAGGTTATAATACCAAGGCACCCCTAGGAATTTCAGATCACTGTAGTGTAACTGGCCAATCAAGTCCATAGAAGTCCACACAAAATCAGTGATTTTAGTCCTTGTGTTTTGAAAATTCTGAGATCACAACAGGTCCAAAAGCTGTGTCATCTACAAGTGCTTTAACCCTAACTGCCTTGCGTCTTTTACTAGGAACTGGACCAAGTTCATCACAATCCATCAATCACTGGGCATCCAATACAAAACTGTACATGACACAATGGAATCCACCACTGACGCACTGGTTGACATTCATGGACTTGCTACACATGGCTTTTATCACAATAGCAGAACAGGAAGCTAGCAAAATCAATCGGATACCCTTAGCACTGCTTCAGGCTATTAAGCCCAAGTCCATCATACTCCATCGATATTAAGTCACGCCAGGCCTTTTGGACCAAGTCCCCCAAAATCCACCAAAATGGGGTATGGATGTGATGGAGTTGGGTGGTTAGGGTTAATAATAAGTCTGCATTTGGAAGGAAATTGACTGCGAAATCCACACTTTCACTATAGAGCACACACAATTGCATGTACATAGCTAACACACGTTCATGTCAAAATACAGTAATCACTCACCAGATCTATAGTGAATTGTAAGGTTGTGTAGACTAATTCAGCAACAGCCATTTTCTGCGGTGGCACGGGGCTGGTGCGAGTCGCGCTCAGGTAATACGCACGTATTCCCAGTTCCTTCGACCAACAAGACTACCAAAATGGGCTCGTACCTCATCTTTAAGAATGTGTGCAGCATGTGCGAGGGTGTGGTATCACCTCCAAAAAAGGTTTCTAATGTTGTTCGGCAAATTACGCTATAGCAAGAATCAATCCCAGCTACTAAGGCTGTGATTACTTTGAATTTGTAAGAATATGAGTTGTCGGTACAGATATACAAGGAATATTCGAAAGTAGACTAGAGCCCATGTCTGAGCCCTTTTGCAGATTCTAAGGTGATTCACAGGCAAAACAGAGTATAGCCTACTATCATTTAGTTTATTCCTCAAATTGTTCTCTTGCTAAGAGGGCATTCATTGATAATTTATGTGATTGTCAACTCTCAGGTCATCAACAAGACAATCTTGAAGGATCTGGAAGGGGCCACCAAGGAGAGCGCCACCAAGAAGCAAGAGCTGAAGCAGGAGAGACTGAAACTCATCAAGGAGAAGATCAGAGAGAAGCTTGGAGATGATGCGGCAGACAGGATCGAACTCACCTCAGGTATGGATGGACTCCGTGTTTGATCTGTGGAGGTGCTTTGTGACCGAGGAGAGCTCTCATCATCATCATCATCACTTGGTACACGGCAACAGAACTAAAAGTTCCATGACGCCGCGGGGTGTAGACGATGTCTAGTTCGTGAGGGCAGCTTTAAAATTAACAAGGGTCGGTCGTGTAGTAATGTCAAGGGGTAGCCTATTCCAATCACGGATGGTTCTAGGGAAGAATGAGTTCTTGTATTTATCAGTTCTGGATACGATGATGTTGTATGCGTCAGCTGTGAAGTGCCTGGGACAGTAGACGGCAGTCACAAGTCTTTTACTCTCAAGTCAAGTCACAAACTATTCATATGAACTGGGAAATTTATGCATTCACATTGACAATCCAATTCCATCTTATGAAAAGTTTCATTGCGGTACCCGCTGCTAAATGTACATCAGATTCGAACCAGCCAAACGATCTTGCAAGCTCGGTGGTCGAGTGGTAAGACGTCTGCACTAGAAAGCAGGAGGTCGTGGGTTTGAGTCGCACCCGAGTGATTTTTTTCCCAAGTTTCACTCGGGAGGTAACACATTTAGTATACAGTACATGTATTACAAAACCTATGCAATATTGATTCACATTGAGAGTGTTCATCCCCTGCTAATTATGACCAGATTTTTGATTGTCTTGTGGTTTTACTTGTGCTTGACTTGTGCTTGATTTGTGATTGACTTGTGATTTGAATTGTGATTGACTTATGATTGACTTGTGATATGTCTTGAAATTTGACTTGTGACCTGTGATTGACTTGTGATTTGTCTTGTGTTTCACTTGTAATTTGAATTGTGATTTGTTTCACGTGTAAGTGACTTGTGATATGAATTGTGATTGACTTGTGTTTCACTTGTGATTGACTTGTGATTTGAATTCTGATGGACGTCTATTTGACTTGTGGATTGACTTGTGGATTGACTTGTGATTGACTTTGTTTGACTTGTGATTGACTTTGTTTGACTTGTGATTGACTTCGATTTGACTTGTGGTTGATTTGTAATTTGACCTGTGATTGACTTCAATTGGACTCGTGAATGACTTCAAAATGACTTGTGATTGAATTGTGATTTAACTTGTGATTGACTTCGATTTGACTTTTGTTTGACTTGTGATTGACTTCGATTTGACTTGTGGTTGACTTGTAATTTGACCTGTGATTGACTTCGATTGGACTCGTGAATGACTTCAAAATGACTTGTGATTGAATTGTGATTTAACTTGTGATTGACTTCGATTTGACTTTTGATTGACTTGTGATTGACTTCGATTTTGACTTTTGATTGACCTTTGATTGACTTTGATTTGACTTGCAATTTTGTCTGTTTCTCCTTCAGATGGACCAGCAGAGGCTGAGAACCCAGACCAGGATGACGCTGAGCTCCTGATGTTGGTAGAGGCAGATGCCGTATCACAGGCTGGAGATCTGGCAGCGGTGAGTCACACCTCACATTCATGGCATATTCTGGAAGACTGCAACGGTTTTATCTTTTTGACGAAGTTGCTCCAGACTGTTTGAAATGTCAAACTTTTCATGTACTTAAATTCAATCGTTCAGATGAACTTTCTTTGGCACAACTCAGGAATGCCAGCCAGAAAAGGATGCTAGTTGATCTCTGTTTCAAGATGTTCAAATTGTGTAAACTCCATTCTGATTATAAAAATATGTCTTTCAATCTTTTCCTTTTCCCCCCTCAGCTGGCACCAGAGGGAGGCTCAGACGCCAATGCAGTCACTCCCCTTCCACTGACTGAGCTTGCCCCGACCCCATCCATGGACGACCTCTTTGGAAACATTGATGATCTCAAGAAAAAACACGAAGAAAATGTAAGACTAGGGCCAAAAAAAAAAGTCTCCGGTTTCTGGTATGCGCGCGCGTCGCGGTAGCCATGCGCGTCGGCAAAATGAAAAAGTTTTTTTTTCAATGAAAGATGATGTCTCAAAACCGCCAAACTCACTGGTTTGACTGGAATCCTGCTGCTGCACAATTTTAACGTGTTTTTAGATGGGGGTTATGATCGAGAATAAGCTTTATGTGGCCTCTCTGGACTCCCATATATTTTCACTAAGTTTAGTCGGGCACCATTTGCAGTCACCAGCCGACATTTGAAGCAAAAAAGTCAGGTAAAAAAAAAAAAAAGCCGCGTCACCGCACCACTTTTTGGACAAGCTCCATACCAGAAACCGGAGACTTTCTTTTTTTGGCCTAGTAGTCAGTTTTTGATTTTGAATTTCTTGCTTTGTTTAAAGGGAAGATACAACATTTGCAAACATCAGAAAACGAAATGATCAAATTATCACAAAATACCTTACTGGATTGTTCGGGAATGACGGTCTAAAGCATCCTGTAATATAGTGGCTCCTGGTGTGCTGACATTTTCAAGAAAAATTGTATTTTTCAAATGCTGGTTGGCCGACCAGCATTGGAGAAAACTGTTTTTTTTCCCCAAAAACTGCTCCTAAGTTTTCATATTTAGTTATTCCACATTTTCTTTGCAATTGATTTATACACGCTTGTGAATGGGAGCAAGCCTGCTAGACTGATTTTCTGACCTTACAATTACCCAAATTCTGTAAACCAGACTACAAAAACATGATTGGTTTTCTTGGTTTTTCCAGCATCTACAAGCCCAAAATGTGAAGCAAGTCAGTTTAACAATATTTGCTACAACATACTAATCCTCCAAATCCATTTATTTCTGAAATTTGCAGCAAATGCAAATGTTGTACATTCCCTTTAATTTTGTCTAGCTTCTGAAATCTAATTGGCTGCTATGAGCCTTGTGGATGCTGCCTTCCCTTTAGTCTTGTTGGCCTACTTCTCCAGTGTGCTTGGCGTCAAATCATTGTGCCTAATGTTGGTACGTCAGCGGATATTCAAATTATGTTATAGGTCATAAGACCTTATTCGACATTCTCTTGACTTATTTCTAGTTGGGATCCTGGTTTATCCAGTTTTAGAGGTTGGGAAAAAACCCCTGAATGACATACCAGGGAAAATCCATGAAATCAGGTAGGGACTAAAAACCAAATCTGCAGGTTGGCCCGGCGTGGGATGCGAACCTGGGTCACGGTAGTGGAAGGCGGGGAAACTCGGGAAAGTATGCCAATCTTAATGTGTGACTGGTGCAATAGCCTGCTCATGATTAATTCATGGCATGCAAATTCTTGATCCTCCAATCAGGTCAAGGAACTACAGAGGCAGCAGGAGATGGCCAAAGCCCGGGTGGACCAGGACCTGCAGTCCAAGCTGGCCAAGAGGAGGAGCCGTCGCCGGCGCATGCAGCAACAGGAGACAGAGATGCAATCACTGGCAGACAAGAGCTAATTAGGAACGAGGGCCAATGGCTGCAGCTTGTGTCTTCTCAAAGAGCAGCATTTACCATTAGTCTTTTTGAGATATGCTGGACACATTGGAAGAGTACTCATTAAATTTGGGTAAATGAAAGAGTTTTCTGACTCCAGGTAGTGCAGTCATGTTGTGTCCACCATATCTCAAGAAAGGCTGGTGGGAAAAGCTCTGACAGCAGAGTGCCGCTATGGGCTCTGTTCAGGAATAGTTAATGGTGCTTTGCAATCACTTTTGAGAGCCCCAGTGGGAGGGAAACGCATGTGTATACTGCAGTGTTGTAGTCCAGTAACTTGGCTCATGTCTGAGTCTCGAGTCAATTGGGTCGAGTCCGAGTCTCGAGTCACTTGGGTCGAGTTTGAGTCCGAGTCACTCGAGTTGAGTCCGGGTCTCGAGTCACTTGGGTCGAGTCCGAGTCACTCGAGTTGAGTCCGAGTCTCGAGTCATTTGGGTCGAGTCCGAGTCTCAAGTCTCGAGTCACTTGGGTTGAGTCTGAGTCACTTGACTCGAGTTTAAGTCTCGAATCACTTGGGTCGAGTCCGAGTCTCAAGTCTCGATTCACTCGGGTCAAGTCTGAGTCCGAGTATCGAGTCACTTGGGTCGAGTCCGAGTTACATGTAAATATTGCTTCTTAATATTTTTACTTTTGTGAATACTTTTGAGAAATGTATGCAGCTAAGAATACCTCATAGTACTGGATTCATGTACAGTCGACTCCTGTTTATAACAAGGTCGATGGGACTAACCAAATTACCTCTTTATAACAGGAATGTTGTTATAAAAGGACAGCGAAACAAAGAAACACAAAGAGAACCTGAGATTTGGGACTTCAGAATTTGCTCTTTATAAGCAGAACCTCTTTATAGAAGTGCTCTTTAGAATGAGAGTCGGCTGTACTTTGTGATTGATGAACCACACATATAGTTCTACCGTTTGCAGATTGTTATTCTTTGTAAGATCTTTATCTTTTTTGTATTTGATTACTTTGGTAACCATTATTTTGGTTCTTCAGATCTTAACCCTCCTGCTGTTTGAACAGTCACAAACGGTACAAAAAATCCATCATCTTCCCCTGTCATGCCTTTTACACAGGCTAGTCACCAATAGTCGGATCATATTTCAAGCAAGCACTGTGACTAATCAAATTCAGTCAACAGTTAAAAGCACGCAAGAAGTAGGCACAGCTGGCTTATCTATCATCTACTGTCAAAGCACAGCTTTATAAGTTAAATAAACAATTACAGCCAGTCAATCCTGCTTTATGTAGGCTGGGAGCTCTTAACTGTTGAAAACAGTCACTCGATTGATTTTGACTGAAAGGACAACTTTGCACAGAATGTATGTTTGCATAGAAGAGTTAATGCACTTGTAGAAAAAAATTCTTTTCTTTTAAAGTACTGGGTTATGAAAAGATGTATATAATATGAGCAATGTCTTTCAGGATTTAAATTATCTTAAAAAGTATGAAAAGATGTATTCAAAGAGGAACAAAATAATTTTGGCACATGATTTTGATTTTTGAAAAGTTAAAGAGTAGCGACATACAAAAATACTGCAAAAAGGTTGCAACCTGACGCCACTTCCGCGATTGTGTACAAAGTCTATGGAGAGAAAGAACATTTTCTAAGTTTTCCTAACAAAATTGGAAATGTTTCTCAGTCTCAGATTCATGTCTTACCATCATTTTTGCAATGAATGACCTTCATGGAGATGATATACGAAGAAAAAAGGTGACGTCAGGTTGCAACATGTTTTCCAAAAAATGTGAGGAACATTGTGTAGATAAGTTTTGGACATTGGTTATAATGCACAAAATTTGCACAAAATCCATTTCATATTTATGAAATATTAAATAAAAAAAATTATGATAGATTGGGATCGTTTTTTTTTATAACACCATATTTAACTTAAAGGCATATAGGATCGTTTTCTTTTCCAATAATACCACCAATCAAAATCCAAAGAAGAATGTTAAAAACCTAACCTGTTAGAAGTTTCAGCTCCTTTTGATAACGAAACACAATTTCATTAAATAGCACTCTTTATTCCAAATATCAGTCACTTGACTGATCGTTGGAAATCAGGTACGTATCTTGCTTTCTTTGAAATGACAGCAGGCCAGACGGAATAATTTCAGTTACTTTTGGGATAAATGCAAATGATCCTATATGCCTTTAACTGGCCACCACATTGATGTGTACAGTTACATATTCTGTGTGCATTGATAAATGGTTTCACAGTTAGCCTTTGATTAATGCACAAGTGTTTGTTGCTGTCGAAATAGCGACAGTACAGTTTTAGATGCGGGTTGAATGCATCCCAGCATGCATAGTGTGTTGCTACATTTATAGCAGAAATGATATTTCAAATATTTCTTACACCTTGAGTTCAGCATACGAAAATAGCCAGTCCTCCGTTGTAAATAATCTTTCACTTACAATTATTGTGTTGTATATACTTCAAAAGAATCAGAGCTTTCCACTTTTGATTGTGAATAGTTTAAAAAAATTTCAGTTAAGACTTTTTTAGTTCACTGAATTGTGTGCAATTTTACATTTCCAAAGATTGTTAATGTGTTGTATAGTACTTAATATAACGAGGTCAGATTATTCCGTCCAATGAGGGTGATGGGTCATTTTTAGAAAAGTTGGTGTATGCAAATGTACATGTACATATTCTATTTTCACAACTTCTATGAGAGCTTTAACGGAATTACAAAATAGGACAACAAATTTGAGTGCCTTAGGTTTGTAGTGACTGCCATTTGGTACCGATTTCCTATGAATTTCTATTGTTGATAGCGTTTATTAGTTACACACTGCCTGTGTATTACATCATTACATTCCTTACTGTAAATAAATGAGATTCGAAAAATTATCAATGGATTTTATGTCTTGTTCATTATGGACTTCATATTTAGTTGATATTTTTTCTCCAAACGAGATCGGACAATACCAAAAAAGGGTGCTCTCTCTCTGTGTTATGCATATTCATGATGTCCAGGGTTTTAGAGAATAAGTTATATAACAAGGAATAATGGTGTTTAAATCACCGACAATTGGCTGCTTATTCATGGACTGGTTGTAGTCCTGACTTCTAATCAGGTGATCCGAGTTCGAATCTCAGTGTTTTTCACTTCTTCTCATTTTACCTTTTCAATGACTAAACTGAGGAAGGAACATTTCTCACAAGACGTAAAGCCTATCTTGGGTTTGTGTTGTGGACAACAAGGCATTAGACATGCATGCAATGGACCAATCAGAAGATGGGAAATGGGCGATGTTTGGGAAAAAAATAATTCGCCCCTAGGCCCTTGTAATAATTTTTTTTCTGGCATTATTTTTCCCAACTGTAGAAACTCCAACCCTCTTTGAAGGAGCTCCATTGGCTATTTCAAAATGCATTTCAATTGCGTATTGAAAAAAAATATATGGTAAATTAATAAATAATTATTAAAATTAAAAGAGACAAAACTACAAAAACAACATCGAAAGAATTACGAGGTCATTAATTTTTATTCTAATTCAAAGGCAATCAAATTTCATGATCAGATTTATAAAAAATTCCTGTAAGTACTCTTAATATTTCTACTTTAAAATCACCCATTATGTACAAGGCAATCTAACCGATATATACATAACCCTAACAATGATATGAATACGATGCTAAGAGCAAATTTGCAATATTTTGGCAGAGTTTCTGAATAGTACACATACAAGGCACGTTCTGAAAGATATAAAGTCTATATCTTGTCTCGACTAAATTAAAACTTAGTACAATATTTAATTATTTTTTTTAATATTCCCACCACCTACAAAAAATAAATCAAAAAAAATATCCCCATTTAGTTATCTAAAAGTGCGGGTTGAAAGAAAACAAAGGAATTACGTCCGTGTAGATACAAACGGGAAATTAAATGTCCTCCACTGAGCCTACCTAAGCCGGATAATTTAATTACTTTAGTACATACTTGATTAACCACAATAATGCCACTGATTGGATCATTAAAACAGTGGAACAACATGATACAAAAGTTGGAAATGTATTGAGCAACAGATTACCGATTACCGATTACCAAAGTTAAAAATTTGCTTGATCAATACATAACCAAATTACGTTAATTACATGCAGCCTGTAATCCAGAAATTCATTTAAACTTTTAAAACAGAATTATTGAACTACGGAGAAAAAAAAATGCCAACGTAAGCACTGGCCTTAATTGAACTACCTTAAATATAAAAGTAGCAGATTTTTGGTATAAAAACAATTCCAACAGACCGAATTTAACCATTTTGAGAACTCCAAGGAAAATTTCTTTTTGAGGATTTCCAGGAAAATCAGTGTCAGTTATCACCTTAAAAAATGAGGCTCAGGAAATCCACAAAATTGTTAGGAGTGAAGAGTGTATTTTTTTTGTTTTGCAATCATGCATTAAAGTTTATTTTTTTGTTTTGGCATTCCTATGTATGAAAGTTTACCATAGTTTGACACTAAGTAATACAAATCTTCTTGTGAAATTCAAGTTCATTTTATTCTAACCGAAAGCATGTGCAATGTTTTGCACTCTGACCCTCGTTCCCTACTGTCTTTTACCAAGTACATGTACTGGACCAAGTCCGCCAAAATCCATCACTCATTCTGCTTCCAACACATGACATAATGGAACCCACCACTGAAGTACTGGTGGATATTGATGGCTTAGTAAACATGGCTTATATGGCAACAGCAGTACAGGATGCTAGGCAAGTCCATCATACTCCATCAATATTTAGTCAAACCATGCCTGCAGGTCCAAGTCCCAAAAAATCCACCAAATTTGGCGGATGGATTTTGATGGAGTTGGGAAGGTCAGGGTTAAGTAGAAAAGTCTACAATTGGTGACCAGGATCGATTAAACAACTAGTTATTGGACATATTTCTAGAATTACACTGTAAAAATTATGATTAATCTTTAATCTAATTTCCAACCAGACAAGGTATATCCTCTGCACGCACCTAAGAACTATATGTACTTTGGTCACACAAAAGGTTGGGTTGTGTTTTTTTAAGATGGTTCCGAAATTAACTCCTTTCTCCATAATTTGTTTACAATATTAGTGAGCAATGAAATATGTACTAATGCTGAAAGCCAATGAAAACCTACAGAAATCAATTTATGATAATGTATCCGGTATTGGCTTCAGTACCTGTTTAGTGATCTCCTTGTATTTCAGAAAGCCGGTCTTTTGCACGCCGAATTCTCTGAGCACGGCATCCACTGTTGGTAGACAAAAATTCAAGGCGTGTTAAAATTAAAATGATAACAAATCAGAACTTTGTCAAAATATTCATCAATGGCAGGCAAATGAACAATCATGAAATGAAAAACTATGATGGGTCAATGCTTGTCTGAAAATTTGGGACCCTCAATATCGTGTCCCAAACCTCAAGGTGCAAAATTCGAAAACATGCGAATCAAGGAAAGCAACTTGCACTTGAAGCAACCTTTCCAACACTTCTTCAGTACTGCTTTAGTAAATTGTCAACAGAAACATGTGGTATCCGGTCTCTATTCCTATAGTTTGTCCACATCAGTCAATTTTTGTTACATTGTCGGTTAGGACCGATAACGTAGCAACAATTGACTGATAATGTAGTACAATGTATACTTTACTACACTAACAGTCAATTTGGTTACATTATCGGTATAGCGATACATTATCTGTTGGTTACTACATTATCAGTTGTAACACTAACACTACAGAGCCCTCTACTGGTTCAGGACTGGCTGCATTAGGGGAACAAAAACAAATCCAGACTTGGGCAAAGACTAGCCTGTCTGCTGTACCATGACCCACCTTCCTTGTCCGATAGTCTCTCCCCGAAGCGTGTCATGATGTGTCGGAACTCGTTAGCCATGATGAAGTCCCTGTTCTGTGTGTCCGAGATCCGGAAGGCCTCCAGGATCTCCTTCAGCGGGTCCTCGTGGTGCTTGTACATGATTTGCAGAAAGTCCTCAAACTTGACTTTCCCACCTGGTCAAAATTGGAGTTTATTTGGATCAAGTTTTAGCAGCAAGCTATCACTGTTTCGTTTGAACTCTGTATTTCTAGGGTATTTTTAGGGTCTAGAAACCCTCCCAAAACGCCAAACATGCAACACTTGTTAAAGTGAAAAGCATGCGTAAAAAAAATTCAAAAGGTCGAAAGTCCCACAACTGTTTCAGAATCTGAAAAACAGTTTTGAGTTTTTAGAATGGTTCCCAGTACTGTCATGACTGTATTATCAATACTGAGAGGGGATTGGAACCAGTCTACCCTGCGAGAACTAAAATAGTGTATAGTCTTCAAATAATTGGCATTCTGTAAAGTGATTATTGCGTACCTAAACGTTGGTCATTTTTTTTCTCTCTCTCTTAATGTCTCATTCAAAAGTGAATAAATTTTTTGCATTGCTAGAAAACTTGTAATTTATAAAAGGAATCAATCACTTGGGGTGAAACTCAAAAAATTAACATTTAAAAAACTCAAAAATAGCATTCAGAGTACAATTTCAGGGTAAAACTTAAAAGCGTTCTCTGGAAAGTGAATTCTTTACCATGTTCGTGTTCCTTGCGGTACTCTCTGATCTCATCGACCGTTGGATGTGTATCGAGTGACCTCATAGCCACAACCAGGTCATCCCCTCGGATGAAGCCCTTCCTGGACCGATCATACAGCAGGAAACATTCCTTGTATTCTGTCAGAAACGGAAGACAAGTTGTCAATTTGTTAGTGCTTATTTCTGACTAGTAATACTGTCGGGCGCAATTTGAGTCATCCGCGCAAGTTTAAACTTACGCGCGCAAGTTTAAACTTGCGCGTGCATTAATTTCCTTGCTACAAATTGCGCACGCAAGTTTAAACTTGCGCGCTACATAGATTTTTCCCACGCATGCAAAGCCGCCAAACTATTTTTTTCCTGGTAAACTCATGCAGATATGTAACATTATTTTTAAAAGCAGATTTTTCTCCAATTAATAGCACCACTGTGCTTCGGGAGACAATGCCTTAATGCCTTTTTTGAAACATGTTATTTACAGTATTATGCTAATGAGGTTGACTGTGTGGGTTCAGAGATAAGGGGTGGTAATGCGAACAATTTATGCACTTTCACGATGTGTATTATTGTTTATGGCTCATTAGGATTTTTTTTAAATAAACAACATATTTATTCATTAATTCGAATTAAATGATTAAATTAATAAATTAAATTAATTAATTAAATCATTAATAAATTTATTTACTTTTTAAAATAATTACCATTTTATATGCATAGCGTTTTTAAGTTAAAGCACGTAAACATTAAAATGAATTATTGAGCCTGCAAGTAAAATAATTGTTTAAAGTAGGTAAATTAAATTAATTAATTAAAGGGAATATACAACATTTGCAAACATCGAAAAATAAAACTACCAAGTTTTTGCGAAATACCTTAACAGGATGTTGGTAAATGACAGTCTAAAGCATCCTGTAAAATTATGGCACCTGGTATACTGTCATTTTCAAGAAAAGTGGTATTTTTGTATCAATTTCCAACGCTGATCGGCCGATCAGCGTTGGAAACAACTGGCTTTTTTTCAAATACTGGCCCCAATTAACCATTGCACTTGTTTGCAATCGATTACAAACCTATGAGCGGGTACGAGCCAGCTAGACTGGTTCCCTGACCTTACAATTTCCCAATGTATGTAAACTGCTCTGTTTCTTCTTATATGGAGTCAGGGAACCAGACTACAGGAAAATGATCGTTTTTCTTGGTTTTTATAGCATTTTCGATCCCAAAACCTCCAAAAAGTCAGTGTAACTATATTTGCTTTATATTTCCAACCCCCCAATTCCATCCATTTCTGAAAATTACAGCAAAAGCAAATGATGTATATTCCCTTTAAATTAGTAATGAGTTCATTAAAAAAATTTCAAATTATGCATTTTTGAAGTGTACACAGCGCTCGAAATGTTATGCAAAGTATTTTTGAAAACAAAATGAAATATTGTACCGTCCAATTAATTAATTGCTAAATTAATAAAATTAGTATTTTTTTAAGAATAAGTACCGGTACTTTTTTAGTTGTACAGTACATGTAATATAATTTAAAGCATTTAAAAAATAATGTAAATGATTACTATAACGTCAAAAATCTTGAACAATTGAAGGGTTGATAATCATTCTTTTACGTTAACAACAGGTTACCCCTAGGAAATTATGATTTATTTACATTTAAGAATATAAATAAAATGCTAATTAGTTTTACATATGCAAGGTAAAAAACCTTGAAGCAAGTTGTCTCCATTTTCGAACAACTTCAGTACTCTCTCCAAGCAATCACCGTGCTTAATTATTGCTTGCCTGGTCCCCTTCCCGTCCCCGCCCCCTAAAAAACTTCTCTGATATGCACTGCTAAATCTCAATGTTTCTTTTCATTGACGCTAATTGAATTCCACTTTTTATTTATTTCTTTGTGCATTAATTTATTCCATTATTTATTAATTTATTTCTCCATGCACTTGTGTTTCGAACATTTAGTTTTCTTCATCAATGAAAATCCCGCCCGCAAGGTTCTCAAATTGCGATCGCCTTTGCGCAAGTTGTAACTTGAGCACGCAAATTAAAATGGCGCGGTGTAATTTGCGTGCTTCGGGAGTCCCTCGCGCAAGTTTAAACTTGCGCGGGAGACTCAAATTGCGCTCGACAATACCACATGGGAGATAATGCCAAATTTAGAATTTTGTTGGAAAATATGGAAAATTTCACAGACTTTGTACACAAAAGTGACAAACACCAAATTCACATCAGGATATACAACGATTACTAGACTCATATTGAAAAATTTACATATTTTTTCCTTTTTGCCAACTTTAGAATTAAGAAAAATTTAGCCTAACTTGTTTTTTTAAAACAGAGGCAGAGCCCAATTAATTAGTTACATGTAGGCTAATTGTTTTGAAACTGAAAGACTATTAGTTTTTAAGGTTTTTTTTAAATTCCCATAACAAGAAATAAACTCTAACTTATGATCACAGGGAAATAAGAATAAAGTAACGAGGGCGTGGTTAAATCTGCTCGCCCACTAAAAAAGTAAAACACAATAGGACACATTCCTTTACCGTTGTTCATTGACGTGACATAAGTACGCAGGCCTATGCAAACTTCAACTGAACTGAATTTGTAGGCCTATTTCATCCAATTTAAATTACACCTACCATCGATTTGCTTCTGCGTGAAGACGTGTGCCTGCAAAGAAATAAAAGGAAGTGAAATTTAACAAATATTTCAAATAAGTTTCTCAGGAGAACATTCAGGAAATTTGGGTTAAATTAGCAGTAAAAGTTCGCTTCAACATTTACCATTTTGGTCTTCTTCTAGTCTGATATCCGGATCGGACCTCGCTGAGACGCAATTTGTTTCGAGGGGACCTGAGGCATGACCTAGACTGATGGAACCAGACTATTATCGTTACATTTTCATTACCAGTTCCTGCGAAGGACAAAGTCTTGTTCCCTGTCTATTGTAATACACGTACAAATTATGATGCAATTCCGTTTACACATGTTGTGCGAGGAAATTGTGCGGCTGCGTTTCCGAATGTTGAATTCCTCTGCAAAAACCCCCAGTAATCTCTGACTCATTTTGAAAGCCATGCTGCAAGATCTTTCGTATCTAGGTAATTTTCTGTGAGTGAAGGCCTATGTCATTAACATGATCAATCATTTCAATGCCCCCAGCAGTTTTGTGCGGAATGCTGCCGGTTCTCAAAATATGCCGCTGACTAGACCAGACTTCTGACTTCGTCATGTCAGCTCGAAAAGGCTCAATACGAATAAAACTTTAAAGTGTTTTTTGTTGTTAATGTTATACTTTATTTTTGTGTTGGGTGCAATACCGTAGCTCATGGATTCCGTCTATGTACACTACTGCGACGAAGTCAAGGAATAAAACTAAGAATGTGGCGATTGTGTGGGCCCGGTTCCCTTTAAAAAGTGTAAGATTAAGAGAAAAAAGTCAAATTTTAATTTACGCAGCCGTTTATACGGCAGCTGTATTAAACGCGATTTTCAACTGCTATCGTTACGGAACCATCTTTTTCCCTGACCTAAAACTCACATCAGTATCTTTGATTCTGATCTGCGACTTTACCTTTTTCATATTTTTCAAATAAAAACCTCAAGAGCGTTGAATGAGAAAGAAAAGGTATTTAAATGGTAGCCATGGTGGCGGCACGATTGACCGATAATAAAGTCATGATCGACCGAAAGCCCAACGCGAAAGACCGATAGTGCAGCGCGATCGACCGATTGAATAAATCGACCGATCGCGCCCAACATCATGGATACGCTAAACTTGCCAGGTCGTATGTCATATGACTTAATACCCCACAATCTTTATTTTGCCAAAATTTAATTAGTTTACATTGAGATCTATTGAGGAATATTACCCAGTAAATTTGTAAGCTCTGTTCATCATTTCATGCATTTGCAGCGCAAGTGTCACCTTTAAAATGTCTATTTACGCACTCAATTTTCCTTTTCAAATTTGCTGTGTGGTCACTGTACGATGCACAAGCTTCAAGTCAATGTAATGATATGCAAACAAAAGTTCTCATGTTTCCATCGCACACTAGCCATGCGGATACGCAGATATGGAGTTGTAGCAGTAGAAGGTGTATTGAAAGCAGTCAACGGAGACCATGACTCCATAGGGGTGCAGGTCTACTCGGTCCCAAACCAAAATGTGTTTCCAAGTCAACTCTGTCCCTGTGGACAAAATTAATTTATGCAAACAAAGGTTGGAAACTTTGAAGGTCGCTTGTATTCTTGATGTATACCTTAATTTGTGCCTTGCTATAGCAATTTTGTTCATAACTTTCACAGTTGACCTGGGACCAAGTTGACCTGGGACAGAGTTGACCTGGGACCAAGTTGACTTGGGACTGAGTTGACCTGGGACCGAATTGATCTGGAACTGAGTTGATGTTTGACTGAGTTGATCTTGGACCGAGTTGACTCGGGACTGAGTTGACCTGGGACCCAGTTGATCTGGGACTGAGTTGATGTTTGACTGAGTTGATCTGGGACCGAGTTGACTCGGGACTGAGTTGACCTGGGACTGAGTTGATCTGGGACTGAGTTGATGTTTGACCGAGTTGATCTGGGACTGAGTTGACTCGACCGACTTGGTTTAGGACCTAGTTGATTTGAAACCTCCATAGCTGGGGTGCTACGGCTATCAGGTGATATGAGTTGCGAGGTGTTCTGCAATAGACCTTTATCAGGCTGCCACCATTTCAGTCATGTTCCCTGTATCCAATAACAGTACTGAATGATAATGTTGTTTGTGCAAAAAGGAACCAGACTATTTTTTCTTCCATCCTCGCTTTGGTTACGTTGATTTGAATGGGAAAAAAGTCAAGATGGCTACAACATGATAATGGTCTATTATGAGTTTTGTCTCTTCATTTCAGAATGACAAACTTGACAATGGTCTACACTTAAACAGTATCGATCGAGATCTGAACACCAGTTGTTTGAAGTCTGTCATAAACCCTGTTTTGAAGCCGTCCAATGCCTGCACAGCATCAGTCATGATTGAGAGATCGGAGGAGGAACATCCAATCAGGCGGATCCAGGAGGATCATCATCACCTGTGCGACATCTCCATCAAGACGGACAAGGGCAAACATGCCCAAAAGGTAGTCCAGCATGTTGGCTGGAATTTGACTTTTTGTATGTCAACTTTTCAGAATTGTAATGTAACACTAGTCTGTGTTTGAGCATTGAAGAAGATCTCTGTTAAGAGTGAATTATTTTAAAACTGAGGTCCCCCCTGCTATCTCACTGGCAGGAAAACTAAAGTGCGGGAAACTAAAACTGTTCCAATAAGCCTCTGTACTGATGACGTCTCACTTTGTTTACATGTGCACTTTCCTATGGAGCCAGTGGGGGCACACGGTCCACTGAGCACCATAGGAAAGCACACACGTAAACAAAGTGAGACGTCATCAGTACAGAGGCTTATTGGGAGGACACTCTTGATAAATATTCTTGGGTCAAACGTGAAGGGAATGAATAATCAAAATCAACGTTCAGTGTATGTATACTTTATGTAAGGCATAAAAAAGTGAAACTGCTCAAACTCTGCTACACACGTTCCTTGTGACGATCCCGGAGCATGAACTTTGCTTTTGCTATGAGATTGCAGCGCTAGCACAACGTGTTGACCGTACATGACCGACCGTACTGACCCTTCCTTCCATCCTTCCTTCCTTCCATCCTTCCTTGAAAGTGCAGCCTCATATGTATGAGGATAAACGCACTTGCCAGAAACACCGGTGCGAACCCCCTCTCTTAGCGATAAGTGTTACTGGGTTCTTTTACATGCATTATACAATACACGGGACCTACGGCTTTACGTCCCATCCGAAGGACGAAGCAATTTCGTTAAGTGCCCTGCTTAAGGGCACAAGTGACCACCCATGCCACTTTTGCCTCTGAAACACCAGAGCATGATTCCGGTGCTCCTAAATGCTAGACCATGACACATCCTGTGTCACTGTGTCGATCTTAACCTTTGACATGAACCCTGACACTTACAATAGTGGATTTATAATTATTGTGGATGGCCATTGCAATGAAGTAAAATCAGTGAAAGATTGACTGTTCCATTCAACTCAGCTTCATCTCATTGAATGGAATAGTCAAACTTTCACCTTATGAAAATATTCCTTCCATTGCACTCATAAACATTCATTATTTGTATACTATCTCAAAGAGTGATCATGTAAAGCAAAGTATCTCCTAAACAAATTTAAAAAAGTTTGAAGTCATTGTTGTTGATACTTGCATGGTAAATTACACAGGTGAGTTTAGGTGTAACAGGTCCACAAAAAAGTGTCACACATTTGGACCCCATATTTATGGAATGACCCCCATACAAGCCAAGGAGCTATTTACCGCCACAGAATGATGACAAGATTTCTGTTTTATTTCATCTTGACAGCAAGCCGCAACATGGAAAGAGGTGACAGTGTCACTGACGGCGGGAGCAGTCGCTGGAGCCACCGCCAAGACGGTGATTGCGCCCCTGGATAGGACAAAGATCCTTTTTCAAAGTGAGTTTCACTTTCGAATTACGATCAAGCCAGTTTGAATCAAATGTAGACTCAGATGGGTCCGAGTCCTTCTGCAAATTTTTGGACATTTTCAGCTTACCAATAATCAAATGCCAACATACACGAACCACTCCATGTAAGTTCTCAGGAGTAATTCTTATGTACCAGCTTATATTGCAGTATACCTGTTTGACTCGGAGAGGAACTTGACTACAACATTGGTATTTAGTGGCTACTGCTTCTTTTCTTTTTTTGAGGTTATTTGTCATTAGCACGTTGCATTAAGTAGCCATAGCCAAATACAACAAGAAGTCCATTTTGGATGTGGCCCAAATAGCTTAATAGGTTCCAATCGTATCACTTCAGAGTACCACCTGACCATCCAGTTTTCCAATGATCGACCACCATTGCAGAAGGCAAGCGTTTGGTCATCATGTACGATGATGTGTGGGTTGGAACCCTGCCGGGAACATGGTGATTGTACCCTTGGGCAAGACACTTAGATGCAATTGCCTCTCTCAACCCAGGAGTATAAAAGGGTACCTGTGAGGGTAGAGGCCAAATGTGTGCAGATATATCGGCTGCCACGTGGTCTCGATCGTGGCCTGATGAACAGGGGACTAGTTGTAAAACGCTTTGAGATTGTTGGTACGATGGAAAGCGATATACAATGTATTATCATTACAATTTATTTTTGTTTTCTAGACAGCAGTGCTTTAATATTTTCACATAAAACAACTTAAACTTCTTTGTCAAATGGCATAATGGTCACTCCCTCTGCCGTGTATGGTTATCATAATCGTGTGGATCCAGCACTGGGTGTTGGCTCGGTGTTTCTCTCACAGTTTGTGCCATCCATCAGAGCTTTGAAGGCTTGCCTACTACCCACTGGGTACGGTGCTGTACGATCTTTGCTCTCCGGTACTCAGATGTAGGCTGGGTCACATGGGTCAGTGAGAGCCCTCTATTGCTAGAATGATCAATGTACGATGTCCACCGTTGTGTTGTTTTTGGTCTTTTCACAGCCTCTGATATGCATTTTAGCCCCCGCAAGGCTCTGAACCTTATCTCCAAGGTGTACCACAACGAGGGAATCATCGCCCTATGGCGCGGCAACTCGGCTACGATGGCCCGCATCATCCCGTACGCTGCCATTCAGTATGCATCTCACGAACAGTACAAGAGTCTACTAAACCCAACCAAAGCACCGTAAGTAAACATAACCTGAGGGAGAAATTGCATCATAAAGAGTTCAAAGCTAAGTAGACCAGTGATCCGTGGATCGCACGTGCTGCCTTTTTTCACAGACATACAGAATTTAGGACTGGTAAGTGTCCCCCAAAACTTTGTTTTGGCGACACAGAAATGTGTGCAATTTTTGCATTTTATAGCATTTCCTTCTTGCAGTGTTACAAGCGATATCTACAAAGTGTCAATGAACAGACGACTCTCGTTAGTACAAACTCTGTTAGTACAAAATTCTGGTTATAACAAACATAAAGCCTTAGTCCCGACTGTGCATTTATATGCACAATGAATGGGACTGATGTTCCTCTTAATACAATATTCTGATATAACAAACAATTTGGCTAGGTCCGAACGAGTTTGTTATAACGAGACTTGACTGTATTCCACTTTCCCCACCAAAAAATAAAAATAATTAGTAAACTAAATCGCAGCGCTTACAAATAGTCAACAATTTAAGTAAATAAATAAATTAATTTTATCGATAAACACAGGCACTGCTGACTAATGAATCAATTATTGGTGGAACAGATGGGTTTTGGGTAATCATGCATTCTTTCAAAATGCAACTTGACTGGAAAATCTGACCAGTTTATAGGTTTTGCCTTTTGCAAAGTTTTATAAAGTTGCGTGAAAGTTTTTCTCAGACCTTTTCCCTTGAAGAATGAAGTAAATATGTGTGTGTATTTTCAGTGCCACAGTATTTACTGCTTGTTTGCAAGTTAAGTCTGTTTTGAGCCAATATTCCTTTTCATGAAACAACTGAAAATATTTCTATTTTAGTCCATTGCAGGAAACTCCCCACCTAATGTCAGTATCCATTTGTACTCCTTGGTAGAGTGATAGGCAAGTGGGGGTAAAGTGGCTTGCCCAAGGACACAACAAATGGTCAGCGGCAGGATTCGAACTCCTGGCCCTCTGATCATGAGTCACAAACTTTAATCATTAAAGTGTACTTTTTTTCACAACAAATCTCAGGCATGCAACTTTTCCTCAGATCAGCTGATTTCCTCTTTCTTTACTTCCCATGTGTGCCATTAACCCTAACTCCCTAGGCCTTTTTGCTAGGATGTAGCCTCAATCCTGCAAAATCTTCCAATTGGCCTCATGGAAAAATAGCTCAATCCTTCAAATTCCTTGAATATGGTCCACGGAGGGGTGACTACTGCCTGAATCCTGCAAAATCCTGTGGCAGTGACTGTCAACATGTTGAGGCTTGGCCAGTGACATCCTGGTGCTGTATGGAGGATTTCAAGCATAATCCAGGCCTATATTTATGCATGGTTGAGCAAAAACAACACAAGGTCTGGCCCAAGACCTTGACAAAGTGCAGCCTACGAAATCAGTAATGCACTTTTGCCACGTAACCTCAATCCTCCAAAGTCCTCCACTTTGGCAAAGAGGAATTTTGAAGGATTCAGGGTGGCTAGGGTTAAAAATAGAAAAATACTGTATAAAGTCTTGGAAAGATTTGAATTTCCTCTTCTTTTTTTGGTGACTTCCCAGTTGCATGCATGAAATCTGTAATTTATTAATATTTTTTTCTTGTTTTTTCGGTGAAGGAGTTTACAGCCACTCCCAAGGTTTCTTGCAGGCTCGTTAGCAAGTGTCACGGCATCCGCAATAACGTATCCTCTGGATTGTGTCCGAGCCCGCATGGCCGTCACTAACCGCCAAAGGTACTTTTTCATAACAAATCTGTAATTTATTAACATTTTTGTTCTTGTTTTCGTTGAAGGAGTTTACAGCCAATCCCAAGGTTTCTGGCTGGCTCGTTGGCCGGTGTTACAGCATCCACATTAACGTATCCTCTAGACTGTGTCCGAGCCCGCATGGCCGTCACTAACCGCGAAAGGTACAATATAAACAAAGCCACTACTTTGGATAATTCCGTCTTATTGTATAGTTTCCTTCCACAAAGTACAAACAATCAGATGCATGAAACATACAAAAAGATAATAAGTTAAACAGTATACAACAGGACCCATTTTTTTAGTTAGAAGAAACTTTGGGAGGCAAAAGATTATAAAAAGATTTTGTATCACTAATAAGTTCGGACTGCTCAAATTTAACCCTAACCTTCCCAAATGGTTCAAAATCTTCTTTGCAAAATGGAGGATTTTGCAGGATTGATTGAGACTATATGGCATAAATGTGTGGCTGATTTTGGAGAATGCACTGTGTCAAGGTCTTGGGCCAGACCTTGTGTTGTTTATGCTCAGCCGTGCAAAAATTTAGGCCTAGATTATACTTAAATCCCCTGCACGAGTTCACTGGCTCTGCCTCAACATATTGACAGTGATTGCTGGAGAATTTTGCATGATTGAGGCACACACAACACAACACAACACAAGTAAAAGTTGCTGTATAGTATCACGGTGATAATATGGAAATAATCATGAAAAACAATCTCTGCTTCTTGTCTTAACAGCCACAAGTCCATGAGCAGTATCATTAGAATTACGTTTCGTCAGGAAGGCCTCGTGAGTTTCTACCGAGGCTATCTACCCACTGTGCTAGGGGTAATCCCGTACGGCGGGATAAGTTTCTTCATCTTTGAGACCTTCAAGAAGAGGCATCGAGGTGAGAAAATGTTTATCCTTATGTACAATCTTGGCAAACATCTTGCCACCACCCACTGTTGTCGGCGGATCCGGGCGAAGGGGGGGGGGGGGGCGATTCCCTGACTCTTGGTAGGTCCCAAAGTAGTGTACTCTTGGCCGTATATCTGGGTAAACATAGAAAATAAGTTCTGTAGTCTACCGTCTCTGGAAATAACAGGATTGACTGATCGCTTGCAATCTTTGGGAAGGCTTACATACACTGCAGTTGACATGACACATGCAGCGGAACATTCACCAATAAGGAAAACATAGGGGCTCCCCCTATCAATGAAACGGCCAGCCAGCACCGATGGTGTTTTGGCCCCACTCCCACTTTCAAAACTGTTCCGCCACCGATGCCACCAACAAACTTTATCTCGAACTTTAAAATCATCAAACGCTATGTCTGTCACTGATAAATTTGCTTTGTTTGAAATATCCACTCAGTAAAGTGTAAAATTAAGGTTGGTAATTCTCATCACCTTCAAAAATTGTACTTTATTGAAAATAATATCCTCGCTGACTATGCATGATATGCAGCCACTAGGAATACAACATGATATCCGTCAAAAATAATACAAGAATGGAAAAATAGTATTGTATGGCCTGTAATTTTTTTACTTTTTTTCTTGGGGAGGTTTTTTTTTGGTTTTAAGCCCATGTTGTTATTTGTTAAATTCAAATTAAATTCTGAGGGAACAACTGGTGACAACCTGGTACTGATTTTAAAAAAATAGATAAGTACATGTATTGTAGGTTCTTGTTCTTTTGCACGGCTGGGTGGTTACTTTTTCTTGCCGCTGTCCGGGGGTTTTGTATCAGTTGTTGCTGTGACAGCATTTAGAGATTAACTCGGATCTCCGATTCATTATATTGTTCTTGTGCATAGCTATGGCCAGCTTTTTTTTCGATACACGGATTGCATTGCCCAGATCTGCGTCTGTATTGTAGGTTCTGTATGCCAGCTCAATTTATTTGTTATTTTGGTTGTTTTTTTTCCTCTCTGTACAGAGTTGACAGGCAAGTCTCATCCGACACCATCCTACAACATGGCGTTCGGCGCCGTGGCGGGCCTGGTGGGCCAGTCCGCCTCCTACCCGCTAGACGTGGTCCGCCGGCGCATGCAGACGGCGGGACTCACCAAGTACACCTACGACACCATCGTCAACACGGCCAGGGAAATCTACCACGAGGGGGGTGTGGTGCGGGGACTGTACAAAGGCCTGAGCATGAACTGGGTCAAGGGCCCCATTGCGGTGGGGGTCAGCTTCACGACATACGAGCTGGCTCGCCGGTTCCTACAGCAGAGGGTACTACACGACGACGTCGGCTGAAACCGTACGGCATGCGCTTCATGTGGCAATATTTTCAAGCTGTCGAGTACAAAATAGACGGAAAGAATGTTGCAACCTGACGCTGCTTTTTTCCTTCATATATCATCTCATGGAAGGTCAGTCATTGGAAAAATAATGATAAGACATGAATCTGGGACTGAGAAATATTTTCCTATTTTGTTAGGAAATACTTACAAAATGTTCTTGACTCTCCGTAGACTTTGTACGCAACCACTGAAGTAGCGTCAGGTTGCAACATTCTTTCCAAATAGACATTTAATTTAGTTTTTCTAATTAGCTGATTATTTTTTCAGCTGTTCCTCAGGGTTTGTACATTTTAACCTTGCAGAGGTGAATAACATTTTTGTGCCGAACTTTGTCACTGATATTAAAGCAATTAGAAAGGCGTTAAACCATACGAGCCGTCCTAACAGAAAAAAACCTAATATCTCCACTCAAGTTTGGGGTTTTCACTGTAGATTAAAGGGAAGATACAACATTTGTAAACATCAAAAAACGAAATGATCAAATTATAACGAAATATCGTACTGCATTGTCAGGGAATAATATTCCACAGCACCCTGTAAAAGCATGGATCCTGGTGTGCTGACATTTTCAAGAAAAATGGTATTTTTCCAACGCTGGTCGGCCGACCAGCGTTGGAGAAAACTGTCTTTTTTTCAAAAACTGCTCCTATTTTTTCCTAATTAGTTATTCCGCATTTTCTTTCTAATTGATTACTCACCTGTGAAGGGGTACAAGACTACTAGACTGATTTTCTGACCTTACAATTCCCCCCAATCTATAAATTGCTCCAATTTATCTTAAGTGGGGTCAGGGAACCAGACTACAAGAACATGATTGGTTTTCTTGGTTTTTCCAGCATTTACAAGCCCAAAACGTGAAACAAGTCATTTTAACAATATTTGCTATAACATACTGATCCTCCAAATCCATTTATTTCAGAAAAGAGAAGCAAAAGCAAATGTTATACATTCCCTTTAACAACACTAAGAAAGAACCCTCTTAAAGTGACTTCTGTTGCAACCTAATTCATTTCAGCTGTGTTGTGGATGTTCTTTTTCAACCTGTGCAAGTGCTTCCTTAAATCAATCAGTTGGTCCATTTCCACACAAATGATACTTAAGGATAATTAATATCGGCGAGATGATTTTAGTTTAAGGTTTGTGCTGAAAGTTATGAACCTCTGCATGGAAAGAATGGATCATCAATGCAACCGCGTGTGTGTATGTGTAGAAAGGTGTCGCCCTCCTCCCAATGACATGTACATGTATATTGATTGATTTTGTTGGATAATAATACAGGGTGGTTAAAAAAAAAAGAACACTCACTCTTGACAGCGATTTTCACCTACTTAATGAACGTATTTTAAATATTTTTTTTACAAAGTCGTGAAGTATAGGCCTTTAACCATGCTAATTTGAGTCACCAAATGACATGTACATGTATATTGATTGATTTTGTTGGATAATAATACAGGGTGGTTAAAAAAAAAAAGAACACTCACTCTTGACAGCGATTTTCACCTACTTAATGAACGTATTTTAAATATTTTTTTTACAAAGTCGTGAAGTATAGGCCTTTAACCATGCTAATTTGAGTCACCAAATGACATGTACATGTATATTGATTGATTTTGTTGGATAATAATACAGGGTGGTTAAAAAAAAAAAGAACACTCACTCTTGACAGCGATTTTTACCTACTTAATGAACGTATTTTGAATATTTTTTTTACAAAGTCGTGAAGTATAGGCCTCTAACCATGCTAATTTGAGTCACCAAAAGTCACCAAAATCAGTCTTGTCCACGGGTTATTCTATGTAAATTGGACGTTTTCGTAGTTCATAAATACTAAAAAACCTTCCCACCAAAATATATTTATCATAATCATATCATAATAGGGCTTATACCTTTATTTATGTTTTGATGATATTAAAGTAACACTTGACGAAAAGAAAAAGAATTCTAAATAGCTATCCTTGTTTGAAGTGTGCTAATACTTCGCCTTCAAATAAAGCTCTGATAGCTGAGCTCGGTCAAGCGAAGGGAATGTATACCTCCATGGACAAACAGGTTTGGCACATGAAATGTTCAAATTAGCATAGCTCAACGACAAAATGTGCAAATGCAACGATTTTTTCGTCACATTTACTTGAGGCCAGTACTTTAAGCTACTAATCGGCAGTTGAAAATATTTTTTTTAAAATAGGTAAAAATTGCTGTCAAATGTGGGTGTCCTTTTTTTTTTAACCACCCAGTAGGTTAACACTTTCGTATATCCACACATTTCTACATATTGTGTAACTATTGCAGTTTCCTCTCAAATTAGATGTTTTCTTACCCCCATTGGCTTGAACTCTGCGCACAAGTACCCCCTCAACGGCATAAGTCGTGCATACTTTGCGCCACGTTACCGTGAACCAGTACACGCATGCGGTGTGTCCCTCCCATTGGAGTTCTTAAAAATCGTAAAAAAGCATCAGCTACTGTTCATACATGAAGTCCATAGATACCTAGTTTCAAACTACATGAAGTTGGATCCCTTTTGCCTACATGCAGAAAAGTTGGGATTTTTCGAAAAAAATCAATGACTATTGTCAGATTTGATCACAATGGGCAGAATATTGTGATGGTTCAACTGGTTTTGATTCCATCTTCATCTGCAGAACTCCAGCAGCTGATTTCACGAAACTTTACGCAATGATATAAGTACGCTTGCACCACAATTTATTGCACAACTTGTGCAACATTTCAGTTATGACAATTTTACAAAAGTTGCATAGTGCATTTTAGTCCGCGACTTGCACAAAACAAATTGTGCCGTAACTTGCGCAATCAGGTAAGGTGGCGTACGTTGTGGCGTAGCGACTTAAAAATAACCAAATATTATTTGATTGTTGGAAATACAACATTGTCAACAAAGCTACAAGATAATTCCTACACATGCCTTTTTACTATGCATTGAGGTCGTTATGGGGACTTTTTTGGGAAAAGTATGTTGCCAACCACGGCTTCAATTTTTTGCGCTTGCGGCAGCCCATATGAAATGGTGCCAATGTTTACAAACAAAAGAAAGTTCTTTAACCTGTGACCTAATGCTGACAATGCAAAAAACTAGCTCGTGGCACAGAAATGGACACCAAAATAATATACGTGTATACAAAATTATTATGACAGCCCAACACATTTTACACTGGTAGATTTGGCAATTTAAAATCTTATATTTAAATTTGAATAGTATCGATTTTGTATTAAAATAAACTAAAAACCAAAATCCAATTGCCCAGGGTTGATGATATCAAAAAATGTGCAGTCATCCCGTAAAGTGCAAAAAAGAAGAAGAAACATTTAAAAACCACCTATTTGGGGTAAAGTTGATTTCAAATAAGTAGTATTTGAGGAGGGGGAGGTAGTATAACTAAGGGAATAAATGTGTGCTCGGGAGGTGTTAAACACTATGTTTAAGACTGGTTGGAGTCTGGAATGCTGATAATTACCCCAGGCGAAGCCCTTTTTCTGTTAAAAACAAAATCAAAACTTTTCAGTCCCAAAGTCAAAACAAGTCCAAAATTATAAATTTCCAATGATTTTGTTCAACAATTTTACCTCATATTTTTTTTGGGAGACTCCCCTTTAGCTGTATTATGGAATGGCCAGTCTCGCGAATAGCCGTAAACAACTCCTTATATGGTGATTGGGGCTCACGTCACACGTGCTGTGCAAGGGCGGATCCAGGGGGGGGCCAAAGGGGGCCATGGCCCCCCCCCCAAAACGAAACCAATTTTTTTTTTTTTTTAATGTGACATCGCAATAAAGGCAGGCAATGAGTACACCACCATCTTTTCCTCAAAAAAAATTGGTTAAAGTGGTCAGAAATTGCCTCAGATCGCACCACAGAGCATCTAGAATCCAAAAATTTTTCGGGGCCCTCACGGGCCCCGAACCCCACGCCGTAATTTTTGAGCCCCACTTTTTGGGGGGGGGACCAAATTTTTTTTGGCCCCCCCCAAAATTGTGTTCTGGATCCGCCCTTGGTGCTGTGCAATGTGGCGCACAATGCAGCCGTGTCGGTGTATTGTGAATTTGGGACTATACAATTCTGACTCGCTGGTAATATTGCCTATGCCTATGTGAGGATTGTGAACGTTCAAGCAGTAGCCTGAAACGGTAAAAGGCATTGGATTTTATAGGAGTCCAAATTTTATGCGACACTGGAAAAGTGTTTAAGACCAACCGGCCGGTCTTTATCAACATTTTAAGACTGGCCACGTGACGGGCTCTCGACAAATAGGAATGGGTAAACTGCCTTAGGTATTTATGAATTATAATTAATAATGGTGTTCGGATGATAGGATTGTATATGTTGGGAAAATATTGTATTTATTTGCAAAAATGCCCCCGAGTTTACCAGAAAGTGTGTTACCCTTGTGGAGATTTCAGGTTTTTTTTTTTATTTGGCAGGATGCCAAAAGAATTAACCGCCCATCTATTCAAATCCTTCAGGTATTAAAGGATAAAATCTGTCATTTAGTTGATGATACTGAATACTAATTTCATCTGCAGTTAATGAAAGAAAGCTGTGGTTTTGATCCAACTTAAATTAGCCGTGTTTTAGACGTCATAACGAATGCATGTGTGAGTGAAGCCGTAAACAAAGTCTTTTCTCTAATCACTAAGATGGCACATTTCCTATCAATCCCATTTCGAGGGGATTATTGCAAAGATTTCAGGATTTTCAAGGCTTGGTGCTATGAAGTAAAGTTGGACATTGCATGTTAATTTGACATCTGGCTTTGAATCTTTACATTTTTCGTTATTAGAAATTTATGGAAATGATTTTTGACAAAAAAACTGTGTTTTTAAGTATTAACCAATCCAGGCATGCTATCGTGAAGGCTCCTTCGATGGCCAAAGCATTGTGCTAGCTATTGTTCTGATATCGGTCATAGGGCAGTTGCTTTGTACAATAGCATGCACAATGGATTCTCCATTGAAGGGGGCCTCATGGGTGTACAGTGCTCACGTGCCCGGGATCGTCTATAGCTTTGGGTCATTTGAATGTCCACACCATGAGAGTTTTTGCCAGAATGCGCAACAACGTGATTATCTTTCTGTCAAATGATAAGAATCGTATGCAAGCACGCACACATACTGTGACGTATCAAACAGTGGGAGAGTTTTGAGACATTGGTGGCAGTAAACACACCGGTCCTTTTTAATTGTTTACTTCATTTTGAATATGCGCACATTAGCTTAAACATGACGTCAACAATAATAGTTAAGTTAGTTAGTTGACGTTAACAATTTACCATTGTGTCTGCTGCCACAAGCATTTCGTAAGTCTCCCATTTGTTTATGAAAACATTGATATCGGTGTGATAATAAGATAACAAGCTGGGAGTGAATCCAAGCGAAGTTA